CGTGGAATGTGGTGAGGAGGAGGTCACATACCGCTAAATGCTGGATCACCACCACGATTACCCGGTGCAGTTTGATTGCTTTCCATTTTATGGTGGCGATCAGGATGGTCGTGTCTCCCAGGAGGGATGAGAGAGCCACGATAATGTTGTATAAAGTCCAGAAATACCGCTCGTCTCTACTTCGTATCCGCTCAGTGTAGTAGTTGTTAACTTTGTTGTGAAATGTTGTGTAGTTGTGCTGCATTGTTTCTCTCTCTGACCTGATATCTACATCTCTGGGAGAGAGTTGTTGTTTTTGTTACATGAGATCAGTGCGTGATGCAATAAATGTTTATATTGCTCAGTTTAAAAATGATAATTCTGTTGTAAGTTGTAGCAGTATGTGGAATGTTTATAGCTCAGTTTAAAACCAACAATTAGAAATAGGCGTAACTTTAAAACGAGCTCTCACGTGTTCACTAAACTCAAATCATCAAAAGTAAAAGTCTTAAACAAATATCAAGTCATCATCTTCTTTAGATCGGATAAGATTTTCCAGTAGGATTGTTGTGAATAGGGATTGGTTATGAATAGGACTTTTTTTATAGGACTGCTTACGAAAGTGTACTGAAGTTACGAAAAAGAACACTGGATTTGTCAAAACTTCTAAGAACGCCGTATTTACTGACACTGAAAAGTATCAGAAAATTCTTCATTATAGACAAAGTCGGGAGTTTTCGGCTCGAGTTTACAGAGACTAATAAAAGTGATTAGAGAAGCAGTATCTACCTTTATACAGAATGAAACCTTTGAAGAAGCAGTCTAACGATCCCATACCTAAATGGTAGGAATTATACAGTCTAGAAACACAGGATACTACCACAGGATACCAAGCTGACGACTCGTACTATAACAAAGTTTGTGTTATGGTGAGATGTTTTAACAGTAATTATATTGATGAGCACTGTGATGTCAATAATTGAGGTTGGTTGGACCGCAAGGTGCTGGGATAATCGTTAATTCGTCCCGCGGGATCCTTAACAAACATACCCTGACAAGTCACGGGGGAAACGTAAATATACGCTGACAAACACATGGAGCCAGTCGCTCTTCTATTTCGCTCTTTGCCAAAGGAGTGATTTACCACAAAATTAACATCGGCAAGTTTCTAAATTTACAATGCTTTGTCAAGGTTTATTATTGTCAGTATATTCGGGGCTCTGGTTGACAATAGAGCGTGACGATTCCTCCCCAAACGGACTTCCCTGGGGGTCTATCCTGAAGCTCTTGCTAGGCTGTCACATAACACTTTCCAACCGAACACTCCTTTTCTAACGAAGTGATTGTTTTTGTCAAGGAGCAATTAAGGTGTCATGTGAGAGCCGTTTTCTTATTCCAACCAATAGCGCTTAATAAAGTAATGACCTTTAAGCTGGAGGGAAACTTCCGCAAGTTGGGGAAACTGGACGGTTGCCAGTGTGAAGTGAAATGGAATTTCCAAGTCGAAAGGTTAACCAGAACTAAAATCAGAACCTAGAAACTCAGTCATATTAAAAACGTTACAAACGCTATCGTATAATGAAACAATGTGAAAAGTACACGTGACTATACGCATAGTAAAAGAACACTGAAACCTCATGAGTTCCCCCATAGAAAGGGTGTTTTTGCTACCTCAACAGTTCTCTGTATCTTAATATAGGGGCGTTTCGGGGGCTTTTGACCTACCTCTAATTGTTGCTCTCCTAGAACCCTCACGACCCAAAACAGTTTAAAACCTGAAGTTCACGGCCGAGTTTTGCGTAATAATAACTGTGTTAAAAGACAGATACAAATGAAAGTAACCATTACCGTTGACGAGGAAGAAATATTACGCACTTGTTAATAATTGTTTGGGTGATAAGGCTATAGTATTACATTATACCGACGGAAATTCCGGGAAATTGACAACTGCATGTTGTGTACGTTTTAAATTTAATATAGGGGTTTATTAATTGAATTTCTGTGCTGTGATCGGACCCTTTATTTGAAACCCGGAAAAATCAGAAGACTTAGTTCTCACTTCTCAATCATGGAATATATTCACAATTCTCCATAATTTTATTCAACAACTCAATGATATAATATCTGTTATACATTTACAATAAAAACGGCACAATAAACACACGGAAGTCAGAACACATGAACCTTCATGAAGGCTGTTACTATGATTAGGTGAGTCAATAAAAGTGAAGTGAGAAAGTAAGTTAGCAGAGGTTGATGCGTTAAGGTCGACATATTTATCCCGAACTATAAAAACCATGCCGCTTTGATGTTTTTAAGCTTTTTCAGACTATTGCATGGCTTATTTTGACTAAATCTTGTTTAGCAGTTCGCACGTTTGACTACCGTAAATGAATCATGGTTAATGGAAATGCGGATATCTCTGTCGACCTACTACTGTTTTTTATATTTTATATTTAGTTTTATTAAGATACGCACCGTTACATGGGACATTAAGCTCATGAAACGATTTAAATCATACGGAGAAAAAGTAGAAACATAATGTGATTAAAGGTACTTAATACTAAAAACTGAGAAACACGTACATATTCAATTTTATAGTGGTAAAATAAGTGAAAATCAAACATGAACAATCTTAATTTAAGAACCTGCCAAATCACAGTGGTACCACTACTCATGCTATCACCAATACATTAGATAAAATAGCGGAAGTGGCCTTATGAAATAGATTACTTAAGTAGGCTCATAAATGACGTGGATTGTGGAATGACATGATGAAATCCCGATTCCAAATTGTGACGGAGCTACAAATGTCGTTGAAATCCAAGGGTGGGGTATGAACTTATCAGGGCTGATAACAAAGCTATTGAATTATTAAGGTAACAGCATACTATCTGCTGTTCAAGTCAAGGTTGCTAGCTGGTTACTAGGTTACTAGCTGGTTACTAGGGTACCTGAGCTAAGAGCTTATGTTAGACAACTGGCTGCTTAATTTACACTGACCTATTATTCAATATTCTTGGTTTATAAAGGTTTTAATACATTCAATACTACTAATATATTCGGCAAACTGCGGGCCTTTTATCAGGATTACGAGTGGTCGAGGGACCTATTTGCCAGGCTTTTTGTTTGGAGAATACCGACCAAGGAATGATTTGTTATCGTTTTAAGATGCTATTACCCTCTAATAAGTCTAATTTTATAAATAAAGCAGGTATAAGCTTATAAATTATAAAAACCTTTGCATAGCCAAACCAATGCAGATCGAAAACAATGCAGTGCACATCTACTGCAAAATTCGCACAAAAGTTAAACCCACATTTTATGTCCAAAATTGAAGCGCGATAGGGTGTTACATATTTGGTAGTCTAGACCTTAACTTTATTTGAAGTTGATCTATAGTTGGTATAGAGACATGTGCAGTGGTGCGTGTTATTGAAGACCATGTTCCCTAATCCTTTATGTCACTCTTATCAAACGCTAACTGATTCTTTCTACAAGTTCCTCCTAAGTGCATGCATGTTTTCAGTCCGTTGAGCTCCTTCAGGAAAATAAATAAATTATTGTAAGTTATTAGTAAGTCTAGAAGAAGGCGTTGAAACTATTGAAACTACTATTTGTAAAAGTCGCATTTTTGATAATTTGGCAGCCTTCTAATTCTATACCCCGCTGTCTCCAGTATAAGATTGTGAATTGTAAAGTGCAACTGATTGATGCAAATGACAGATTCTGATTATTCTTTAAACTATCAAGTAATTTCAACAGACTTGTCCCGAAAGTAACCACTGACTGAACAACCACATTTTATAATAATACAGCAGCGCTAAAGAGAAATTATTTAACTTAATGGCAAATTTTGATTTCGGAATTTAGAAACAAAAAGAATGTAACAGCTATTAAAAATGTTACTCGTTAATATTAATATCACACCTCATTAAAACGTTTGAACTTTCTGGAAACGTAAAATATTACAGGAACTATTTAACATGGCCTAATAAAAACTTTGACAATGCAGGACAGCAAGATACTATGCCATCATAGTTGTTGAGTGCCAATGGATCTACCAAAAAAATATGGCCTAAAAACTATCGAGATTTTGCAATATTTCAGTCCAGTACACTGTGTGGTCACTTCTTAACCGTAAAAATACGAACCTTTGCAGTTCACACAGCACAGTGTGCACTTTTTATACCATAGTGAATGTTCCTATTTCAGTTGGAAATATTAAGTTCATAACAATTCTAAGCATGACAAACTATTATACGTAAAATCATACAAATCAAAAACTTACGCCTGTTACAATATAAAAATGTTCCCAGAACCGCTAGATTCGGGCAGTAGGCTAAGTAGATGTCCAGCATTTTCTTTATCCCTCCATGAACACCAAAGGGGGTTTGGTTAGTTAGTGAAACTTGAATAACAATATGCAATCAACATATTTTAAGGAAATAATTATCTCCTCAAGATCACAACCCATGTTCCAGTCCAGATAACACTATCTCCTCCAATCTTGTAAACAATTCCTCTCAAACGATTATTTTGTCTCGCCGACTGCTGCCCTATTCAAGCAGGCTCTCTTTTCTCATGCTGTATAAAACGTCACCACACTTTGCAGCTTACAATCATTTTTATTTACTCAATAATAATGAGCTTATCAACTCAATAACACTTATAAGCTCACTTCTCTCTGCTCCAATTACCAGCCAGCTTGTCGGCCTATTAACGAACATCAGATCACGTGACCACCAGACCACCGCACTGTTTCACTTTGTCAGGCTACAATAAGACTGCAGCTATCATATGATATATTAGCCTACCTTCGTTTACCATACCCAACTTCTACCTAGACGATACCAGTTAGCAGTGGTTATTGGTCGCCCTGAACTGTGACGTCACCAAGCTCATAAATCCTACTATTATTGCCCTTCCTCCAGATCATTTAATGGCTGCTCTAAATATGGCGATGTAGTATATTGTAGCTTGAGAAGCAACACAGCAAGCGACGACCGGTGCGTATGCGTGATTCGGTGCACTGTTCTTCACTTTGCTTGTCTCGCACTGCTAAGTGCGTATTCAGAGCGAACTGTATCATATAATCTGCTTTCGTTTTGTAATTGTATATCACGTTTTGTTTAGTGTGTGTATCTGGTTTACTTGAGAATTTAGTGTTGAAGGTGAGACACAACATGACGTTTAAGAAGATCTCCTTTAGGAACTCCTTCAGGAATTACAGGTATGGTGTTGCTAGGGTTACCTGTTACCATGACAACGGGTTTTTGTTTGTGTTGTGAATCTTTCTGGTTTTGTTTAGGTCAACTTCAGCCCCTCTCAATAGGCCTGAACATCAGCCGTAAAGTATCGCTGTGCAGTTTGGTACAACGGGGATTTTAGGATAACTTTTAGAAAATATCTTACACCGATTCAACATGAGTTCACAGGAAATCAGTGTTTTACTGCATTATGAATTGTCCCTTTTTGCCGAAGCCAAGAGGGTACGGCCCTTTATAAGCATGGAAGAAAGTGCCACAAACTCAGGACATCTCTGTATTCCCAGCCACATGTACTATTAGTAGATACTGGACTGTGATTTTATAGACATTAAACAATTACTGGTATTTAGAAGGATGCTATTATAGTCTCGTATTGCTGTCTAATACTGTCCTCCTTTGATTTATGTGTAATGAGATGAAAGAGAGTATTTATATCCCGCTCATGCCGAGCATGAATATTAAAAATTATAAATTACCTATTTTAGATCAGCTCTCCTTACTAAATATTCAATTTTTCGAGTGAGAACTTCTGTGACTAAATGGATCCACGTTGAATTCAAAACAAATGTAACTGAAGGCATCATACAACATAGTAATTATATATAATCATCAACTTTGAATAATGACATATAATTGTATAGATTTATTGAACCTAATCAACGATTAACGACTAACGGTCTATATTTACGAATGTTCATGGAACTTCACTACGAAGGAGTTTTACTGTCAACAACCTTAAAGTAACACAAAAAGCAACAGGAAATGCCGTTCTATACCACCATTTCTGAAGAAATAAACCATTTCCGAAGAATTAACCTATTTGTATGAGGATACTGAGCTCAAACTCTGAGTCATTAAAGTAAGTTTCGCCCACTTTCCTATGACACTCGTGGCTTGATCATCTACTTGACTTACTTGACTTAAGGCGGGTAGTATTCCCGAGATCCATTAACAACAGTTCTTCACAGCTTTCTGTCCTTCATCAGTCTAGTTATCTCATCTACTGACTTCAGCCCAGTATCTGCTGTTAGGTTATCTAATATCTAGTAGTGTTAAGTAAGGTCGCCCCCTGTTAGTGTGCCCATGACTCGGCTTCCAGAGGATCAGTTTGTTCAGTGTCAGCTCCGGATGTCGGTGATCCTGACCTGCAAGTCTGAGCCTTCGTTGGGTTATCTTGGAGCTGACTTTGGGAAGATCACCGTACAGGCTGTGGTTGCTGACATGGGCTCGATATTGATTGATTCTTAACATTCGCATATAGCAACCATCAACCATCTTCTCTAGCTTTTCGTCATAGTCCAAGTCTCGGAACTGTACAGAAGCACCGACTCGACTAGTGCTGTAAACACTCTGATCTTGATAGACTTCCTAAGCTTAGAATTCCAAATTTTTTTGACGTTTGGCATGCTCCCCATGCTCTTCCTTTCCTAACCCTGATATCACTCTCACTGTCTCTGATTCTAGAACCCAGGTAGGTGAAGTCTTCCACATGCTCTATTGTGCTGTTACCCAAGGACTTGATGGTATCAGGGTTCTCGATGTTCTGAGTAATGAATTTGGTTTTCCCTTCATTCATTCTAAGTCCCACTGTAGCAGCAACCCTTTCTACCTCTTGCATCAGCGTCTCTGCCTCCTTTACAGTATCTGCTATCAGAGCAATGTCATCCGCAAAACCAGTGTCCGATATCCGATATCTTCTCCGCCTTAGTCATCTAATCATTTACAATTAACTTGCTCTCTGACTTACATCTTGCTTGCCGCTTTTCTGAAAATCATTTCTCTAACAACATCAAGCTCTTTAAAAAGATATCGCCATACAGTTCTGTCATACTCAAAACATATTACTATAAGTTTCCTAGTGTGTATACTACATCTTGATTTTCAACCCTTTTGACCCAATAGGTTCCTATGACAATGTTAATGCTACAAGTACATGTATGTCCCAAAAAGCAATTTCAATTTGAAGAAACTCACAGTATATAATACTAACTATGTTTCTATGCATAGTTTAGCACGCACTTATCTTCAAAGTAGTCTTGTAATTGCAAGTTAATTTATGAGAGTTAATAATAATTCGTGTAATTCGAGCAGGAGAAGAGAGCTAGAAGACGAGTCCTAATACAAACATTCAATTGAATAAATGTACAAATAACTGCAAACCTCTGGAGTAGAGCTATCCAGACGTAAAGGATGCCTTTTAAAGAACGAAGATTTGATTTATGCAATTATGTATAGTTGTGAGGAGTTCTAATGATATGAGAGAATGATCACAGTGATGAGCAGAGATATGTAGATAGAGTAGAGTCCTCTAGTAACATTGAGTGAGAGAGTCACTAAATCAAGAACTCGATAGAGACTCAGTATACTGAGATGAGGTCATTAGATAGATGAGTATTGTTGAGAGAGAGCAAGAGAGTAAGTGAAGACAAGAACATGAGCCTCCTGCAAGGACGTATCTGTAAACTCGTGGAACAGAATTGAAGGTTTAACGATGTGTTGTCATGAGATGTGATAGATAAATGAGCTATTGTATTCAGAGAAGATAATACATTTCAGTACATGTATAAGATGGTCTCTATACAAAATCACTCAACACACTAGCAGTGACTAGACGTCGTGTAATTGATACAGACAGAGGTAGAGGCAGCTAAGGAGAGAGAGAGAGAGAGAGAGAGAGAGAGAGAGAGAGAGAGAGAGAGAGAGAGAGAGAGAGAGAGAGAGAGAGAGAGAGAGAGAGAGAGAGAGAGAGAGAGAGAGAGAGAGAGAGAGAGAGAGAGAGAGAGAGAGAGAGAGAGAGAGAGAGAGAGAGAGAGAGAGAGAGAGAGAGAGAGAGAGAGAGAGAGAGAGAGAGAGAGAGAGAGAGAGAGAGAGAGAGAGAGAGAGAGAGAGAGAGAGAGAGAGACGCTCCGTACATAACATTCACTTGAATAATATTCACATAATATACACAGCAACACACTCCGGAGACGAGCTTCCTCATGACCGTAAAATGCTTGTTAAAACACACGATTGTTTTGTGAATTATCGTATTCATTTGTCGAGAGTTCTGACTGATTCGGCATGAGTCCAAGTGATGGTCCGTGATTATGTGGACTCCACAGTGAGCTCCTCATAGTAACATTACTAGTGACTCACTATAACTCAGTACTCACTAGTGAGCGTCCTATTAATAGACTGTGTTTCGTCTGGTAAGACAAGACTTACTAATGAACAATGAACATTGGTCCTCCTCAGACGTTCTGTAACTCGTGATACAGCACAGTGAATTGGTTTAACAGCTGTTCGTTTCCATGTGATGTGATAGATAATATGCTCTTTATATTTCAAAACGTATACATTTCATATGTTTATACATGGTCTCTATATTTCAAAATCACCTCCAACCAGTCAGTGACTAACGTCGTGTATATTACTACAACAATAGGGCAGCTATATGTCGTAGCTTTATATTTAGAAAGTTCCAGTAGTAGTTCCAGTAGAGGTACACTTATAGTGGGAAATGTACTGACAGACCGGGATGTGGTGACTAGTGAGTGGGGGATATTTCCTATGTTTGGCAAGCAGCTAGCATGTAAAGTGTTTATGTAGGAGCAGCAGCCCCGGAGCTCTGAGAACTCACTTCTCAAGCAGAGCTCTTCTTTCTTCTTCGCGCTCTCTGCTCTGCTACCGCTCTTTGTTCTCTTGTGTAGTGTACTAGTCAGGTGTTGTGTGGGAAGTGTTGTTATTTGTTTGTTGATGTTACACTGTGGTCTAGTAGTTGTTGTTTAGGAAAATCAGTTATTTCTTGTGGTTGGAGCGTCATTTCGATGAGTAATGATTTTGAGTACTAGAGTTTATCGTACTGGTCAGTGGTCATGTACCATTTTCTCGAATGTTTTAATTTTTTAATGATTAATTTTAATCTGGTAGGAATGCAACTCAGTTAGATGTAATCCTAATCTGAACTGTCGAGTATGTGTGAGGAAATATGTAATGATGTCAACATTTTTCTTTGATAACAGTCATTATCAGCAATTCATTAGGGTTACTAAACAATGGAGTGAAATATTCGAGGAATTTTCAATTTAAAAACCTCGCCACATATTTGGTCATATTATGAGTCATTGCGATCGTCGAAATTTCCGGCATTTTTTCACAATTTCCTGTTCAGAAACTTAAGACACTCAGGATTACATTAGAAGTGTAACTAAACAGTAAAATATCAGGCTGCTTGAATCGTATCACTTGATATTGATACTATTATGATTACTGACATGGAACCCTCAGGGCTATCAATTACAAAACAACACAGCACCAGGCAGATACCAGCCTAAATACGTTACAATCTATAATTAGTACCTACTTACATAAACCGTGGATAATATGTAATCCATACTGTACATATCATGCCCCAACCTAATATGATTTGACGTTAACATGGTTATAAAGATCACACACATGGAGTGAGAGACTCTCCAAATATGGCGAGTATTACAGCCGGGGTAGGGCGTGACGTCACGACTTAAAGGTGATTGATCTGGGCTGGATCAGCCTCTCTCTCTCCCTCTCTCTCTCTCTATGGCTGACGGTGTTTTACTGTTACCTTGTCAAGCCTCGTTTCCTGTATTTGTCATAGCTGTGACGTGCGAGCTGTAACTGTGTAAATCCTGTCCTAGTCGAACCTTTTTAATTGTGTTATTCTTAAGTTGATTTCCCACCAATATTTCTTACGCTTTTTGTGATTTTATTTTTGTTGTCCAACTACCAGTTCAAATTCGTGATTTGCTGCCAAACGGAACTGTTAATATTTTTATTTTCCGGGGAATAAGGAAATACTGAATAGTAGCAAGCAGTTGCACAATTTCTTATCAAGTTGTTATCGGGTATGAACTCTGTCATAATCGATTTTAGATTAAGTTTCACATAGGTCATAGACTGCCACATTTCTAATGAACATTATTCATAAGATACTGAAGATGCACCACATTTAACCGTAATATTAATGAATTGCATTTAATCTTCCGTTTGGATGAAATTAGGATATCTCATTTTAATTTAAACGAAATTATCCGCAAACCGTATATATTTGCGGTTTATTTTTATTGAGTACTGGCCATGTATATCGTATTACATATGGTTAAATCCGCGGTTCACATAAGTACACTTCACATAGGTACCTGGTACACCCTCGTGCACTGTGCAGTATCTTTAGTACTGTATTCTTAGCTCTTTACATTTCCCTAAATTTTTCCCTTCGGAGTTCATTTTGATATCTTGATGTTCCAGATAATTTCGTGAGTAAATATGATGAATTCTTCTGTTTGTTGTTATAATCCAACGTTGCATAATGTGTGTAACGTTATGCTGCGTTTTAGATCACAACCAAGTATAACTCGCGAACATAATAAAAAGCACATGGGGGCCCCAATGATACTTAACATGGCTTTGTTGATTCGGTTCGCTACGTAAATCAAGCATGAAAATGAATAATATATCTATTGTGCTCTCACAAAGATGCAACATACTGCTTCCAAACATGGTGTAATCATTATCAGCACCACAAGAACCTGACAGGCTCGCAGTTCTGAGGTGCAGGAATGATCCCTTCTCCGGGTTCCTTCTGACAAGTAACCTGGAGCTTGCAAGAAATCTGCGACATGGCATTATAAATGACAAATATCAAATGAAAACCTCCTTCAATGAAATGATAACGCGGGTTATGCGATATCGAACCATCTGGTTAAATCTATATGCATGGTTGCTAATTGATATGCCACTTCTGAATGCGTCGTTTGACAATGAGTAAGAGACATAATATTCATTAATATCTGTCAATTGCTCATGGGGGAAGTTGAAATATCTCTTGTAATACCCAAACCCAAGTTTGATAATGAATGCTGTGTATCATCAAACTTCCAATTTGTCTCTGTGACTGTAGTTGCAAGATTAATTAAATGATCGAGTTATATAAGAGCCTCGCCTATAGCGTGGTTAACTCTGCTGCCCACCTTACAGAAAACGCATTAAGTTACCGAAATAAATCTTATAAAGTCCCCCAAATCGGATTAAATGACATAAAATATGGTGGATATTCGTTCTAACATGATCGAGCGAAATATTTTGCTCTGTAAAATGTAAATTGAAAGTAGTGTTTACTCTTTCGTGATTCTTGATTATGTTTGTTTCTGTGTGAATTAATTTCCTGTGTAATTATTTCTGTTTCAACTGACTCCGTATTGGAGCCTTGTTGGTTGATAGTTTTAATTTTCAAGTACCAAGTTAGACCTAATTTATATTATTACTAATAAGCTAATAACGGGGCAGCCGGATCCAATACCTGTATTTTGATAATACTCCGGCCACTCGGTGGTATAACTAAAAAGTTAGCGGCCACGGAATTAAGTCTGTATTTATTGGGCTGTATCAAATATCTCATGTTGATTCTATTTTGCTAAAAATGTGGCACTTTTCTACTTAAATTAAGTTTATCCTAATTGAATCAGACGAATTATCACCTTCTAACCAAAATGTAGCTCCCCTAAAAAACTCACTATCGGTTAATTGGGATCGCAGGGATATCACTAATTGTCTCCCTTCTCGTATTACTGATACCCAATTAACATGTACTAACAGTGAACTAGCTCTCCATGTAAACACATATCACTGCTATCATCCAGACCTAGGAAGTATCCGTCCACTACCCCCTAATTCCTTTTAAAAACATAGTAAACCCCTCATTACTACCCCTCCCTGGCACGACGCCAACAGTTAATATTCAGGTCATTGTGTGATCCCGGCTGCTCTCAGTGAGAGAGAGTGTGTGCGGCTGTTCAGTGAGGTCCAGCCACCTGCTGCTGCCCGGGCCTCTATATTACACTAGCTCTCTGTTATATAGTGAACATTTATATTATCTTACTCTGTCTTCGTTCATTATTACATGTCCTTTTTCTCTTGGGGAGGTGTTTTATTTTTTGCGTATCAATTTCCATGTTTTCGTATGTGTGTTGATTTTTATTTTGATCATTGGTATGATCCACGTGCGGGGTCCTCGGTGGATTATATTTCAGAGTGAATATGATTACATTAGATTGAACAAACGCATTGTTTTATATAGGAGATCTGGTGATTAATTAAGTGTGATTCTCGGCCCTGTGCTACTTTTACAAAAACATTTCCCAATCATTGCACAACTTACTTCAATCACAAATTACAGATTCTCTTGTGGGGTTTACCCACTTGCTAATTCATGCAATATCCAATATTGCAATGAATCAATTCAATATTGCAATATTGCAATGAATAAATTCTTACTATTTATTCAAGTGGCGCCTTTCGGGTGCTACTCCTACCCTTCCTATTTACTAATAACATATGTTTGATCAGGAAGGAATTCAGTAAGGAGTTTACAAAGAACCCGGAAGTCATTGTTCACGCTTCATCGACCTCCCGACTATTTGAGATGCTCAACAGCAAAACCTCAAAAAAGGACAGAAAAATAGGGCTTGGGGTGAGTTAACTTTTTTTAACTTTTTGTCAAAATTTGTTTACCATATGTTATTGTTTATTTCCATTTGTGGTAATTATTTGCTGATAAAATTCCAAAATAAAGTGTGCAGTAATTGTTTGGTTCTCTGAAAATATCTACCCCCGTTGATTTTAGTCGAAAACATTTTGATTTTGAGGTCATAAGTATACGCTAGATCCAGGAAAACAGTTGTAACCTACTTGGTAATCCCTTTAGATAACATACAAGTTCTCATCATTATCAGTTGTTTTTTCTCTTAAACCGTATCCGACAAGTTTCCTCATCTTATCGATTATTTCCTTCTGTAAAATCAAATCTCATGCTGGTAGTATTGTTCAAAAGTGGATTGTCATCACAAGCCTTTACTGTTATCTATCAAAAATCGCGCTGTCTTTGAGGGAACTCTGTGAATATTATATCCTAGCTCGAAGCTCAAATTTATCAAAAGACCTAAAGTTTAGAAAGCCGCTATAGCATTGTGGAACCTTTGATGGGGGATAACCTTACTTAAATATCAGGTAGCCGACTAAGTGATTTCACCTTTGACCATGGTCCTCTAATTGGAATATTAATGGCCTCTAATTCCCATGTCTCATTGTAAAAATCGAAATTTCATCTTCATTTCCCACTCAGAAATCGGAGGTAAAATAATGGAAGTCATATTTCTTACTACATTTGGGACCAGATCTCATGCATATAACATATAACACGTACATTAGCACCTTGTACCGCTCAAGCTGGTCGTGTTGATTGGGTGAATGGGTGCCCTCAGCCTTATTAATATCACTTAGGTGAAACATTTGACAGCCAATCAGGTGTCAGCTCTATCCCGGATCCTGATTACATGTTCTGATCAAGTTGACGCTCCTTTTGTTATGGCGTGTAGTAAGATTGGGAGGGTATTAGACATATTACATATTACCCATCAAACAAATCACTGTCATGATTAAACCAGGTGACGGTAAGATCATTGTTTGTATTCTGAAGCGCAATCAGTCTCTGCCCCCATAATAGGAGTGTTATATACAATACGGTTATCAGAGCATGACAGAGCATGACGGTGTAGAACAGGTCTAGGTTTGAGCTGCCCAGATCCAGTGTGTCTTTTAACACACATGTGTGGATAATACCTGCTCCGTTTAGCAGATTCTGCAAAGATTGCGTGTTTTATTCTCAAATCACACCCCGGCTTTTCAAGTTGAGCCTAATGGTCCTTGTGAACATTGTACAAGGAATACCATATCCTTTGTGTTTTAGGGGAAGGTGTCAAATCTTGAGTTTATAGTCGGTAGTTGTCTGAAAATACCCCACACACTTCCGTTCTACATCCTACACTTCCGTTCTACATCCTACACTTCCGTTCTACATCCTACACTTCCGTTCTACATCCTACACTTCCGTTCTACATCCTACACTTCCGTTCTACATCCTTCACACACAGATCTACCCGGCCTTTTTCCGCAGTATCAATTAAACAATCACTGATCCAGCTCTTTTCCAAGAGGCGGCGATCATGACGTCAAGACGATAATCACATTTTCACATATGTAATGGCAGAGAAGGTACTACTATGTCGTCTAATAAACGTGCTTCCTTTATGAGCAGGTCTGGGTGAGCGGGCTCCTCTCAGTTCATTGTCTTGAGATGGTACACAGTGTATGATCGGGAGTTAGGAGCGAGGTGGGAGGGATCTAATTACACCCGCTCCTTTGTTGACTTACCTCCCCTCCTAGTTGCTCACTTTTGTTCCATCTTTTGTGTTTGGAGTCAGCTCTTGAAACGTTTTTTGCCGCTTCGTTTGAGGTGAGGGTTTTAGTGAAGGTTTTTATAGGGTGAATGTTATCTAGTTATTTAAATGTTCCTTAATTCTGTAGAACTATAACATATAAGATATTAATGTAATTTGGCGGGAAATTTTGTTATTTGGCGGCGATCGTTATAATTTAGTGGCCTTGGTCGTCTTAATTTTTATGTACAAGCGGCTCGTGTGTGTGTTCCTTAACAAGGTTGGGATGTGAGCATTGTGGCTTAGAATTGAGAACATACGCGTTTTAGAGTAACAACCTTACGAGTTTTAGAGTTTTGTAACATTTGTAACAACTTTACGAGTTTTGTAACAATTGTAATATCCCAAGTTTCAGTCAAACCGCACAGAAAATACGCGATTTTTGCCAACAACGGCATAATTATAAAAACCTTAACTATTTTGAGTAAATTTGGTGTGACTATAATAATATAGTGTTACATAAACAAATTGAATTCCGATATTTCATGAGGTCACACTAAATTACAGGCACACGACTAGCCTCGTGTTATTACTCCACTACAATATTAGCCTCCTGTTCCAATCTTTACTGCAATTCTTTTACTCCGACAGCCGACTGTGTTATTTCTCCGACTGTTATGTTTTGTTTCTCCGACTGTTAGATTTTGTTTCTCCGACTGTTAGATTTTGTTTCTCTGAAGCTGTTAGGTTTTGTTTCTCTGAAGCTGTTATGTTTTGTTTCTCTAAAGCTGTTATGTTTTGTTTCTCTGAAACACTGTTAGGTTGTGTCTCTTTACACGAGTTTTATAATCCTGTTGCTACTCTCTTAAAATAGCTCTAACTAACTAATCATTCGTCTGAACAGCACTAGTGTTGTTACTCTCTTACACTGACTTAGAGAATGGTTCTAACTAACTAACGAATGATTTGTCTAGGTGGCACTACAATGGTGTCAACTTCAGAGCACACTTCATCTAGTTAAGACTCTCTCAGAAAGGACTGTAATGTAGTTGTGTCTATAACCGTCTATATTTAGTGTTCACTAACAAGGCACTGTACACCACCGGCCTAGAGAGAGAGAGAGAGAGAGAGAGAGAGAGCTTTTGTAGCGTACTACTGCACAGTGCACATTCTCTCATTGTTACTGCATCTTTTCCTGTTAGTGCAAATATAGCAGCTTTCACTAAGATCCATGTTAATTAGGTTGACGTTGTTAATTACCTGTGACTGTTGAGAGAAGAAGGGAGGTATCTAGTTTCCGCCCACCTTCCCTTCCCCCGCCTGGGATGAATTTAGCTGGGTTATTTTAGGAAGAGAGTTGTTTCTTTCTTAGTTTGTAACCTCCTCACATTTTGAGTTTATAATCGTATGCGCACATGGTGAGGATTAACATATGGATGCTGGTTACGGTGTAACTTTTTGTTAGTTGTCCACTTGCTGCCATATAATCTGTTAGATTGGGTGTGGACTGTGGTACACGCCCTGTAATAGGTTATATTTCTCGTTATCATTCTGACTAGGTTCTGACTGGGTTAATTAAAGAGTCGTTATGTCTCTTATCAGTGGATATTTGTGAAGCTGTACATTACTTGTTGTGTGGTTGACAGTTGTTGGAGTTCCAGTTTGACTTTTGAGTTGAACTTACAAAATAATCGATTAGTCCTGAGAAATTGATGGTTCTTGAGGTAATTCAAAGCGTAATCGACAAATAAAATAGATAAGCAGTGATCATTGATTTGTTACTAACGATCATTTTAATTTATGATGTTAGTCTACATGTTTATTTCTGTTGATATTAACTGATTTTCTGTAGGTAACAACGAATGGTGGATGTCGGAGTCTAAACGATATCATGTCAGAGCTAAACTCTTCAATTGCATCTCTTGACTCAGCTGGGTATGTAAACTACTTATATTTACTAATTACTAGTTGCTATAACAACCAATCATTCAGTAGCTTTTACAGCTACTCGTTAAGACAGTATCACTAATGACTCAACTAACAATTTGAGATATTTGATAAAACTCTTCACAGACTTCACATGGGTATATACCGTTTCTATCCAATCGGGGTTTCTCTGTAACTTTAGTTTATAAGTAAGTTTATAAGTAAGTTAATAAGTGTTTATAAGTATGTTTATAAGTAAGTTTATAAGTAAGTTTATAAGTAAGTTTATAAGTAAGTTTATAAGTAAGTTTATAAGTAAATTTATAAGTAAGTTGTAAGTTATAAGAATTTAAAATAATTAGAGTTATATTAAGTTTATAAAATTTATAAGTAGTTAGTAAGTTATAGTGTTTATAGAGATTAGTATTTATAGGGTTAATTATGTTTGCCAATATCAAGGCTTCTTCAAACGAACAATGGTCCGAAATTCCACATATGATCTACTTGGTGCCTATCAGATAATATTTGCACCTCAAATCACGTTCCACAAAAATGGTGATAACCCTTTTATCAATCCTTCCAAGTATGTGGCAACTTTTTGGACTTTCTATTATTATCGATTATCAAGATTTATCTGCAAACAATGTTGGTATACGTGCGGGTTCTCACACCTCGTTACTTTAGCATCCGTGAAAATGAGATGTTTAACAAATAGAACAGGATCTCACAAACTGAATTAGAGTGTTACCTGATCCGACAGGAGTTGCGATCATTCCCCGGGTTATCTTTACTCTGGTTGGAGTAATTGCTCTCTAATTTACACCAGGATAGCGTAGAAAAATTAATATTATTTATCATTTTATCTCCGTTCATCTGATATTCGTTCTGTTTTTCTCATGAAGTATCCGAAGACTTTTAACCTAAACCGGCAATTATCTGGGTATGTTCTTCTAAGAAAATCAAATTAAATTAATTTAGTTTTATAGTCAACTTCCATCTAAGATTGCGTTTCATTACATGAGATCAGAATATTTCACTCGAAAAAATTTAATAGACTGTGATTTAATTAACGGTACCAGAGATAGAGAGGGAGGGGCCTTCTAGAGAGCATAAACTTGTCGTTGCCATACATTTTCGCGCCAAAAATAAAATACGTAGTTTCTTTCCAAATATACGTAGTTTTTTTCCTCGACACACAAAATTGAAGTCCGGCATTGTTGACCTATGTGACTGACAAATGGTAACGTGACGCTATTGCTCAGTTATAATAGGTTGTCGTTACTTGAAAGATTGCATAAAGATGGTTGACTATTCATGTATAACTTAAGTTATCCAGCAGCCCCTGGCGCCAGCTCACTTAGTAAGAAGGCCACTAAAACAATTCTGCTCAAATAATTGTCACCATATCGGACTTTTTAACCACATCTGGACCACCATAGTAATATCTTGGCAGATAACCAAATCCAGATTTGTACTCGACCTGCAGACATAATTTCATTATAAATCTGAATATGAAGTAAGCCTTACTTGTACTGGCCACTCCTTTTCCTTCTCTCTTACAGGGAGGTGTTTCATCTTATCCTAGTTTTATGATATTGATAATTTAAAGCGGTAGATAAGACCTGGGGAATATTCTGATTTTGCATCGGTAATTTAATATGGCAGAGATTTTAGAGGGACCATGTCAAATTATAGGTCTCGTACGCTGCCTAAGGCTGTGACATGTGGAAACTGATTATCGCAATTTCTAGAACCAATTTTTAACTCTCGTGATAATTTGATAACCATAGCAACGTCACAATATCTGGCAGTAATCCAGGACAAATCTCCATGGTTTACCAAATAGTGTTACTTGATCCATGATTCCGGTATAATGTTACATGGCTCAGATTTCAATCGACTGACTGACTGACTGACTGACTGGGTACGGGTACCCTCACAGTCTACTTAAAATGAATTAGACAAACTTTAATATCCCTAATGCGTTATAATGACCAGCACAGTAATGTTCCAGTTACATAAAGACCACTGTCTCACCCTCATATTAAGTAACAACTAATAGCGTTCCCCAGTGTAATAATCTGAATAATGTAGGGACCTAAACTAATGTCATACATAATGTATTCTGTGTATTCTGTGTGTGTGGTTGTGATCACCTCAACTAACCTAAACCCTCTCCAGGCACTCAGAGGACAACAGCTCACTGTTTGACGGCAGCAGCTACACCACCGGTGGCAGCATGACAGAGAGCATGGCCGAGATAGCTGCTGAGGACCTGATCACAGCCATGAGAACACAACGAGCTCACTTGCTGGAGAGAAGAGCCGAGATGCAGATGAGGGTTATACATCTGGAGAACGAAGAAGCGGTGAGTTCTATATAGTTTACATGTCATTTGTATAAACATACAAACATTGTGTCTAGACTGTTTACGTTAATCTAGAATATGACTACCATATTAGCCACAGCTGTTTAGTGTTTACCGTAACCGTGTTGACAATGTGTCCTCCGCAGGCAATTATAACAGGACAGCGTATACACGAGGTAGCTGGTCTGGACTGGAGTAGGAAACATATTAACACCGGCTTCCTCATCAACAACCCTTCCGAGGGTATCAGCTCTATGGTAGGTGTAACTAAACTTTAGAGTTGTTCGCTAATTTGTAACTTATCCTGGTCTCCTTTTTGTTTCTGTGGATGTGTAATGACGCACTTTCCCCCTTCCCGTATGAGGTCCTTATTATCAATGACGAGTTAAACTGCCCAACCCACCTGAACAATACGTCATGGTTAAGACGTGTTAGCATAATAGTGTTAGTATAATAGCCCTCTTATATTTCAATTATTATCAGGACGAAGTTTCCCAACTCGAGTTTGACGTTGAGATCCAGAAGAAGATTGTGCACGCTGCGCGCCGTTTGGCTCGTGAACATGGAATTGGGCGGAGTGCCAAAAGAGAAAGGAAGATGGCAACCCAGCGGGCCCTTTTGAAGCTGCAGGAGCTAGAGCGGAAGTTGCAGAGTGCTAAGAGGTTCCAGAGACCCTGTAACCCGGATACCTCTGACAGGTAACTTGCCGCGCCAAAATAATAAGTAATCATATCAGCTTAAAATAATAAGAAATAGTGTCAGTTGACACGTACGTGGTGATTGTGGACCCCTGGTTATCAAATTACTTCACTATTTCTGTCACCTGCGTTACCAATATACTTTCTAAAGCCCACACAGATCAGGCCACAGCTGAATAATGTACGGTAGAGTATCTGATAATAATAATCCCCATGGAAACCACCTCTAAACTCTAACCTCCCCTCAGTGAGAAACAGAAGCTTCACGAGCACCAGACCTACTACAAGGCTGTAACTGATAACGGCTACTATCCTCACTTCAGAACTGTCTCCTCGTCAACCAGTGAAGATAAGGTACGAGATTGTTCTAGAACTTGTTGTAAATTAGTGAGATAATGGAGTTGGTTATAGCTCCCAACCAGATCCTTCTCTTTAGGGCAATCAATAATCATCAGGCCAAAAAGAGCGGAGCCGCTTTCTTCCATTAGTGTTCCTTTGATGTTTACCTACAACCTGTATAACAGTCGTATAATCGCGATCAAACATCATTAATTATACTGGCACTGATGTTTATAGTCACGTTGATAAACATAATATTGTTGTCCCTCATGTCTTATATCTGAAGTTTGATACTATTACAGGTGTCTGGATACGATCCCACAGAATCAGATTGGTCCACACCGCTCTCTCCCGGTTTCTGTGACAACCAGCAACCGTCACGTCACTCAAGCTCCAGCTCTATTGGTACCAATTGTCAGGATAGTGTCCGTGCCTCCTTGCAGCTAACTCTTCTCGACGACACAATTACCAAAACTCAGCCGAGAAAGCGAAGCGACACAAGAGGCTCAATTACTCCGCAAAACTCAGTGAACTATGAACCAACCTCCCCAGTAACTCCGCCTCACTCGGCTAAATCAAAGAGCTTCTTCAATACTTCATTTCCTTTCCGTATCGAGAGTCTTGCTGGATCGATATCTGGATCTCGTCGTCAGGACAACATGAACAAAGTTGAACCCAAACAAATGCAGTTCAGACCACGTGCTGGCAGTTACAAGCAGCCCGATGTGAACAATGTGAGCACGCTCACACGTTGCCATGACAACGTCATACCTGAAAAAATAACAAACAGTTACGAGAAGTACCTTCAAACGCTCAGAGTGAACAGACAGAGAAACGAGCTCGTTAACAGAAACTTCGAGAACAGACGTCATTCCTGCTCCGACTGGCAGGATAACAACGTCACAAACTATAATGGTCACACGTCCAACGGTCACATGACCAATGGTCACACGTCCAACGGTCACATGACCAATGGTCACATGACCAATGGTCACATGACCAACGGTCACATGACCAATGGTCACATGTCCAATGGTCACATGACCAATGGAACAACAAGCCAGCACTCTACTGCTGTCTAGGTGTTACCCAACCTTTTAGCGACCTTCCTATCCTATCAGAGATTGTGTTATCAGCTATGGTTGAATGATCAAGCTTAGGACTTGGATTTGAGACCATCAGTAAGATTCAGAATGAAATGGAAAAGTGCAAATAAGTTCTATCATACTGCCATCTGCCATCATTCTCCTATACTACAAGTAAATAGCACTATTAAGTCTTGCAAACTACATCAACGAATGGTGATTATTGGTTTTAGCTGTCATCTTATTAGGAATCTGAAATTTTTACGAGAACACTCTGATTAGAAAAACAATCCCATATTAAACTTACACATTACAGTTATATTTGACCCTCAATCATTTTGTTATATAAACAGATATGGGTAATTATTCTACTGTCAGTTCTAATAATGTAAGGATATCCAATTCTTATAGTAACAACCTAACAAGTATTAGAAATTTCTGCATATTTTTTCGCTATCAGTTTCAGTTTACCTGCTATTTTATTTCCTGTTTTAATTAATTTATCAACAGTCAGACGCCGATAATTATTCTGCTTGTAAGTGAAACCTTGTCCGCATAAATATTTTAACTACAGTTTATTAGAAATATTTATTAAATCCATCTTAAATCCTGGTGATTATATTTAATAATAATCGGCGTCTGACAAATCCATTATGCCTCAGATCTGCTTTGTACTTCTAGTGTTCTAGGACTGCACGCATTCTTCAAATAGTTTTGATAAAGTAGTTTGAGAAAGATTTAGCTGTTTTGTTATGAAATGCTTCTTTATTTTTAATGCGATATAAGAATTATTCTTTTAACTGTTTCAACTATCGATTGATTCCTTGCTGATGCAGACATATATCAATATAAAAGTAATAAATCGTTTTGAAAACAACCTTGAAAATAGAAATCCAAACTTTAAATTTGTAACTTCAAAATATGATATCAGCTTTTAGTCGGTGGTTCAAAACTGCAGTGAAAAGTAGTTCAGTACGATTCAAATTGAAAATGTTGATGCTGTTTACATGCATATCTTTTTGCCTCGTATAGCATTACAATAGTGTCCATCATACATCTGCAGTCATCATAGTAGGTTGTCTTCTATTTTCTGCATCGTTCTCTCTATCCTTTCTGCACAGGCATCCTACGAATTTACCCCACGACGTCTTAACGTATAATCAGAATCTCATCTCCTTTTTCCTGGTAAGGTAGACCACTGGGTTGCAGGCTGAATTGAGAGGAAGCAGGATGTTATATGTTACAGCAGTCAGTAATTGAGCATGAGGTATCTGCAGAATGCTCAATACAGATACGATTCTCCATCCAACAATGATCACAAACCGACATAGCAGACACAGAATATAAGTGATATAATGCCCACAGTAACTGCAGCTTTCCTCCTCCAGGTATCTGTTTGGGACAGCTTGCAGAGGTAAAGCTTTCCAAAGCTGATAACGTTCAGTAAACCACAGGTAGAAACAAACTAACCAGCAAAACAAATTGAATATAAACGGCAACAGAAGCCTCTTCTTTATTGTTAGACTCTTCTGAAGAGTCTACAAATTTCATTGCTATTGTCAATCCAATAAGTGCAGTATAAATTGCAGACAATAATTTAAAAGCCGTCCAATTAATGACGTGAAGAGGGAATATCAAATGTATTGCCCTGACAGCTGTGAGTAGACAAGTTAAGTAACCAGTCGTTAATACTGTTGGGTACAATATGCAATCAAAAGCTAGATCTTTGAAAAATGAATCAAGTATTAAAAATGCCATCATCACGCTGACCAATAGATCACATATGTTCAGAGCAGCAAATATTTTTGTGGTGAGAGTGTCAGAGTTTCTTGTTCGCCTATTTGCCATGATTTTACTGATGAAGTATGATAGGGACACAGTGTTTGTTATTGTCCCGAATATCGCTATCAATACGCTAGAACCGAATATCAACATTAGTAAAATCATGTCGATGTTAAACTTAAATGTTATGTTGCCGTTTTCTTTCAGTGCAGAGTTTGTTGATGTCTATACAATCCGCTATGATATTATCAATATCATTGTACTTTGACCTATAAAGAGTTTAAATTAGCTGAATTAAGAATTTTGCTTCAGTAGAACTTCTTTAATCTCTATACCGTGCTTCTCTTGTATCACGTGGTGACCCCCACGGTCGCTTCACTATAGTGGAGTACTACACCCCCTGTAGAGTTTCGACGATACAGGGGGAGCCGCGCACTCGTGCGCGGCGGGTCATACAACGTATGACAATGCTTCTCTATATCGGGTACCTCGATATACCAGGCCTCCGTTTTCCTCATACTTTTAGTCAATTAGCTCGTGTTTAAATACGGCCATAATGGGGTATATGAGACGCTAATTGATGCATTATTTGAGAGGCTACAGAATCACAAGTACCGGGATTGAGATCTCTATACCGGGTTTGTTCCTACAACGTACGTTTTACCTTTCCCCCGAGAGATTTGGTATATAGATTATAGAGTTCTATTGTATTTTCTTAAGGTAACCGAACGTCAAGTTCAACACGCCTTTAAACCTTTAGTTTTACTCAGACTTCATTTTTAACATCGATCTACAATGTCATGAAAATAAAATATCGAATTGAATAAAACTTTGAGAATAAAAAATGAAAACAAAAGAAATGTTTGTTCAAACGATATTCGAGATGTGGATCAATTGAGACTGAGTGCATTTGTTCAGCATTATGTTTCAGCCTATATGACTTTCTTTCGCTTATGAATCCTTTGTTCTTCATTTAAAATTAATAGACTGCTTGGTCTTAGCTGACTGAATAATTTTTTTTTTCAGTTTGTAGATTATATATTCGCATATAATTATATTCGAGACACTGAGACAGCATGAGAGTAGGCCCTGCTGCATCTCGTTGTGACTGAATCATATTGAACACTGAACAGTTAACACAGAATAAAAGCGTCTCGCCTGACAAACTATATACTATACTATAAGTATATAGCAGAGCCGGGAATATATAGCCATTCTCCAAATTTGGAACTTTTACTATGTTGCAAAATCGGGAGTTCCCATTCATTCACAATTGATGATTCATTGAGGAGCATTATCCGTAGGCAGTCCTCGGCAATAACGATGTGATAAAACTCACGGCCTCATTGGACAGACTACCTACCGCTCTAATCTCAAAGTACGCTTATAGTTATCGGCCCGAAAGCAAGCCAAAGGAATTTCTGCAAAGTGTGATTTATGCTATGTAATACTAATAAACCTAAATTCTTTAGCATTGAATTATAGAATGCTACACATACATTTTAACTAAAACTCAACCTCCCGGACGAATTCTGATGAACTGAGTCTAAATAAATAGGTAAAATAATAGTGAGAGGGAAATAGTAGTAAAGGGGGGGGGTATAATAGTAAAGGGGGTATAACTATATAACAGTCAACGTTCGTGCTTGCCAGCATTGTGACTTTATTATTTGTGTTCATTCTAGCTTCACTTCCAGCGGTGTACCTAATATTGAATATATTATGCAGGACCGATATTGAAATATTCTTCACTATAAGTTAAAGTATAACATTAACAATTATGTCCACTGTTTACTGCACCACATGAAACCATTTACAATTTGACGTAGAGTCCTTTTCAAACTAACTTTATAGTTAAACAACAATTTGAGCGTTTCTTTATTATCAGTTATACTTATTGCAATGTTTTGTTATAATAATTTTATAGGTGGGAACTTGGAGGTATGTCTTTATGGCGATGATGCCCGCCCTTTTAATTAAAGTTGTGACGCGGCTGAAAACCGATTCAAAGAGTGTCCCTTTGTACCGCCCAACCAAGGTGTAGTATAATTACTGTAGTACTAGTAGAGGTTATTTCTCGTTTGTGTTTCTATTATTTTAAGTTAATAACTTTGAACTTAATAAATTACTTTGTAATGAGTAATAATAATATAACGCTCTTTGTTGTAATAATTTGTGCGATATCGGTAGTGGCGCTGACAGCTTCAAGCGGGTGCAAGCTTAAAAAGAATGCAGTCAAAAAGAAAATAAAGCAGTACAAAAGTAAATGTCTAAAGAAAGGATTCCAATCATCTATCGATTGCAAGACTGAAAGAGGAAAATTGAGCAAGAAGGCCACGAAGAAATGTCGCAAGCTCGAAGGGATTTTGAAAAAGTGCGACTACTCCTGCCTGCCCCCGATTGATGGAGGTTGGACTGACTACAGAGAATGGACCACGATAGTTTGCTCCGCGCCATGTGGGGAAGGAAAGAAAATAAGGAGAAGATCTTGCAGTAACCCATCCCCAACGTTTGGTGGAGTTGACTGTGTTGGCAAAGCTGAGGAATCCCAAAGTTGCAATATAAAAAAATGCCCAGGTAATTACGAACATAATAATGCGAATTTAGATTCATCAATTTAGCTCGATCGGCCGATTTGCGATTACTTTGTACTCAATCGATCAAATAAATGCGAAAATGAACCTTCATTCGAAAAAAATAAACATGAATATTTTTTGAATGAGATGTGATAGTAAATCATACCAAAAAATAATTACCTCGATCAGTGACACTGACAGAGCTATGCCTATAATTAAGGCCAAATAAAGGCCTATAAAGGCCAACGTATGTAACGTTACTTTTGCCACAGGATGGTCAAACTTTGGAGATTGGTCTGCGTGCTCTGTAACATGTGGGGGAGGGGATCAGGTAAGAAGAAGATTGTGCAATAACCCTGCCCCAGCGTTCGGTGAACCTGACTGTGTTGGCAATGCTGAGGAATCCAAACGTTGCAATAAAAAAAGTTGCCCAGGTAGGATACAAATTCGTTTGATATTATTGTTCTAAATATTTTTGACAAACTGTATGAAAGTGTTAAAAGAGTATTATATTCTTTTAAAATGAACACGTTATTCCTGTCACAGTCAATGGAGGATGGTCAAACTATGGATCTTGGTCCGCGTGCTCTGTAACATGTGGGGGAGGGTATCGGGTAAACATAAGATATTGCAACAATCCTGCCCCAGCTCATGGTGGCAGATCGTGCTCTGGACCTTCCGTCATACACCAAAGATGCAACACTCACTACTGCCGCTACGGGTAGTTGTAATTAAATATGGAAAATTAGTTATAACTGAACTGCACGGATAAACACTTTATTTAGTTTCTTTTTTTTTTAATGAAAAAAAAAGCTATGAAAAACGGTTAAAAAAAGTGAGCATGCGGAACTGGAAAATATTAAAAATTGTTTTGGAATCGAACAGACAATGACTTGAATGTTAAATTAAATTAAATTTTTAGTTTAAGCTTGATAGATTATTGATTTTATTTTACATACATCGCATGAAACATAAAGTTCTAGTTGCCGACAAATTAATCAGTATTATTTTGCATATGAGAACGGTTCATATTTACATCGTTTCTTTTTGTTTGGGAAAAGGAGGAACAAGGCAACGGTCCGCTCTACCCAATTCTGGGTTTTGGTAAAAACAAGTTAGCGTTAGTTTTGCTATATATATCGTATCCAACCCACAAATCACTAATCAGACTGCTGGGTTACTAATCACACAATTAAGTCACTAATCGGAAATGCAAGGGAGTTTACAAACTAGGAATATTATACTTAGAATTGTATCCGGGCTCGAAATATTGGAACGGTAAACAAAAGATTAATATGCCTCATAGAAATAAACCTCGCTGTCCCATTTTTACACGATACTTCGCACAAACCACTAAATGCTACTTTATTGTAGCATTTATGATCCAGCATCATGATGAGGCGAGTGTCTCATAGTAACGTGATGGTAGTTAGTAAAGTCACGGGGTCGGGAAAGGATAATTAATGAATGATGAGATAATAGAAAGATCATTCGACGAACCTGTGTCCCACCAGTTTGATCAGATGCTAATATTTTGTTGAGTAGACCATAGACTGAGAAATACCGTTATTCAATAGCGGTGTGGCTAGTTACTATATATAGCTAGGGACTGATGTAAACTGCAATATTACCGGCCTGATTTAAGGATTAAAGAAATTATATCCTCCCGAGTCCCGTATTATATCTGATAATTTGATGTTGAACAAGTGATACACTTGACAGTACAAATGTCACATTGTTTCATTACCTAGCTTGCTAGTCTATTTATATAGATATAGTCTATCGCTTAAATTCTCGCACTTACCTTACTAAAAAGCTATTTGACTAACAGAAAGCAGTATGTTATGTATAACGATGTACCATCAGAAACAATGGACGTGAAATTTGGAGTACCACAAGGGTCAATTCTAGGGCCGTTACTCTTCCTATTGTATATGAACGATATAGTAAACTGCTTTTCAGACAGTGAGGTGAAATTTGTACTTTATGCTGATGACACTAATATCTTCATATCAGGACCATCTAGAGAAGCAACATACAAAAAAGCCAACTTAGTGCTTAAACATGTCTCGATTTACATGAAATGTAATCTACTTCATATCAACATGTCCAAATGCTGCTACATACATTTTAAACCAGCCTCTGAATATGATGACACCTGTGCACGGACCAGACCATTTGCTATCCTGCTAGATGAATCTAGATCAATATTCATCAATGGTAAGGTTATTACTAAAGTCAAGGATACCAAATTCTTAGGTGTTGTTATAGATAGTAAGCTAAACTGGATTGCCCACATGCACTACATCCGTAAAAAACTGCGATCTATGACTGGTGCAATCTGCAGAATTCGGCAATCGATACCTTCTGAACTATATTTGAAAATATATAACGCTCTTTTTGAATCACATCTCAGTTATGGTATAAGTGTTTGGGGTGTTGTCCTCAGAGAACGGTCCAATGATAGTCTTTTCATCACACAGAAGCACTGTATAAGGATCCTTTTTGGCGACCTTGACTCATATTTAGATAAACAATCAACATGTGCACGTACTAGACCATACGGTATGCAAAAACTAGACCATAAACACTTTGAAAAGGAGCATACAAAACCCATTTTTAATAGATTAAAAATTCTTACGGCTCAAAACTTGTACAAATATCACTGCATCTTAGAATTCTCTAAGATTATCAAGTACCACTGCCCATACTCCCTTTATGAGGCTATCAACATTTCAAACCGTGCAACGAGTCTCACGGTTATTCTCCTAAATAAATCAAATACCTTTTTGTTTAATGCAGCCAAGCTTTGGAACGCTGTTCATAAAAAAATTTTAACTTCAAGCAATTGCCTAGAAACGTCCATTAGCTTGATAAAACTGAGAACCAAAGCACTATTAATACAAGCACAGGCAGCTGACTTAAAAGATACTTGGACTCCAAACAATTTTAAATTGCAGTAATCAAATCTAATTGCAGCGGCACACACTTACTATTACTATCATGATTGTACTATAGACAGAAAATCTTTCAAATCGATTTTGGGCGCTTTTTAACCATTTGTTGTAATGTTTTTAGATACTAAATATCTAAATTTATAAAATTTTTTATCGGAATGAATTAATTGATATTTAATAATTTATTCGGTAGGTTTATCTGGTATTGATATTGATTATATTGTTATTGTTATTATTGAACGAAGCTAACTCTAGACATAGTTAATACTACTTCTTTTAAGAAAGGGACTTGGAGTATAAACGACCAAGTTTGCATAAATTTATATCCACCCAAGAACTCAGGAGGCAAAGGTGGGTGCGTAAACTTTTGGTCTGCACTCTCCGATCCTGTATCACCCTCTCCGATCCTGTATCACCCTGGATTCTTCTCGACGTATCTTTGTAAAAGGTATATACCTTCTAGTCAATCTCTTGCTACTCCATACCAAGTCCCCTAAGATATCTGATCTAAAGTTCGTGCTAGTTATATATATATGAAATATACTTTTGTCTGCTTTAATTGATACTAAATAAAAATGTTGTTTTCTTGAAAAAAAATGTTGTTTTCTTGGGGACACTTGTTGTCAATCGTGGTCTAAACAGTTGAAGGTAGGATTATAAATAAATAAGATTATACTTGACATGTGGTGAAAGGTGGCCTCAAATATATTGGAAAAGTTGGTCAGTCATCAAGCGTCATTATTCATTAAGCGTAATAATTCACCCACAAAGAGTTTACAATTTTCTGAGGGTATTAGGAAATGATAGGAGATTAAATGTTAACGTTTTGACTGAGAAAGTAAGTGGAGAGTGAAGAATATTCTTGATGGTGTTATATAATGGAATGTGGAATGTAATGGAAATAGTTGCTACTTGTTAGTACTACAAGTACAAGCAGGGCCCTTTTACCGTGCCTGAACATTTATTCTGAGTAGAAGCTAGAAAAATGTTGATCCTTTACCTTGAACACCGAGTTACCTATTTTACATAGTGAGTGTTTCTCTTTACGACTTGGCTAATATAAATAGTTTGTTATTGTTAAATTATAAGCACAACCTGCAAGTGCAACTCAAATCTGATGCAAACATGTATTCCTCTTTTTGTTCTAGCCTTCTCGGGATTGCTACTGTTAGGTAGACTTTCCACTAAATTAAAATTTAAAGCTGGTTTTTGTACAATTAATTAAAACACCTCCTTCACCTTGATAACTCTATTTACCAGCACCACAATCTGATAATGAATCAGTCGAATGTAGAACATATTTCTGACCACGTTGTTTACCTCGTTTTCAAAGGAACATTCTTATATTTATCTCCTCTCACCATCCCCCTGAGTCTGATAGTGATAACCCGAAACATTGTCATCTTTCTAAACTACTACAAGGACAGGAACAAGCTGATCCCAAGCTTGTTCATGGGTATTGCCGTGTCTGACATTCTCAGAGCACAAGGAGAGTTGGTTCTCTCGGTGATCAGTATCCTAGCGTACACAGGACTGGTCGAGGTGACTGTTCTTTATAAGAGCTTGGTTTACTACATGTTGACAGCACTCCCTGGTGCGAATTGGTCCAAGGTGTTCAATCTCGCGATGACCATCTCTATCACCATAAAAGTGGTCAACCCTTTTGACAGGATCGATTCTGATCGCTTTATGGGTGTGGTGACATGTTGTTGTATTACGATTATAGCCATGCTTCACCTTTCGGATGTCATCATGGTGATTGAAGAAACACCAAAATTGAATTTGTATGATCCTGGTATCGGAAGCGCTTATCTGTATTTGTTCTTGCTATTTGTATTCGAAGTGCCTGGAGGCTTCACCGCTCTCGTCTTATATTGCATGCGAGATGAGTCTGGAAGGACAAGATGTGACCGTGACCATATGCACACGGGGAATAACAAGGAGATTTTTGATAATCTTCAGTATTCAATGGTAGCAGTCTACTTCTTAGTTCCACCACTGGTTGTGCTCATTTGTATGGTGATACAAGTGGTGTACTTGAGGCGATCGTTGCCAGAAGAAGAGAATGAAGCTACCTCACTGATGCCCAACCCTGCTCGAAATGCTTCTATCACAGTCCTGTCTGTATCACTTCTCTTCTTCATCTGTAACACTTTGTACGTCTGCCTCATCGTAGGATTCTGGCTATACTACAACGCTCATCATTGGGATAAGGAATCCCATTCAGATAACGTGATAGCAGATTTGGGAGTGGGACTAGGATTTTCCGAGTTCACACTGCCGCTAATATACGCAGTGTTTTATCCTGTTATCTTGATCTGCAGGAAGGAGGAGTTGAGGAGAAAATATGTAAACTACTGGAGAAAAGTCACTTCTTGGTGTAGATCGTGTGGTGAAGGAGACTGATAGTTACTGGGCGGCGCTCAGCCTGTCATTCCGCCAAATCTCTATTTATATATATAGTAGCCTGGGATCCCCAGGTAAACTGATAGTGAACTAGGAGAATTTGCTCTATCAAGAGCCCTCTCGAGTCTCGCTTGCAGTAGCGCGCGACCGCCGAAAGTGAAATAACTATAAGCGCGTCACGCAGTACGCGTAGATTCATGGCTAAGTAAAAAGGAGACTGACTGATTGAACGGCCGATAATTGGATTGACAGTAACGTTAACATTGTTTGCTTCATAATGTATACTGATGTTGCTGATTTTAAATTCTTAAAGCGTCTTGCATGACAATAAATTTATTTTTATTTTCATGTACGTTTTCTATGATATGAACGGTACGTAATAAAATATTTTTGTCGATTCGATACTCGATGTGCGATAGACGAAATAATAGGCACATATGCATTGTGCATTTCGATGATTAATGTATTATATTTTTGATACCCTCCACCCTCGCGCCGTTCACATAGCCATGTGTCTACGCGTACTGCGTGACGCGCTTGTTTCACGCGCTACTGCAATTAAGCGAGAGGGCTTTGGTTGGAGCAACTCGCGCCGGGACGCGTTATAACTGGGCGGCGATCAGCTTTTTTTTTTTTAAATGTTGGGGCACCCACTTTACCTCCCTATTGGGATGCTACGTCCGTCATTAGTGACTTACGTCTATTGGGGTTCCTCTGGTTGTAGGCGATCAGCTTGTTCAGGTCATTGTTATTCCGCCGCAGCATCAATTTATTTATCCGCGGCAGAAAAAGCTCGAGGTCCCCAAATAATATTAGAACGTTTTATTTTGTATTTTTAATATCCTTGCGCGCTTGGTTAATTGACGGTGTCAATTTTTCGTTGCTCTATCCAGAGCCCTTGCGCTTGCAGTAGCGCGCGCCCGCCTCACGACTTGTGAAACAAGCGCGCCCGAAGTGGCGCGAAAGCATATGGTTAGGTGTTGTAGCGCGATGCGTTACTGTGCCGCGCCGCGCACTCAATGAGGCTTCTCACAGCGACAGAGAGATCGGCGAGATGCGCTACTGTGCCGCGCCGAGCTGCCATGAATTGACATCGTCAATTAAGGTTAGGTGAACATTTTTTGTATAGTAGCTTGGCATGAGGCAAGTAGCGCATTTTGCCGATTAAATCTAACGAGAACACAGAAGCATTATTGGATACGCGCAGCGCGCGACCCAGTAACGCATCGCGCCAGCTACAATATCAATAGTTTTTCGGACCAGAATCCTTATAATTTCCCGCTCATTTCCAATTTTCCAGCAAACCTTACTAGTATGAAATATAGTTACCTGGCTCGCCAATCCCTGTGCGCGGCGTTCTTTTCAAGCGCAAGCTTCCTGAGAGAAGCAAGCAATTAAATATACTGAGCTGGGTAAGTACTTGTATCACGTTGTGACCCCCATTGTCGTTTCACTAAGTGTAGCGTTTCTACGCGACAATACAGGGCCGCGCACTCGTGCGCGGCAGGTCATACAACGTTTGACAAGTGGGAGCGTACCTGGCACGCCAGTCCCTGTGCACCGCGCTCTTTTCAATTGCTTCCTGAACAGCTCTAGCTCGCTTCTACGTAAGAAAAGCAAGTTAGGTAAAGCGCTGCATAGTGAGAAACATCCGACATATTTATGATTTTGGAGGGTTGTATTATTCAAATGGGTGATGAACGCCGCGCTGTAAAGGACAAGTTTATTTCAAATCTTTCACCCTTTCACACATTTGGAGTGGACTGATCGGCGACGGAACCTTTACTGAAAACTGACACGCATCACTAGGTCATACCATCTTTGGGGATATAAATTATAGCCAGCGCATTGCTCCAAAAATGTTTTTGTCTGTTATCAACAAATTGCACACTTCTGATAGCATCAGAAGGGAAACCATTTAACTGATGACATTCAGGTTACCTCCAAATTCACAGTTGATCTTATCTCCAAGAAAACAACAATTTTAACTTTCAAGAAAAAAAATATTGGTCAGAGTATTATTTGTGGCTAGGAATTTGTTTAAATCATGGCCATGGTTGATAAAAGGACTCTTTTTAGGATCGAGTTCTCGGTGTAAGCATCAGAAAAAGGCGAACAATTTTGTTCTGCTCCTCAGCTTTTGATACTTTTTTATTGAAACCCGATTTTAAATACTTGAAGCCATAAGATCATCATTCTCCACACTGTCCAAAAGGGCGTCACCGTACTCACAAAAGTTGTTGATGCTGTAGTCATCCGAAGCAGAGCTCTTAAACAAATACTTAGAGGATTATCACAAAACTGTTGTTGCAATTTGCTTTTTTTTTAAATAGAAGAAAACAGTACCTTGTACAGAGATAAACAAGCTTCTTTGGCTTGGTACAGGATGGAGGGAGGGAAACTGAATCGTTACTTAACCGGTAATATGCAATATGCATCATTACTCGACTAGTGCCTTGCGATTTGACATAACTAAAATTATTTGTTATGCAGTAGTGTCAAAGTATTAAACAAAATACTATTTAGGGAATTTATTTCAGAGCAAAACTTTAAGTTAGGCCTTTAAATCGAAAATGCTGACAGTATGAATTTTGTCTGCTCTAAACAGCGTAAATTTTATGCCTGCTAAGTTTCAAAACGATCCCACAAATCCTTATTGGTTAGAAACAAAGGTCATTTTTGTTGCATCCCAGTTGAAATCACATGTGCTATGGAAATTAAATTAAATTTGTTGTTTTCTTAATAATACTTAGTCATTTATAGTATTGGGACCCCTGGCCTCCTTAAGACCCCATTTTATTGATTTTTATTTTTATTTGTATACATATCATAATATGCTGTTAGATAATAATATAATTATGTGAAAAAATAGTCGAAATGAGTCAACTTGACTTTTTTACAAACAATTCTCAGACTTTGTAATGGTTGATGAAAATGGAGCAAGTTGTGTTAAGTCCCACTCTTTGGGTATCAGAATCCAAAAGAAGATTCTTGGTAAGATGGCTTCCCGCTCCGTTGCAAGACATTTTATCGATGACGATGCAGGCAAGATCCTTGACGCATTGTACGCTTTCTTGAAGGTGAGTACCTTATCAATGAACATCTTTGGGTTGCATTTTTCCCATTGAAATATCATGCTGGGATTTTGATTCCCTTAATCTGTGATTGATAAAGTAATAGGCACATATCACAAAGGACTGTTGTTTCTAAGATTGGCATTATTACTCCATGATCATCACAATACAGTGTGTGTCAAATTATATGCAGATGTATTAATTATTTACAGTAATATTTACTCCTGGAATCTTTGGTACAGTTATATTTTATTGAGCAATCTTTTATTTTGAATAACTCTCCCCAGGAGGCCAAGTCAGAGGTCGAGGCAAAAAAACTGATAAAATGCATAATTAAGATAATAATTAAGCTTGGAATTCTCTATTCAAACGAAAAGTTGTCACCAAATGAGAAGCAACTGCTGAAACAGATGATTCGAAACTTTTCTAAACTTATCATGACCCTAGTTACGTTTTGGGAGGTAAGAGTAGTTACAATTTTATCAAATATAATCCAGCCTAACTTATTGTTTAAATAAATATATTCCATGTTTATTAAACGTTGTCAGTATCTTCCTTAACATGTTCCCATGTTTCAGTAAATTTTGTTAACCCTTTTCTGTGTTATGTTATCGAGAGACTTATCTGTTGAATATAAAAACCTACAGTATGGATCAGGAAAAGTGGTTCAATCCCTGTTGTCGAAATTTGAGTGTTCTTAAATTTTGGCTCAGCTCCAAAATGGTTATTGCGCACAGGATAACAGCATAACCATCAGAATTAACGTTCATTGCAAAATGTTCTTTTTCTAACACCTGCATATTATGACAATCTTTGATTATTTACCCATGTTGAAAAGCTACCCTTAAACTTAATGCACCATTTACTTTGAGGCGTTCAAAAACTATGGTTATACCATGTATGGTGTATTGGTGCAGACATTTAGCTACGGCAGAACAAACAAGGCCCTAATATTACTGCTAAGCTTAAATATGTTGAACCGAGTGGCACTGGCAGTATATATTGGCAAAATATGTCTCCATATATTAAACACAGTTTATCACAGAATATTATATTTAGCTGCTGTGGGTAAAAGCTCTATTTGTGTGTCGCATATTCTATCATCCTGCCCAAAAGTCCGGTATACACAGTATATATACACTGTCCGGTTACTTCTGTATAGTATAGTCTTATCCTGTACCTATACATGGCAAATTTGCTCCCTGAAAAAAAAACAGAAAAAGGCTTTGTTGTCAAATATAATAATGAGTATTAACGGCTGTCAAATTATCTATAAAATTAGTGTAACTGGGACTCACAGTTATGAGCGGGCCCGGGGTTTCCGCTAATATTTGATAGATCACTCTAGCCATGTAGAACTGGATCTACGTTTGATGGTTGGATTGATAGCTTGGGTTTCTTGTTAACCACTTGTGTTATCTAGGTCTTCGTGAGATTAATGACATTGTAGTGTTCAGTAGGGAGCATCACAGCTCTCGACAGATCTGCAAGATTAATGAAATATTTTCGGGTATAAGATTACCCGGGTACTCCCGAACATTCCTTGCTAATTCTCACAAGTATCGCCAGGGTAACCGTATCGATCCCCATAATTCTGTAATAATTAATTTACTACGTCATCATGACACTCAACATCATATAATGAGTATCCCGACTCAGCTCTGAGTTTATATTATTCTCCGACTATCCGAGACCCGAGTGGACATTATATATCTGTAAAAATCATTGAAGTGTTGTTTAAACTGTCGCATGATTTTCAATTATTTCTTCTGAAAGGGGCATATCAGATTGTGCAACACATATAAATCGATATGATCATGTTGACCATTTAAGTAAATGCAATTAAAGGTGTGTTGCAACTTGCAAGGTGTGTTCTGGTAGTGGTACTAAACATAGCATATAGCACTCATATTGCTACATCAATGAATAGTCGTAGCTATAGTATTCATCATATTTGAATAAATGTAATCAAATTATGTCAAAGTCCATCATGTGTACTAAAATATCCATCGTCGCAAACTAAACCTCTTTTCATATAGACTAACCTAATACTGATATACCACAGCCACAAAATGGTGGCCTTTAAAAGCTCGAAATTGCATTATAAATGCATTCAAAGCTCTAAATTTACAGGCTAGCTGTATGTGTGTGGACGTGGTATAGACTATGTAGATTAATATAAACCGTGTACAGGCTAAACCATCTTACTCACAGACATCACGTGACTCGCCAAACAGAATGGCCAGTAAATATTATTCCTTTTGCAGGTTTTAAGCCTTTAGAATTACTAACTTGTCAAACATGCTGTTCATAATACTAAATAAAAAGGTTGTGATATGATGGATCTCTCTTGCTCTTAAAACACAGTGCATTAATTCTCTTAGGAAAGGGACCCACAGACAGCATTATAAAATGTTGCATGTAAGAACTCTAAGTTTAAGTGTTCTAGCAGCTTGTAGCATGCTTTTAATGGCATTTACTTGCAGCACCTGATCTATCATATAGTGTTTTAAGGATTATTGAGTTAGCTCGCTGCTATCATGGGCCCTTGTGAGCTTTCATGTACTGATAATTAGTGATATATCGACATTCGACAAGTGGTACATGTCCTACAATAAATTTGGTTGTCTTCAATTTACGTCTCCAATTTCCTGAAGCTGAGCTACGTCTCCTCTCCTTGAAACTGAGCAACATGTTTACAGGTGGCGTTTTCGTACGACGAGCAGCACCTGGTAACCCAGCTGAGAGCAGTGGAGAACACGATAATCACTATCATAACCCCTCATCTTACCAGTAAATCAGAGAGAAGAGTCAGGTAAATTAATGATAATTACTATCATAACCCCTCATCTTACCAGTAAATCAGAGAGAAGAGTCAGGTAAATTAATGATAATCACTATCATAACCCCTCATCTTACCAGTAAATCAGAGAGAAGAGTCAGGTAAATTAATGATAATCACTATCATAACCCCTCATCTTACTAGTAAATCAGAGAGAAGAGTCAGGTAAATTAATGATAATCACTATCATAACCCCTCATCTTACCAGTAAATCAGAGAGAAGAGTCAGGTAAATTAATGATAATTACTATCATAACCCCTCATCTTACCAGTAAATCAGAGAGAAGAGTCAGGTAAATTAATGATAATCACTATCATAACCCCTCATCTTACCAGTAAATCAGAGAGAAGAGTCAGGTAAATTAATGATAGTCACTATCATAACCCCTCATCTTACCAGTAAATCAGAGAGAAGAGTCAGGTAAATTAATGATAATCACTATCATAACCCCTCATCTTACCAGTAAATCAGAGAGAAGAGTCAGGTAAATTAATGATAATCACTATCATAACCCCTCATCTTACCAGTAAATCAGAGAGAAGAGTCAGGTAAATTAATGATAATCACTATCATAACCCCTCATCTTACCAGTAAATCAGAGAGAAGAGTCAAGTAAATTAATGATAATTACTATCATAACCCCTCATCTTACCAGTAAATCAGAGAGAAGAGTCAGGTAAATTAATGATAATCACTATCATAACCCCTCATCTTACCAGTAAATCAGAGAGAAGAGTCAGGTAAATTAATGATAATCACTATCATAACCCCTCAACTTACCAGTAAATCAGAGAGAAGAGTCAGGTAAATTAATGATAATTACTATCATAACCCCTCATCTTACCAGTAAATCAGAGAGAAGAGTCAGGTACATTAATGATAATCACTATCATAACCCCTCATCTTACCAGTAAATCAGAGAGAAGAGTCAGGTAAATTAATGATAATCACTATCATAACCCCTCAACTTACCAGTAAATCAGAGAGAAGAGTCAGGTAAATTAATGATAATAACTATCATAACCCCTCATCTTACCAGTAAATCAGAGAGAAGAGTCAGGTAAATTAATGATAATCACTATCATAACCCCTCATCTTACCAGTAAATCAGAGAGAAGAGTCAGGTAAATTAATGATAATCACTATCATAACCCCTCATCTTACCAGTAAATCAGAGAGAAGAGTCAGGTAAATTAATGATAATCACTATCATAACCCCTCATCTTACCAGTAAATCAGAGAGAAGAGTCAGGTAAATTAATGATAATCACTATCATAACCCGTCATCTTACCAGTAAATCAGAGAGAAGAGTCAGGTAAATTAACATTTAAATAATGTTGTTGAGGAAGAATTTAAGGATGTTTCTATCATTGCACTTTGAGGTGAGATATTGACTAGTGTGATGTTGGAGATTATGAACAGTGCACGCTGCTACTTTAGGCTGTATTATTGCTTCCCTCATTGCCTGGAATATGTAATATCATGGCGATATTCAAGCAATATTAGGTTAAATTCACGCAGAGCGTCCCGGGAATCACTTTGATCTTTAATCTGGAAATTTAAAGGTAGTCGTGGTATTAATAGTGGACCTCATTTTATACAACAGGACCCGTTTAACGTATAGTATACTTTAGTATACAGTTTACGGTACTTTAATGCATTAGAATCGTGCATATCATTTTACTGTAGCTAGAAAGGAGTGGGAGGCTTTTGAAAATTCACACTATCAACTGCTAGAGACGGGCATTGCTTACGTTGGTGAATTAGTTCTAAAAATACATTCTCTAGTAAGCCTCACAGTGACGTGAATTGCATGTATTTTAATACTTGTTTGTTGAATAATACTGTTATGCAGCGCACTGACGACAACTCGTTCATTTTGAAATATTGATCACTCATATTCGGTTGTGGTGAATACCATGTAACTACTGAAACAGTAATTCCAATTTCCTATTGTCTCCTAGAAACTCCACGTGTGGATGATTAGTAATTGGATAGTAATTACCACCAACCTGTACTAACAAGATATTAATTAAGCCCATGATTTAATAAAATATCACCCTCCTGATGCAGTGCGAGATAAGGCTAATCTAATCAGACCCTATAATATCCAATAATAAATAAAATTTAATCCTACAAATTCGATTTATTTTCAAACTAGCATAATATAATATTTCTAAATTATTCCCACATATTTAGGCATCATGTAGCCGGTGGGCCCGACATGATACGACATATCTTGACACGTCGGGGTTTGTCGGGATTTGTCAGGGTTTGTCGGGGTTTGTCGGGGTTTGTCGGGGTTTGTCAGGGTTTGACGGGGTTTCCGGTTTGTCGAGCCTGGAGGCTTTTTTTTTTTTTTTTTTTTTTTTTTTGAGTCTCCCAACAAAAAGCCGAGACGGAGTCATCAAGCTTTACGTGGAAAAACACTATACAAGAAGGCCTCATGTAGTCGGTGGGCCCGAGGCAAAACCCCTCGACAAACCCCGACAAACCCCGTTTGTCGGGGTTTGTCGGGATATGTCGGGGTTTGTCGGGGTTTGTCGGGGTTTGTCGGGGTTTGTCGGGGTTTGTCGAGCCTGGAGGCTACATGACGCCTATATTTGTAAATAATTGGAATTGTTTTCAACTTAAATTATTTCAGGATTACTACTATTGTGTTCTCAATAAAGTAATTATCACTTTTGTTTCCTTGTTTAATCAAACCCTATAATATCCAATAATATCCTGCAGGTTCGTGTTTACCACCATGACAGACAGTGTTCTGCTGGGGACCCTATTCAGACCTCCTCCTGAAGATACAACCCGTTTCCACAGCCCTTACCTTGATGTGCTGGCTCCCATCCTCAGGGACTATGTGTTCGGGAAGGATCCTGAAACCTGCTCCCTCCAACACTAATAATACTTAGCCCTGTTTGTTAGAGACGATCAGAAAGGTTCCCCGTTTCAGTGGTGTTATCTTGAGACGTCTTCATCTATAAGTTAGGACGTGTTTGTATTTACACTGTATAGACAGGGGACTGTTATCAGACACAATCCTTTTTTTCAATTTCACGGACTAAATGTTTAAAGTCCGTGACGTCTTTTGTCTGCTGCCACCACTCTTTGTAACAAATATTTGTCAAGAACCAAATTAATTGGCTGGATCCGTATAAGTGTAGCAGTGTAAACTTGCCCCGACTAAAACGGTACATATTAATAAGATATTATGTCAATCTAAATCCTGATTTAGCAGAAGTTTGTATAAGCTGGATTGCCCACAAAAATTTGCTTCCTCCTATTTTTTTAATTCTTACTTCCTAAAAGTTCCGATAAATCTGTTAGGACGTGTTTATATAATTTACTGGTTCCAACAATACAAAGTAATAAAACAGTAAACATGAACCGGAATGAGCTTTTCACACGTTTTTAAAACGGGCTAAATGGATTAACTAATTATGTAGTTTGTTTTTGATTTGTTTATTTGCTGTTTATATTAATCGCACGAGCGATATATTTTTAAATGTGTAAAAAGATCTGATGACCTATGAAAATTTAAATTGATTGTTTTAATGTTACGTCTGCCAAATTATTCAATTCTATATTATAACTTACACACAAGTAATTTATTATAATTTATTTATGTATGTTTAACCAAATTCTCTGACTCTTGCATGTTTTTATTGCTTGCTCTATTCGTTAAAGTATGCCTTATGATGATTTTAAATGATGATGCCTAAAATAGTTGAGAAGTAATAATTATAATAATAATTATATCATGTTAATATGAATATTGTGATTTTCCTTCATTTACACTTGCTTGCAGTTTTCGTCTCTGACTTTTGAGGCGTGATCACAGGCTCGGTACTCACTTTTCAGATGACTGCTCTGTCAAGAATAACCACATTTTGACGCTCAATGTTTCTAGCTAAATGTTTTATAATGTTTAATAATTTAATGGATGTTTAATATAATGTTTTAATTGTTGACACATTATATCTTATAAAATTACATTTGTAACTAATTTATTTCATGTTTGATTAAAATTTTGACATCATTTGTCGTCAATTTGTTTTCAATATGATGGAGAAGTAGCAGTCAGCAATTTAACAGCATCAATTTGCATTAATTTGCATGATGTCTAAACTTGATTTATAGGTCTGGTTTCTTCTACAAATGATAATTATTTACACTATTAAACAGAGGAACGAGGAATTGTGATTTAAAGCAAACTCGATAAGATTATTTAAACAACAGTTTACATAGAGAGATATAATCGTGTCGTTAATTAAGTATGTAATTATCCACGGATTAAAATCTGCTACTTCAGCGTTAAGTTTGATAATATACAGTTAAGCGTTTCAGAAAAACATAACCTAATTCACGCACAACGTGTTTACAATATCAGGTTAAGACTAGTTAACTTCCCTAGTTAGGCTTCAATCTCCTCAAGCTGATATGACGTTAGGTATTTATATTGTATTTTACATATATTAACTAAGTATTGAATCCACACTCCTAAGACTAAAAGATTAAATAGATGCTTAATAAGCTGTTCAAAGAGACAAATTATGGGATAAGTTGCTGCGAACTTTGTCTCCGAGCATTCAGTTATAATGGCGACACTATAAAGTGGTAACAGGAAATATTAGGCAATGACATATTTTGGAAGGATGATTAGCAAGCTAGCTGTAACGATATTCAATATCAGTAATATCGGTGATTCGTTGTAAATGACGACCAAATACGGAGTACGGACTGGTTGTCCCCGGGCAGTTTTCTCGAAAACTTTCTACAAATTCCCAACTCAGCGAGATGTCCCACATCCAAATACTTGAACATACCTGAGCTAAGGTGTGAACAGTACCAGAGGTTCTGTTGAGGCTTCCTGTATTGTCAGAAACCGCTAAGAGCTCGTTCATTAACCCAACAACTATGTTAAAATCAGCGATGGTTGTAATTGTGTCAGTTCGCGTTTGTCTGGTTTATTGTTCATATCTGTCCCGAATTATATTATTTATACCATTTTGATCAATTTCAGACGGTTGACAGTCTTGCTTTGTAAAATTCACTTTTCTTTACGGCCGATCTATATACATATCATACAAGACACAAGCATATAATTAAACTCCCAAGAGACCACACTTAGAGGGAGACCTAATCCTGAGATAACGTTATTGGAAGGGTCTACCAAATATTACTGATGGAGCACGCTGAAGAAAACTTGATGATACATGTCGCGCGAGAACCCCATGCGCTGCGCGCTATATGTGCACTACATACATAATTAAAATACGCGCTGTAGACAATATTGGCAATTCCGCAGATTTTAATCGTACAACCATGGTGGTTATGTCCATAATATTGCATGTTAATCGTAGGAGACACGATTTAATTGTTAAGTATAGTTAACACGATAAATTAGTCTTTCCATATTATAATTTTGGTTTATGTCGTTATCTAATTCAGGCTTTTCTTAATGATCTGTTAATGCAACCGACAGGATAGACAACAATCTTATATTACCATCCCACCCTCTTTTAAGTCTATCATGAAGTGAAAAACTCATTTAATTCAAGTAATAAAAATACGAAAAACAGTCTAATTATTTCACTAAATCTATCCAAAATGTATTATATATGAAGCTTTAAAATGGTGAAGTCGCCTGACAAGCAAATAGCAGGGAGCTGGAAAAGGTATTCCGCATCTCATGCAGAAAGAAAGCTACATATACTGTTTTTTTTTTCTTTCTCTTCTCTTATTAAACAAAAATCTTCAGCAACAAAAAATCTTTATTTTTCCTCTTTTCTTGGGTGCAGCAATATAAGCGATAAAAGTTAATACAGTAATTTATGTGGTGCTTCTGAATATAGTAGTTCCTTGCTGCAATCTTGTGATGGAATGGTCCATAAATATTAGTTCACTTGAAAATTAGACGACTGACAACTGAGAAATGTGTCTTCGGTTCAGGTTAGATTCACCGTTGCTCGCCACAGTCCGCCTCATATCTTCTTCACAGAAACCGTGTGATCTGATGTGAGACAAAGCTTAGTAATAAATTATCACAAAGTAGTAACCAGAGTGATTGGTTCAATAATTCAAGTATAAATAGTGCAACCCTCAATTTTCTCGAGTATTATGCAAAAAGCCAAAGATCAATAGTTTTTCTCATTACTTACCTATCTCTATTAAGATTGTAAGCCATCTTTTCCACCACTACATACACTTCCCTTCCAATATCCATTGTCAGAGTGATATAGAAGTGTTATCTTTCATATTTTAGATCTGTAGTGAAATAGTGGTTAAACCATTTAATCGGGTGCAGTAATATAAATAACCTCATATTATATGAGCCATAATATAGGGATCCTAATATAACCGCAATCTGCACACACAGTTCATAAAACTGGTTGGATGCATTCTTCAAGCAAGGATGATCTTGACTTTGGTATATTCCGGCCCCGGTTATACTCCGGTTATCATCAGAATTGTTCAAGGAGATCAAATTGATCGTTTGCGATGAATTTAAATTCACTGACAGCAGATAATACCTTAATGGAAGCAAGAAACTTACATTAATTGAGAAAGAGGTCTAGCCACATCATACTATTACTTATCAGTGAGAAGAAAGTAATCGCTTATCGCTCCGTTCACCTGCAGTTGTAGAGGTTTGTTATCAATCAGCACCAGGCACAAATAAAGAGATGCAGATATGCAATTTTGTAGTTGGAGAAAGATGAATTTAAGAAAAGTTTGTCAGTCTTTAACCTGATCATTTTGCAGGTTGGTGGGGCATCAAATCGAGACTGTGACCATTTCTGATTGGAAGCTAAATCTGAACTTGTCGCCATCTCTCGAACAAAACGAGCGTACAGTTGATAATCTCATCTCCATCCTTGAATCAATACAAAGCACCGTTAATTTTAAATAATAGTACATGGTGATTTTTTGTAATTTCGAATACAATTTTAAAATATTTCAGAACACTTTATTATTTGATATTAAGACATACTTTCAAATTTAATCATGAAGACAACTAAGCTTATTATAAAGAGTGAAGACAAATTTGTAATTTTGAGAAGTAGACTGAACCCATACCGTTTTAATACCGACTTAAATAGTACTTCACATTTTGTATGACCCCATTTCTGAACAAGTGGGACCGGTGTAACTACGTTGTTTAGGACAAAACTAGATGATTGAATATGCAGACTGCAGATGCTGCCTGATTTTTAAAAGGATATCACAGACTTGAAAAATAGTTGAGTGACTGACTTGACATGGTATGGTTTACACCGCCTGCCATTACAATCTAGTGTCTAAACTTTAAACGCAGTAATAATTATTTTGTGAAAAAGTCAGTGGAACTTGTAGCCACATTGGTTCAATGTAGCTATAAAGTTAGTGACAGTTAAGGCGGTGTACAAACATACTTGCATTGCAATTGATTTTCATGTGTCAAAACAGAGCAGAGGATACTAAAGGTTTTAAAGAACGTATTACACCTCTTTAAAGTAGTAGCTACACAGAAAATGAGACACACTTGTTTATAAGGTGGCTAAATCCATAAATTGCTAAAATACCCAGACTTAGTTTAGTATTAATCTGATGTAATTTGTTATTCTTACCACTAAATTACACACGAATTTAGTGTACAGCAATATGGTAGGATTTGGAAGCATGTTTAGTATCTTTGTCATAGCAATCACACTGGACGCTGGAAATGGCCCATTTCATATTTTATTCTAGCTGCTAATTTACTGGGCGGCGTTCAGACTGTCATTCCGACAAATCTCTATTCGGCGGAATATATATGTGTATGAACATAATAACCCCGGGTAAGCTGCTAATCAGAGGACCTGTTGAAACTTGAATAATGACATGTAGCGGTCGATGTTCAATGTAATACTAAGCTAATCTGTAAATGCATCGGGGGATATAGTAAGACGCCAGTTTTGGTTGTGATGATTGAAAATAAAATTTCGTGAACTTCGGTGTAAATAAACAAATCGAAAACGGGCTCCGAAGAGAACTCCGAAGCTTTCGGACCGCAACTATTATCTTCTAAGTTTTATGGCTATATCGGCGCGCTAGACTTCGCACGTGTTAGTGCTGAAGAGGTAGGTCATTTGTGTGAGTCAAGCGTTTCGCGCCTTCCGTTTACGACAAACACGCTGAAAATTTGTGACCGACTTTAATTGCCAAACAGGATTCACAGGCGCTCTGTACGGAACTGTATTCTGATTTGTACTGTTTATGTGGCGTATTATAAGTATGGCCAATATTCATTTCTCTGTTCACACAGACCACGTGACTTAACAAACCCACGATCACTTGATTAGAGTGCGCTCACACTGCTTTAAAGGATGTTACTTATATCAATTACATCTTTGTTGGGTATATTTTAATGTCGAAGCGTGTAATAAATGTTAGAATTTATTTATTATTATAATTATTCAGTTTGGAGACCCCTTGATGTCAGCTTATGTTTTTGTGAATGCTTCCCCCAGTATAAAATATTTTCCAACGCCACATCAAATGCAAATAATGCCAGTTAAATTTTGGTTGGGAGCAGGGGGTGTAAAAACAGTTCAAAAATCAACAGCACAATTTATAGATGGCCCCCGTAACATTGCAAATGCACATAGAATAATTGACAGTTATGTAGCTTCGGAAACAGTGCTGCAATTGTAGGTTTTAGTTAGGGCCATATGTCCGAGTCAGGGTAGGGGGACTAAAATATCGTGGAACAAATTAGGTAATTTCAGATTATCCAGATGTGGGCAGTATAAAACAGTTTAAGAAGGAGGAGGTTGGCACTAAAATCTTGGGAATTGCAGCACATACTATCATTACATTGCATCAGGTAGTTATTTTTGGTAAACTGTAATTTAGTCGCATAGTTTTGGAGCGAACAATGAAAATTCTTTTTTATAACAATCAATATCAATTAGTATAATTTGAAGAAAATAAATAAAGATAGATAAAAACGGTGAAAGAAAATAATTTTAGCTAGAAAGTTGAGGAACCCCTTGCACAACGAATTTTCAAACAAGAAAATTATCAGCTCAGATCAAAGAGGCCATCATTTAAAAATCAAGATCTAACTCCATATCAGTTTTCAGATCAACAAGATTGTCAATATCATCCAAATCAACACCAGGTGCCGCTTCATCAGATATAGACTTTGCAGGCTGCTGGCTAGATTGGGTAGATGGAGTAGACATAGTTTCGGTCTTGCTCATTGTCCCTTGAAGCTTCAATTCATCTGGAGTAACATCAAACCTATTCCTCTTGACCACCATTCCTTTTTCCTTCATTTCATGAAATTTCTTCATTCCTTGCTCTAACTTTTGCTTCACCTCTAGTGCCTTCTTCATCTTCTCTTCATCTATAGCCACTTGTTTTTTAGTTTGTGCAGATTTAGAAGAGCTGTGTGAACCTACAGTAATAGTCTGAGGCACTCCTGAAACATGGGAGGAGGCAAGCTGTAAACTGTGAACTGTTGGAATTGATTTGGTAGACATGGTTATGGTTGGTATAGAAGATCGGGGTGTGCTAGATGTAGGCAAGGCATTTGAAGAGAAGGACCCGGCTCTTGGACCAGCTGATGCAGACCAAGTTGGATTGACCCCTGATGGTTGTGGCCCTTCTAGTCCGGGTGGAGTTGGTCTGGGACCAACCTGTCTGATAGTTGGAGGAGCAGAAATTATAGGGGGGGAAGGTCTAACTTGGGGAGCATTGAAACCATTATAGTTATTCTGCATTGAATTTGGGAATTGGTTAAAATTGCCCATAGGAGGCCCATACCAATTTTGGTTCCCCATATTCATCCCCATGTTCATATGCATATTTGGCATTCCCATGTTCATTGGCATATTTGGCATCCCCATGTTCATAGGCATATTTGGCATACCCATGTTCATTGGCATATTTGGATTAAAACCTGGATTAAAACCTGGATTCATACCAGGAGGAGTAGGCATGACTGGTAAGGGAGGTAAAGATCCAACACTTGACATGGTCTCCAGAGTCGGAGGTATGCCTTGAACTGCAGCTTGATAAAATCTAGGCAGTGTGCTTAATGTGGTATCACTACTCACAGAAGGGGACACAGATGTAATAGTAGACGTAGCTGATGATGTTGTAGCTGCGGAAGGAGCAGGTGTAGTTGAAGTTTTAGCTTTAGCAGCTTGCTGTGCTTTTGCCTCTTGCTGTGCTTTTGCTTCCTCGATGTTGAAAGTATATCGTTTTCTCCCAGAGTTCGTCAAGGTTTTGGGATCAACATCTTTGATAACAACATCCCCTTTTTTCTCCTTTTTCCACTTCTGAAGTTCTTGTTTCTCCTGTTCATTTTGCTGCTTGAACATAGCTATTTTAGCTAACACCTCGGCACGTTTAGCCTCCATATCTGCATCTAGTATCTTTGGCTTTGAACTGCTAGTCACCACAGTGGTTGTTGGAGCAACTGTTGGTACATTACTTGGCCTAGTCACAGCAGAGGATAACACCGTTTGTGGTACTGAAGGGGATATGGATGAATGCAAAGGTGAAGCTTTGACAGCCATCGAAGAGGATTGAGACTTCAAAGAACTTGGTTTTTCAACATTAGATTTCTTTCCTCTTTTCCGTCTGTCTTTCATCTTTTTTGGTTCTTTCTCAGGAGTCTTATCTGCTAGTGCTTTTTCTTTGAGTGCCTGAGCTTCTGCAGGTTCCCTTCTTTGCATTTCTAATCGTCTTTCTTCCATTTGTTCTTCTTTGTCCATGATGTCATAATTTGGGGCCATTCTGCTTTCTCCACCAAAAATAGACTGTAAAATTGATGGTCCAATATCAGCTCCCTCATCTTCACTATCTTGCTTGTTTAGGATAGTTTCCATATCGTATGCTCCTAGAATTTTGTCAATGGATGTTGCCAATTCTTCATTTTTAAGCATAACATAGATTGACTTTGGAAAGCTTGAAAACTTTGGTTCCTCACCGGTTTCTTCAATTGGCTTGAATTTCTGTTTCTCATTCAACAATAACTCATCAAATGGCTTGAAATTTAAGGAGTCCATGCCCGTATGAGGCAGGGCAGAAATTCTTGGTGCTGGTATATCACTGAAGGGCTTACTGGCTTTTTCTTTTGAATAATTTACTTTTGGCACTGGCAAATCAGCAAAGGGAACATGATTAATATCTTGAACAGCTTCTGATGCATCCTCAGAACTTTCAGACATAGCATCATCACTGCTGCTAATGTCTACTGGTTGAGGTCTTTTTCTTTCCCTGCTTTTTTTAACACTATGCCTATCCTGGTCCTCAAACGGTGGTTTTACCGGTTCTTGCTTTAGTTCAGGCGGACCTGGTCGGGCGTACACAGGATCTGGTCGGGTGTTCACAGGATCTGGTCGGGGGTATACAGGATCTGGTCTTCTACTAGGAACATCTGGTCTGGAGGAGTATTGCTGCACTCGTGGTTTGAAATACTCTTCATCAGAATCATCCTTATAATAGACTTGTGGATTGTTGGATGGGGCAGAGGGTAAAGGAGGACCAAACTTTTTAGGAGTATTGTACCTTTGAATGCCATCTGTATGATACTGTTGAATTTCACTGTTTTGAGCAGTTTCTTGTTGCATAACTAGCTTTCCATCTATAGATGGATTATCAGATCCAAAGGATTGACCTGGATAGTGCCCTGAATGGTTAATTGAACGAATATTTTGATTAGGGCTTATGGTCCTTCTGTTTTTTGATGACTTTTGTCTGTCAGGATGTCTATCAGAACTTGGATTAGTACCATGAACATATTCATCACCATGGTGCCTTTCTCGTCTCGATTCATATCGTGGATCTTCTGCGTAATATGTTTGTTCCTGATGATCTGCATGTCTCTGCTGATGCCCTGAATAGCTCCCATGACTTTGTGAGCTCTCAGAGTAAGCAGTCTGTTCAGGTACAGCAGGTCTTTGTGGTAGTGGTGGACCATAAGAGTGACCAGTCATAACATACACCAAAATCTGTTCTTGAGAGGCAAAGTTCGGCCCAAATATGCTTGATACATCTTTGGACTTTTTAGGGAGTAACCCTATCAGTTTTAATCTGACTTTCAACTTTTCTATGATAGTAGCAAAAACACACAGAGTCACTGCACATTTAACTGTAAAATGAACAACTTGGAACATTTGAACAGCTGCTTTAATGGTACCCCCGCTGCCAACTCCCTCGAGTCGCATGGCGCGGGGGCTTACCCCTAAAAAATGATTCATCGGAGGAAAATCCTCTTCCCTTCTGTCATCGGAATTAGGATTAATGTAAAGAGGTCTAGCAGAATAGTAACTCAGTGGTCGAGGATGCCTTGGAGGAGGATAAGCATGTCTCTGTACAGGTGCTGGTGGGTAAGGTCGAGGATGTCTTTGGTAGTCACGAGAACCTGAAGGCTGGGGTCTTATCTGATGTTGCTGATGCAGCATGGGAGGCGGTGACATCATGTGCATGTTGCGAGGAGGCGACCTACTCCGCAGTGGTGACCTATTGCGGGGAGGTGACCTATTTCTTGGAGGTGACCTAGGTGGGGGTGGTGATCTGTTACAAAGGGATGGAGGAGAATGTTGATAATGGGGAGGAGATGGGGAATATACTTCATGGTGTGGTCTCTGTCTCACATAATCACCAGGAAATCCTCTTTCATTTCCAGGACCAGGATTTCTCTGTTCATACCTCAATCTTGGCCCACCACCATTGTAGGGAGGAGCATTAGGCCTCATTGGAGGTATACTGTTGTAACCAAATGAGTTGTGTCTTATCCTAGGCTCAGGAGATGTTTTGTCCATACCCATCATGTCTTGATAGCCTTGTGGAGGTTGGCTATCCTCCTGATGAAATATTTTGCGAGATGAATCTAAAGACCTGTCAGGGCTTACATTGCTCCCATCAGATATGCAGGTTTAGATGGTTTAACTGGAGGGGATTTATTACTAGACTTGTTTTCGATTTTAGAATTTTCGAGATATCCTGGAGGATAGAATTGCTCATATTCAGATCTTTCCTCTTGAACAGCACTCTTTTCTTCACCATCTGATAATCTATCAAGGAATGATGCAAGACCAGTCATACCTGATTTTGCAGGAGGGGCATTTTCTCCATCAGACAATTCCCCTTCCTCTGATGAAGACGGTTCAGGTGGTTTGGTTTCCTCAAGTGCCTCACCATCAATTTCATTATAATCGTCCTTCCACGATTCAACATTTTTCAAGGCTATTGCCTGGGGGTCCTCTTCATCAGAAACCTCCGGAGATGGCATAGAGGGAGCACTGCCAGCAGAGGAAGCAGAATCCTTGTATTCATCAGTAATGTATCCATCCTCACCGATGTCAAATGGAACACCATCAACTTCATCATTATATTTCCCAGACAGCTCAGGATTATACTCAGAAGTAGGATCATATTTCGCAGCACCAGGATTGACCTTTAAATCTTCTTCCTCGTTTTCTGATTCACTAACTTCACCTTCTTCTAGCTCAGAATCTTCCAAATCTGGAGTTTTTGGACCAGTCTTTTCATTGCCATCAGCTTCTTCAAGAGTTTGAACTGCAGGTGTTCCTTCAGGAGTTTTTGGACCCTCTACCTCTTCCTCAACCTCCTCTGCCTTTGGAGAGACTGGTTTCGGTTTAGCAAGGAACATGTGGGGAGCGATAGGTATTGCAGCCAAAGTTCCATCAGGAAGTAACATGAAGCCAACAGCTTGCTCACCATCTGGCGGTGCATCCAATCGAAAACCATAAGATAAAATCTGGCGTGGATCATATGATGGCAGTTTCTTTGTTGTCTTCTTTGGTTTCTTTTGCTCTCGAGGTTTGGCGTATGGTAATTGCTCGTCTATGGCATCTTCTGGCCGTATTCCATCATCAGCAAAACTTCCGTTGAAGTCATCAGCCAAAGGATCATCAGACCTGTCTCTATCGTCTCTATCGTTCCTTCTTGACGATCTGAAACAGTTTTAAACGTTAGAATTAAATAAAGCTAATTATCTTCTTCACTGTTCGGCAGAAGACCTGAGAATCGATTACATTAAATTTGATTGAATGTCTACGAAATGTAGAAATATGAAATATATGAATAAAATGAAATGTGAATATGGTAGGGATAATATGAAATGTGAATAATATGAAATGTGAATATGGTAGGAATGTTTTTTATGGAATATTTGACTGGAAGATCGTATTTCAAATGATTTAATTTGATTTCTGACATCTTTTTGGGATTAAAACATTATCAGCAGATGAAGAATACGAAGCAGTGGTCACTTTCCTATGTACCAAGAAGAAAAACACCAGTACCACATATTATATGCTATGTTATTAAAAATACGGTTATTTCATAATAAGATATTTAGCAAGGGCTTTCAGACATCTAAAACAATGGAAAAAACCTCTCGATTTTATTTTTAAAACAAATGCTGCAAGGATTCAAAATGAAGGTTTATTTCTAACTAATATTATCATCCAAACAGAAATATTAAATCAATGCAATAGTTATCCGCATCAGTTCCATTCTGTAGACATACTGATTACTGTTTGTTCTGACCTGAAATATAAATCAACAATGTTTTCAATCAGAGAATCTTCATCTACAGACCATGAAACATTCAGAAAACGATTGAAAGCGTTGATGATCGAGCAGTGAATTTAAGACTTAAAAGCCTTCTCCACTTACTTGATGTGTAGATGAAGGAGAAGTCCTTTTTAAATAAGATTCATCCAACTATCGAGACTTGAGATAAAGTCCTGTCTGCGTTTTAGGTGCATATAGCCTTGGGAACCTGAAAACATGGAATGCATACATTAGGAAACAGCTGCCACGGTTTAATTATCTGAAAGATTTCTATGCTATGAGCAGTTTCTTTAGATGGAAGTACATAAATGTATAATCTGATATTCAAACGCAAAAATCAAGATAATCTAAGTAAAGTTGCTTTACCTCTCAAACAGAATCGTTAATCTTCTTCTTGCAATACTCGGCTGTGATAAATCAGTCAATTAATCACCGATTACTTAAAACGAAAATATAATGTTGGTCCAAATGAATCAGAGATCAAGATTAATTAAAGTTTTAAGATGTTACTTACTTGTACTGGGTTAACCGTCAAGACTGTTATTGTACCACAGTCACGAAAATCTGAAAATGAGCTGGTAAATGATAATATTATGTGAAGAAGAATTGAAGAGCAATCGTGGGGAAAAATGGAAAAACAAAATGGAATTTTTCTTTAAGATGAAAAGTAGATATAATATTATTCAAAATATATATTTTTGAGAAATATTAAAATTCTTACTTGTCGATATCCTTTTCTCTCCCCTGCCAGCAGCATCATTTAGAAATCACAAATTTTACTGAATGATGCAGCACAGCAAAAACATGTAGTCCCAGCCGTCTATAATTCAACCCATGGCCCCAGCCGGGCCCTGTCTTTCAGTTTCAAGGACGGGTCATGGTGGATGAATACGGTTTGAAAGCCCCATTGTCTCTCCAAGAGTGTGGCACTGTAACAAAATTAACCACCAAGCTGACTTAACAAAAAATTAAATCAACCCAAAAGCATCCAATAAATACAAATAATTGTGCAACATACAAGCAAAGCATCAAGAAAGCGAAATCGTAAACAATTGTGTGTTTGATTAAGTACTTGGTTAAGTTGTCCCAAAAAAAATTTAACTGGCTATTTTCGAGAACTATTTGCCCCAATTTAAATCCGAATTTAAAAGCGACACTGTACATTCTGATACATTCTGATACATTCTGATACATTCTGATAACATGACTGATCATGAAAATATGGTACTATCCAAGGAGCCCGACATAGCTTCGTAGAATTACGCTGTCAAATATTACTGGAATCAGGTTTAGTGCTAAAATTAACGTGACATTACACCTGTGTTTCGATGGAATACTTTTACTTAAGATAAAGGTTTGATTTGGTTTAAAGAATCTTACAAATTTTGCCTAGCGGGTTTGATCAATTTATTATGCAGTTCTGTATTTAGTAAACTAAGATTGCAGAAATGCAGAATTACTGAATTTTCTTGGAACTTTGGAAGGTATTTCTCCATAAATGTTTGTGTTCAAGATTGTAAAACGTACTTTGTTACAAACAGTGGGACACAGTAATACTAAATAATTTACATTGTACTTAAAAAAATACAAAGAATAACCAGCAATGCAATTATTTTAATGAAATAAGACTCCTTACTTCTTAGAAAAAAACATCATTAGATTCCAGCAGAAAATTCTGATAGCACGTTAATTGTCTTCAGTTATCTTGTACTGATTATAATATTCTAATAAAGATGAAAAGCTGTACTTGGCTAAAGTCACAAATAATTTATTATCTGAATCATCACAATCATGAAAATCTACATCCCTCTAGGTCGAAATGGACCAGGACCACGTTGCATCATTCTTTGCTGAGGATTAAAACCTCTGTTGAATTGAGGATTTCCCATCATGTTGTTCATTGGACCAGAACCTCCCATTCCTGGTCTTTGAGGGAAATTCTGGTTCATTCCAGGTGGAAAACGGTTGCCAGGTGGCTGAAAGGCCCCAAAATTGTTAGGTCCCTGCATATTCCCCATATCATTTGGTGGCATTGGTGGACCAAATCGATTATGCTGCATATTATTTGATGGCATTGGAGGACCAAACCGTTCCCCTTGCATATTATTAGGAATAGGGGGACCAAATCTACCAGCTTGCATATTACCTCTTGGCATGGGAGGGCCAAATCTAACGGGTGATATGTTGTTTGGTGGCATAGGAGGCCCGAACCTGTTTTGTTGCATATTATTTGGAGGCATAATATTCGGGGATGACATTGGAGGTCCCAGAACTAATGGGTCCCCCATCATTGGACCATGTTTATCTGGAGCTCTATCCCGATCAGACTGTCTCCCACTTTCTGATCTTGACCTATCAAAATTTGTATCTCGTGCTGGGGATTGTCTACGATGTGAAGAATGTCTACGATCACGATGAGGGGAGCGTCTGCGGTGAGGAGACTTTTCTCGCCTGGGAGAGCGTTGTCTCGGAGGGGAACGCTGTCGATTAGGAGATTTCTGTCGTGGAGAAACCCGATGTCGTGGGGGAGTCCTCTGGCGAGGTGGAGTCCGCTGACGTGGAGGAGACCGTTTTCTTGGAGGAGACCGTTGTCTTGGAGGAGACCGTTGTCTTGGAGGAGACCGTTGTCTTGGAGGAGTCTGCTGCCGCTGCCGTGGAGGAGTCCGCTGCCGCTGCCGTGGTGGAGAATTATGTCGATGCCGAGGAGAATGGGCAGGTTGCTCTGGATGAGCACCCTTCTGATCTGCATTAGAGTCACTTTTATCTGGCTTTCCCTTAATCACAGCATTGACTACATCTGAAGGAAACAAACTGAATGTAGGTGGTTGGAATGAACCAATGTATGCTTTAAGAATTGGTTCAAGAACATTAGAGATAGGGTTATTTGAGGTTGGAGGATCTTCAATTGGTTCTTCAGGCTGGTGCTCCTTGTTAGGAAGCAATTCCAAACTTTGGGAAATAATCTTTGGTTCAATCTTGTCATCAGATGGATCAAAACCTCTAGCATTCCCCCCAAATACATCCTGCAAATTAGTTTTGCTTGGAAGGACCACAGGCTCAGTATTGTAGAGCTGAAATAGTCTCTCTATAGTTGTGTGGCAGTTTTCAGGAACAGGAACAGGTTGAATGTCATCACTTTGAGATATGATGATCTTGTCTTTCTGGATATCATCCGCAGGCTGCTTGAACTGTTCATTGTTAGCAGCAGAATTTCCGGGAAAGGATGAAAATACTGGAGCAGAAGGAAGAGTAGGTCTATATATCGGATATGATTGTATGGGAAGAGGAGGTCCAAACTTGTCAGGATTATTCACTAAGTTGTTTAAAGTTTCTGGCAATGTGGGCCTCACAGGTATACCTGGTCCAAACATACCACCACTTCTCTGGAAATTCGGTAGAGGAGGCCCAAAATTCCCAGAGGATGTACCAATTGGAAGAGATGGTCCAAACTTTTGAGCAGATTGTTGAGGTATTTCTGGGTGAAAGACGTCGTGATTCATTGTATTTGGAAGTCTAGGACCATAATTTCCAGGATTAGAAGTGTTCGAATTGGCTTGCGGTAAACTAGGGCCATACCTTCCGTTCATCATGAAAACTTGGTTCACCGAAAGTGAGCGCACCACAAAACTTACATCATGAAAGGTGCCAATCTTACTGAGGTGTGAAGATTTTCTGATCTTGGGAGATACTCCAATGTCACGAAGTCGACTGAGTTTGCGTTTCTTCATGAAAGCATGCAGAATCATCCTTATCGAAATGTAAACGACACAGACCCACTCAACAGGGCAACATTCTTTGCAGAAGTCATATTGTTCAAGAATGGATTGGAAGATGGAATTGCTCTCTATGTTGAAGCAAAATGAGGCAAAGCGTGCAAAAAGGACGCCATCACTGTCCAATCTGTCCAGCTTTTGATACCTGCAAAAGTAAAGTTAGATAGATTCAAAACGTAAACTTTTGCAAGAAAATACAAACATTTTTATCTTAATTAGGGTTGCTTCTAAAGTTACATAATAATTGTTTGCCACTGCAGATTCAAGATTGTGCTATAACCTTTTTTTCACCAGTCTGATCAGTAACTCTTAAAATTGTGGCTTATTTACAATAGCTCATTACAGGACAGCACAGTGAATTTAATAATTGTTTATATTTCAGGAGGCCGACGCCCTTACAACAAAGGAATGTATATATCCTGCTAAGCAATCCTAAATGTTTACTACTAAGTTGTTAATTAACTAATATTAACAATGCAACAGTAATGACACAGAAACATAAGAATCTGTTCATTGATAAGAACATTAAACATGTATTGACAAGCATTCAGATTATGGACATAAATATGAGAAACGCTCTCACGACAGTTTCGAAAACATGTAAAATTAAAATCGTTTAATGTTTCAACAACGATACAAGCAAACAATTAATGTTAATTAAGCAGGATTGCGAACTACAGGGGTCATTACACATACATATTACATAATGTTAATTATAAACATAATGTTTAACTTGCTATTATCACTCATTTGACGAATATATCAAATCAAATAATAACAATCTTCATTTTTTCCGAATTAACGTTCAATTTTGCGTTTTTCAGATATTTTGAATGATCAGGTCGAGTCAAATTGTAATATATTATGTTTGGCCTTTTAAGATAAATTTTTAAGATAAACTTATCCTGAAAACATTGGAGCTCCAGCTATTACGTGGGATCAGATGATTGGGTTGACACTAGATCTGCACTATGGGAATCGTGCAGAAAGCCTAATTTCTAGCAGGTCTACAAACACGAGTATTTAAAGCAATTCAGTGTTGATTGGATGTGGCCTCTAAAAATCGAATTCAAATTTTGGCGACGGAATCGTCAAATGAGTAGCATTCCTTCTATCAAGTTATAGGTCCCAAATATGAAACATGGCCATGTTATATGATCCGATGCAAACGTATGTGCACTGAATTTTGCCCCTGTAGTTAATCAAAATTATACTTTAAAGCAGTAGATTCAGTCAACTACTTTTAACCTTCTAGTCTACTGAGTAGCCGGTTACACGAAGTTGATTGAGTATAATTTGGATATTAATAATTCAATAACAGAATGAAAAATTATCAAACGGAAAAGGTCTAAATGTGGAAAATTAGTACTAGACGAATTAGATTGTTCACAAGTTTAAAGCAAGAAAATAGGCAGATTTGAACCCGTGTCAGAGTTTGTAATACTCCACTCATCTGCTGTGCAATAAGTAGGATTGGCAAGACTAGTCAACAGTCTTGTATAAGTATGCATTTAAATAATATGTGTAGAATCTGAAACTGAAATTTAGCAGAATCTTCTGTCCGCTGCAATCTTAATAGTCTGGCGGACTTATGGTTATTTCTATGTAAGGATAACTGCATGTAATCATAATTTACTGTATGTCAGTATAAGGTCATTGCTAAATGTTAATGTACAAACAATGAATGTAAAAGAGTTTGAAGTACACATTATATAATATTATGTATATATATTGTACTAATTTAAAGGACCGAAAGGGCCATGGTCGATGTCTTGGGGCGATTGAAATCCGCATTCCTTAAACTAAATAATCCCTATTCAATTCTAATTACAAATTGTAGTTCACGACAGAAGGTCGTGAGGTAAAATGTCCTATATTTAGATTATTCAACTTTATTTAAACAAGTAGAAATGATCAGCATCACAACTTTTAGCTGCTAAAAAACAATTACACTAAAATTTGCGAGCTATCACGAAAATAAAAGGAGCTTGGTAAGCCACAATCCAAGTAAACAGATGATTAAAGCACTGGCAAGAAACTTAGAGAGTCGATTACTGCTAAAATAATCAACCCAAAATATAATTACAGTGCAAGTACTACGTTAATAAGCAACCCTAATTCCTAAATATGATAATTATATTTTAATGAAGCTGAAGTACTGCTAGAGCTAGGTAGTAAATAGTTAACTTTCGGGCATTAATAGATATAACTAGTTATAACTAGGGCAGTTATAAAGGCTGCAGTGGCTTTTATACGATTTGGGAATCGTCAATTTAGGGTTAAATGATATAGATTGAAACACTTAAAAATTGTTCCAAGAAAAACAAATTCCAAGAAAAACCAATTTCTTGGAACTACACACACGAACGAGCAACAAAGTTTCAGAGAGAGTTAGAAGTAATAGATTTGACAGATTTGACGTAAATGTCAGTCACTTTAACAATTACTGAAATAGCAATAAAATTGGAAACTAAGTCACAAAACTAAGACAAATATACAAAACGACACGCTTCATGGTAACACGTATGTATTTGCATATTTTTTACTCCTTTTAAAGGCAGAGTATTGCTTTTTTTAACTTTAAAATATGGATGCGAGAACACAAAATAAATACTTGAAATTAATAGAGTTATCGGTAAGAAGATGACTAAAATTGTAAATGCAAAAGTAACTCAGCTCTGGGAACTCTTTCCTTAAGAACTACTCTCTTAGTTATGAAACTAAACTAAACTCAATTCCAATCAACAGTTAATTGCCACTGCCAAGAAAAAACGACTTTCTTCGCCATGACACATCAATCGACATAATATTATATTTACAACTGCAGTGGAACAAGTTATTGAGCATGATCAACAAGAAAAGGTCCATCGTGATAGCTAATTGTTATTTTGGGTCGTTTTGTTGCATGAAACTAAATATAGTTTCCGCGGTTATACTTCCTTTACTATGATGTATCGAAAAATGCTGATTAAGAACTAACACCGAACGGGAACAATCCACAAGATGTTTCTTTTCTGACAGCTATGTTGTGAGATGTTTCACATGAGCATTATAGTTCAGTTTTGTCTTTTAACATCAATTACCGCGCCGATTATTTTTAAGAGATAAGGTTTTCAATTTTAAGATGTACGAATGGCAGTGAACGTGACATGAAATGGTAAATCACAAGAACTGTTCGGAAATAACATGTGTAGTGTCACTAGTGTCTTCATAATAAATTTGAAAGTATAAAAGATCTCATTAAAATAAAAATAATCTACTCACTCGACGATTTCCATCCCCTCAATATCCACATCCTCCTCTTCGCTGGTAAGATTCTCGATCTCTTCTCGATCGGGACTTTCGTCTCCAAAGTTCACTTTTCCCTCGTCTATGAGCATGAGGCGGGAAGTGATTGCTTTTCTAGTTCGGACTAAGGTTCCTTGCTGGTCCTTGTACTCCTGAGATTTGTTATGTTATCATTCATGTTTTATACCCGGCATGCTATTGGGCAGCTAATCCTTAACTAGCAGCCTAACCAACCTGTAGCTATGTAATACAAGATCATTGCCCAGGAAAGCATGTTGCTAGACAACAAAGTTAAATGGGCTAAAATAAGCGAGAAAATATTAAATGAACTAAAATTCGGTTTAACATATTCATAAATACAATAGCTAAATGGTGAAGAAAAAGTTGTTTCTCAAAGAACCTGAAACTTGAACTAAAATGACACTTATCAGAGCAGTAATAACGAACTTTACCTTGTCTTGAGTTTTGATGGTTTCCTCAGCCTTTTCCATCTGAAACATGGTACTGTTTACCTTCTTTATCATCTCACTGCGAGCTTCAGTCTGCTTCAGGAGACAAGAACAGTACTGATCGAGGAAGTGAGCTGTTTCGTCGAAATCAGCTGCATATTTATCTCCTTCTTTCCTGCCTAGATGTGGTATTGATTTTAGAATATCAACTCAATTTACCTGCAGCTTTTGGAGAAAAGAGACTCTGAAGTAACAGTTCATCTCAAACTTCTGAAGATAATCACGACTTACTTGTCACATTGAAGGCATTAGCAAAATCTGTGGTATCCAGACGGTGACTCAGTTTGGTGAGCACCTCAGAAGATTTCTTCTCGTGAGAACGCAGCAGGTCGAGCGAATCCATTAGGTCTGTCAACTTAACATAAGTCTCGTCCATCCCAATCTCATCTGACGGATTGTTATTTGTACTTACAATGTAGGGATGTCAATTGTCCATGATGAGGTTAACTAAATGTACGTATATTATAATTCCCTAGCGAATTATTCAGTTATTACTTAAAGCTGTCAAACAGTTGAGAGAACAAACCTAAATTGTACTTCATAGCGCTGATAATGTGCTTGTGGAAGACTTCTCTGGATTCCCAAATGTCGAGCATGCGTTCAATCTGAGACTTGGACTCAGCATTCTTGCATTCAGACATACACTTGGGAAGAATATGACCAAATGCATCGACGAACTGAGGTCCTTTCCGTTTGCTGTGTTGCAGTACATCGTTCACGAGGAACAAAAGAGTCAACTTTTTCTCCTGAGTCGCTGAAAACGAAAGGACTCATGATTTCATAAAACTATTATCATGAAAGTATTATCTACAATGATTCGTACTTACATATTTTGTTGATTGATGGTGCAGCTCCTTTCCCATACCACTTAATAAATCTGTGTTGTCAATTCAAATTTCAATAATTCAGACAGTACACTGATCACTAAGTAAATTGTCTATTTTCCGAAATAAACAGTGTGGTTTCAGAGTCAGCGATATTGTGATTGTACTGGTAGTAAGGGTGTAAATGTAGACATGGGGAGGCGGTGGGAATTCCGTTAGACTAAAAGTTGAGGAATAAATTGGCAAAAATGGGCATCATTTTGCAGTCAATTCCGAAAAATCAAAAAATAAATATGTCTGATGCTCTGATACTCTGATAAGCTGAAATATAGCTGTACTTACTAATTAGGGGACGGCGAAAACGATGGTGATGATAATTCCCAACCCAAATTAACAAAACATACATTTATCAAAATGTAGGAGTTCGCAAAATCCTTTTGAATAAGAAACACGTACCTTCAAGATAGAAGTTTTTCCATGCCTGGGCTATGACAGGTGCTTGATCTCGGTATTGTTGTATCCACACAGAAACTTTCTCGATACTCTCCTGAGCACCTGAAAGCTCATTCAGTAGATCAACGAAAGAATCTTTGATGAACATTTCATTCCTTCATACCTGAGCAATTTGAAATAGCGTTATTTAAGTACAGCTTAGTTATATAATGATGATCGATATCAAATCAACAATGAACAAAACAATCGAAAATGTCGAGAATGATATTCTCGAAAACCTAGCTCATTGAATTGACAACTATTGAAAATTGATTGCCTCTTTTATCCCATGAAATCAGATAGTTTTTAGAGAGGATTCACTCACATTATTATTATTAAATCTAAAATAGCTAATAATTTAATAAATTGTAAACAGGCCCGTTAACGTGGGCAATAATATACGCTTCACTCACAAACTCTAGTCAAAACACGATTATTGAGTGGTTAGTTCTGATATACAGTTAATAGTTAATCTCTTTTGTGATAGTTTTATTGCATTTTAGTTGAATCGTGAAGTATCAGTACTGACTTACAATAATTTTCGAGAAGATAAGTAGGGTCGCAAGAAAAATGGTTTAATGTGATCACATCATCGTCAGCAAACATCTCACTGATTTCCTAAATACTTTAAGTGCATATTAAATGTTCATGTTCAACTTTTTAGTAGATACTGTAATATGCAAAGGTGAAAACATTGCAAAACTATGATTTGGAATTTTCATATTATAAGGACAGTACAAGAATCGATCGAATTCAGTTTGAATTTCATGGCTGAAAGACAACAGAAAACGAAAACTCGTGATAGGACAAACAAATTAAAACAAGAATTTCGCCGCGGTAACACCACGCACGATCAAATTTCCCTACTGCATACAATTTAATTGTACTTTATTGTATCCCAGAGAGGTGTTTGGCGCATGTACAATGTAATAAACGTTTATATTATATTAGGCGTGCAGAACTTGAAAAATCCTGCGCGCATCTGAGGTGTCGCCGTCGATCTGTATATGGTTTGGTTGTAGATCATTTCATACTTTGCGCGGTTTTGTTTCGTGTTAACAATAACGATATGCGTATCATGTCACGTCATATTACTGCATCGTATGCCAACTTATTGACTGTAATAAAATATGCTGTCTCGTCTTAGTTATTATTTGTATCTAACATAAACTAATACATTTTGATTCTTACTCGACACATCACAGCACCATCGACTTTCGAGCCTTTTATTTGATATAGGATTCTTTAAAAGAATACCACAATCTTGATATTATAGTTGCTTCTTAAATGTAACTGTGAAGTAACATTTGTTCTCAACTATGTATTCCAATGCTTTCTACCATTCAGTGTCGATTAACTGTTAAATAATCAGCCCACAGCCACGAGTTTATCAGCTGACATCATAATTTTATTTGTTTTGACTTGCTTAATTTTATCACTCGGTAATTTATTAAGATTGTTTCACACAAATAACACCTATATTGATGATTGATCCGTTTGTAACAGTCGTCAAGCACCAAAAACTGGTTGCTATGCCTGTAATTAATTAACTCATAACCAGCGTCGCGCGCGCAAAATAGACTCCTTTTATACACATAATTATAGGGGAGTGGTCTATATTGCGAAGGAGCAGACTTTTGTCGACACCGTAGGACCGTCGGGCCACCTCATATATCCAAACCCGATTACTTATTCCCTACGATCTTTTTGCCTTCGGCAAGAGTAGGGAAAAAAATGCAAGTTGTATTACAAATTGAGTCGATTGTAAGTGACAGAAAGACTTGGTCAGGTAGCGCTCGATTTTAGTAACGCTGGATCAACCTCACGCGCGCGCACATGCAGGATAACTTAAAAATTAATATAAGCCTTGTAGCGCGATGCGCTACTGTGCCGCGCCGAGCTGCCATGAATTGACATCGTCAATTAAATATAAGCCGCGCATACAATGATGAAATGATCGAGCAAAAATCCTTGTTTATTGTTTTTATTGATATTTTGTATTTTCGAAATAAATTGTTTAAGAGGGAAAACAAATTTTAGGAAAACAAATTTAAATTTTGGTATTTATTAATAACAATCAAAACATATCATATCATAAAAATAAAGCCGCGCGTTGGTTGACTGCCTCAGTAAGGTGAATAATTTAAGCTTGAAGGTGCCCTGCGCATTTACAGAACCTTATGCGGCGATCACATATTCATGATATGAGGACCTGTGAGCGCCAAATTTAATTTAAAGTTTCTAGAAATCATACATCACTACGAGTTACTCATGCTTTTGGATTATAAGAGTGCGGATTGTCAGGTATTTCATTCATTCATACTTAATCGGTTTAAAGCTGTATATTTAGAACTCACTATTGTTTAAACTACGAAAGCAGAACGTAGATAATGGACAATATACCGACAACAATACCAAGGACCCGAGTGCCGCATTGACTTTTCCGGATCCGTTTTTACCGAAGGCTTATCCACCAGTTACTCATGCTGCATGTATAGTCTGATAATATTTTGTCTTATCTCTAGCAAGCATAATTCTGTAAATTGAAGTGTCGTATTTATTATAGAAAATGTTTGATCATTTTACTTTTTCAGTCCCGCTTATTAAACCAATTATTAGCTTCGAAAGATTTGACTCGTTGTTATCGAATAATAGCACTACGTAGCATGTAATGAACTCGTCGTAGCGTCAAATTATTAAAACTTGAGTACAGTACTATTCATAAATTTGAGTACTATTATATAAAAAGCTTTATTAGTTTGGAAATTTATGCACTTTCATCATTGAAATGTATAAATTCGGCGTAAAATTCGAATATTATACTTTTTATTTTTTAATTAAATTTTAATCAAAAATGTTATGTTTAAAATTCAGCGTGCATACCTGTGTCTTTTAATCAATGGACTGTAAACGACCCGGCGCGCGCTACTTCGAAGAAATTTAGACGAGTATCATCTGAGTGGAGTTGGGTTAGAAACATATAAGAGATACAATGATTTATGTGTCATTTATGTATCATCTGTCAATTGTAGTATAGCGTCGTAGTATAGCAATGTATGCGAAGCTGCACAAACTTGACTTTGAAGTCATCAACACAGCTATCGTTGTCGAAATTGTAAACCACTGTTATATTTTTTCATTGCAGATTGTCCATCATCCCACTTACTACGACCATTACGTATATTACTTGAGGACCCCAGGCTATTATGTTCATAAACATATAATAAAGATTCGGCGGAATGACAGGCTGAGCGCCGCCCAGTAACACGTATAGTATAGGCAAATTATAATTATCAAGTTTAATGCATTTGGTAAAAGAGGCTTATCTAAACTATCAGCTCAAATATTAACTGCGCAAATCAGAGTTGTTTCTGTTTTTAATCTGTCGTTGGCAAATGTATGTCATCGCATTTGAAGATATTTTATCTATTCTTATGTTAACTGGGTATAGCACAGAATCTCGGGACTTATTGCCTCTATTCGGCACTTGCAATTACTTCTTGCTTCCTCATTTTCTTGAAGTAATAATGATAGGTGTTGCGTAACCTAGGTCCTCTACTCAGGCTTTTGTGTTCACGACGATATGGCAGATTGACAGGGCGAGCGCCGTCCAGTCCATATTTCTTGAAAAAATTTGTTGTTTTCTTGAGTAAGGTGTTATTACTTCTTGTTTATAAATGTCTAAATGGCATGGGACCAGATTATTCAAGTACAATGTTTAAATTTGCAAACTATAATCATCTTATCTATTTGACTGAACCTAGAGTGCATACACATTATGGAGAAAGATCTTTTCAGAAAGTTGGCCCTAAATTATGGAATGAACTACCATTTGAGATTAAGAATTGTACAACATTGGACTCTTTTAAAGTGTATCTGAAAACATTTCTTTTCAAACGTGCTCATAATATTGTATCTTAATATTTTTCTATCCTAGTTTTCCTTATTTGGTTCTACTGGAAAATGCATACACATTATCGTTTATTTAGTGAATCAAGTCTAATCACCCTTATCTGGTTTAGAATATAAATGTGGGTTGCTTTTTCAGGTTTTATTGTATCCTGAACTGTTTTCGTGGCACACCTGTGCATTTTAAGTTGTTGTGCCACTATAATATAAAAGTTTGAATTATTATTATATATAATAACATCTATAATATAATAATAATAATATAAACAAAAGAGCACCTAAAGAGGCTCAGCAAAGTGCTGGCCTATTTACGCTTTCGAAGACTCCTTCATTCAATATGTCTCAAAGTAAATAAACTCCTCCATCCTATTCTATCTCTTGCTAAGTTCACTAAGTTGGTAAAATCATCTTCGTTTTTCAAATAAATTTTTCTCTTAAATAGGTCCTTTTTCACAATAATATCATACAAATTAGTCCTGAGTCTACCCACTCGTTCCTTTAGTGTTTGACATCCTAGTGTAGCAAATAACAGAGACTGGTAGGCAGGCGTGTCGTTGTCACTGCGTAGAACATGACCTAGCATTGTCCACTGTGCCTTTTCCACTCTCGGAAAGGGGCCTGGTCTAGGTACGAGCGTAGAGGGCCTTGTTAGATATTGAGCTAGGCCAATACATGTGTAGGATGCGCTTGAGGTGCTTTCTCTGAACAACATCTACAGACTCTAGAACATGCTGAGGTACAGCGCAGCAGCAGCAGTTGTACAGGAGCACTGATACTACTAGTGAGTCGTAGAGTTTGATCTTTCTCTTCTCAGTTATCTGACTCCTCTCTGATCCCTGGTACCACAGCTTGTCAAATGACCAGAAGTAGACCAAAGTGGCTCTTGCTTGTGAAAGGTGTATCAACTACCTGCCAAAGCGGTGGGTTGGGAGTCCCCCCTGTGTTCTTAAAAGTGAACATATCTCAACTGTGCTGAAAGGTCGTCTTCATTTCTTTTCGTTTAGTGAACTAAATAAGTCTTGTGGCAATTTCACATGACCCATTTGTATAATAGGTCAAGTGCCCTCGATATTAATTTAGCACTGCCAACAATTATAAAGTAAAGTAAAGTAAAGTAAAAATTATGACATAACATCATCACTAATGTCTACGAAATATCATTGCACTACATGGAAAAATATACAGTAACTATTTCTCCATCAAATTTAAAGGTAATAATTTATCAAATATCAATCATGAATAACAACGACATTAAAAAATTTAATTTATTCATACTTCCCAGTGGAGTAAAGATTTATAAAACGTTTCTTTGCTACATAAGGATGAAACCAAAGATAATCATTGTGTTAAAAGCTTCAATAAGGTCCCCACGTATTCGCCGCTCTGCCAGCGTTGTCAAATTAAGGATTTCCAGTCTACAAAAGATAGACTTTTTCTCACGTCGTGACCCTCATGGTCATTTCATTTCGCCAAGTATCAGGGCAAAAGCCATGATACAGCTGTGCATTGTGCGTGGCGGGCCTACAACGTGAGGCAAATTGATTTAGACTCTGGTTGCTTATGATTGATGAAGCATAACTCTCTTGAGTGTGACACCATGAGCCCCCCCCCCCCCCCCCCCCCCCCCCCCCAACAACAAACAAACAACAACAACAAACAAACAAACAACAATCACAAACTCTAGACAACTCTATTATTAAGTTGTTAGTTCTGATATTCAATCATTCTCTTTTATATTTTTATTGCGTTTTAGTTGAATCGTGGAGTACCAGGTCTTTTTCCTGATATTAAAGGTGCCAGATACGCTTGTACAGTGTTTCATAGCTTTTGATCCCATTTTAAACTTTGAATGCATCTTCTGGCATAGAGGCATACTGTCCGCCCATTCTAAGCAATATTTCCTTAATGGTTTCTAGCTGCTGACACATTTTGCCAACAATTGTGGTCAAGCAACTGCAGCACAATCTATGACACTTTTGCATGCTACTTACAGACAAGACAAAACAATTCCTCACAGCAACTAGCTTTAAAATTGTTTTAAAATTTGTTTCTCTTTGGAACCACAGCTATTTTTTACTAAATGATAAATTTATCTCAATAACATGTTAAACTAGTCTGGGTCACTCAAGTTATCAGTTTTGATTTTGTACATACTTTTTCAGAATTGTATTTACATGTTGAATCAAATTCGCTTACACTCTTCTCTCTTATAAACAGTAATAATTTAGTTATAAACTCCTTTTATAACAATTCTTGTTTTAGCAAAGACAGATTATATAGAGTGCTTACGTGGACCTACTTGTCCTGTTATGAGTGAGTGAATAGGTAAAATATGTCGTGGGTAGAATCCGGATACATAAGTCATCCAACAACAGACAATCAGTATTCTATTAATGATTCCAGCTTTGAAGTGCGGGACAGGGAAATTTACAACGTTTCTGCAATGTTTGACGACACCATTACGATACGGGTAAGTCTAGAAAAGATGATAATAACTGACATGACCTAATAAGATGATATCAAATGTTTATTTGATTTTTCAGAACTTGCCAACAAAATTTATTAAAAATTATGTGGCATTAGTACTTTCAACTCAGAAACGGTAAATATTTCACTCTCAGAACGAACCGACATCGTTTGATGATATAAACCTTGAAATAAGAGAGCAGCCCTACTCGGTAACCAGCACCACCTCGACCATATCCTTGCTCTTTGGCGGCTTTACTGACTGCATGCAACCAGTCAAATCAGTTTACTCCTCTATGAAAGGATGTAAGTTCAAACATATTTGTTTGGTTTTAGCTGTGTTTTAACAAGTTTCTAATACCTTGTTGTCATATCATATCACGTTATTTTTTTTAACCCAGAGATAAGTCTCATATTTTCAGCGATTGATGAAACAAGAAGTTGCTTTGTTTATAAGCACTTGTTTCGTAAATTAATTGCTTTCGTTACCGAATGTAAGTTTAATGTTAGGATAAATGTCCAAAATTTCTATACAAACAAGGAAACGAAATGTAATATTATTACTGCATGAACATAATAAATAATCAATTTAATTCGCAATGTTTTAAATATTACTGATATCATTAAATTCATTTGAATTGGGAGATCGCAAATTGCAATAGTTTTCATATGATTTATTTAAATAATGAGTTACCTGTATGTGCACATATTGATAGAAGTACAGGTGGTTAAAATCAAGCGTCCAACGTCTCCCCTCACAATCCAGTTATTGATCCAAATGATAGAAGCATTTTTTAAAACAAGAAATATTGGTAGAAAACGCCCCTTTCATTTATCCATCACATTTGGATAACTTTATGGACGAACTAAAAGTATGGGAAATGCCAGGATGGGTTATTGCAAGTTATATTATATGTGCATGGTTACAGGAAATGTTTAAAATTCTGTTTGTGATAAATTGCCACAGGCAGGAATAATTTAGCCTGCGTTCACTACATGCTAAAAATGTTATCCTAATCCATGGTGATGATGATTTAACTTCTAATGGGCCCTAAATGAATTCCGTAAATTCCTAGTATAAAATTTCCGAAAACTAATTAAGTCCATAGTTAAGAAACTGATAGCTCCCAAAACTTTTGCTTTAGTATTCCCTTTAATATTAATTCCTTTATAATTTCGAATTATTTAAAATGTTATCACAATCTCTGATGATGATCTAACTTCTAAACGACCCTTAATAAATTCCGTACATGATTCCATAAATTATTCAGACATGTTTAAGTTGATCTGAAGAGGGAAACACTCAAGAATAAACGTAATCGAATATAATTAAATTTCAGATTTCAACCCGTATAAGATAGACGGTAAGGATATCCACCTAGATACGGTGCGAGACCTCCACGCTCAAGGAATGGAGGGCAATGTGTACAGAACACGGTTCATGGGCAACAACGTTAGTTTTAAACTTCTTTATCTCTTCAAGGCTACCCTGCATGTGAATTTTATCTGTAATATAATCATAATTTTATTCCAAACACCGCTCAAATAATGTTCACATTCCACTATGTAAATGACCAGGCAAATCATGGAAAATTCTTTAATTCCACCATCTCTTCAAACGGTTAAAAAGATGAAAAGATATGGTTCATTGGTTTACTTTGCACGTGAAATGTATCTCCAACATATTCACATTTTTATTCCAAAAACCGCTTAAACGGAAGTAATTTTTACATTCCACCATGCGAATCATAAACATTCTCCGAATTCCACCATTCCTAAGATTCCACCATGTGCAGATCATCACTAAAGAATGTTGCAGGTGGCGGTAAAGAGGCTAGTTCTGAGGAAGTCGTATAACCCTGAGCTGATTGAAATGTTAGCTCGGCTGCGGCCCGACAACATAGTCGCATTCACGTGAGTTATGACAGAAGAATTTAAATGCTATCGATACAAAGAGATCCTTTATGGGCAAATAGAAAATCAATTAATTGTTTAGCTTCCTCCAACAAAAGACAGCCGCAATTGGTTAACTTCTCATACTTGGTCCCGAATTATACGATCATCTTAAATGATCATACAATGCATGTTAGGTGTTGGTGTATATATAGTGCCTTATAATAATACACTCGATATATTTGATATAGCTAATGGGAGAAGCGTCCCTTTTGTTGTTAATGATGACCCTTGACTGATCTGAATATAACAGTTAGCCTTTAAAAGACACAGACAGTAATCACGTGCCAACACGGTCCTATAATCTACATTCTACTTTCTCATAACTGTACTGTAACAGATCTATAACTAGAGATTATACAACCTACACACTGATGAATGAGAAAGTGCACACTGTGTGTACTGTGTCTGTATACACAGATAAGGATCCCCAGTTTTCAGTTACATAACTCGTCCTCACTAACACTCACACAGACTCACACACAGACTCCACACAGACTTACACACAGACTTACACACAGACTCCACACAGACTTACACCGTGTTTCCTCAATATTAAACACTCTGAGTAGTCCACTATATTTCTCAGAACAGTTAAACCTCTAGCTGGTAGTAACACAATACATGTTTCCAGCAGCGCTCTCTCTCTGGAGACCAGCTTCTGAGCTAATGTTCAGATATAATGCTTGTCGAGTAACCATCTGTTAGCATGCAACGTAGGGGGCCGTCACATTACGTCACCTCACATAATGTAAAGCTGCATATGACGTCATTTTGGATTGCACCGTCATCCGCTCCATTTCCCGTTTTTTGTATCTCATTATATACTTATACGTGTTATTTGTGGGATATGATAAGATAATACAGAATATTCCTAATTCTGCATGCGCTGCAACATAAGGTGACCTGATCATGACTTAACAAGCAATGTTTTATAAACTTTTTAAAGTCCTAATATTAAATTATAAGTCAACTAGATAGTAAAATTATATAAATAGTAAAAAGTATGTACTGTTGCTCTGTTGCAACTCTACGTTCCGTTTTGCTCATTAAAATGACGAGGTTATGATGTTAAAAGCGCGGTATGTTATTGTTAAAAGCTCGTGTAAAATAATCCCAGATAAGCTACGATTGGTTGATATATTAAATTAACTCCACCCACCGCACACATAAATTGCACAATGTGCTGGATAACAACAAGTTGACAAAACAACTGTTCACGACACCTGTTCCTCCTGTTCAATCTTTTAACAGATCCGAAGTTAAAAAGTCAGTGTTGTGATTAGTGACACTGACTAGGTTAGTTTCTCCGCTGGTAGACAACAACTAGGCTCAAGTCACGTGACCTATAAGGCTAAGAAGTCACGTGACCTATAAGAAGTCACGTGACCTATAAGATGTCACGTGACCTAGATAGCTGTAATCTGCAGTTACAAGTAAACTGTATTTTTTGCTGGCAATTACTGTAGACGAGTAAGTCATGTGTCTGCATGATCTATAGGGATAGTATGCAGTGAACTATGGGTATAATGTATTTTATATACTACTCAACCTTAAGAATGGTTATCATCTAGAAGGGCACGTTTTGCCAATTTCAGTAACCATTGAAGGGTGCATGATGAGAATTCAGGAATTAGATTAGTTTATCGGGAACCAATACTTTCTTCATTGCTTTACCGACAAGGAACAACTTAATGAGCCCGATTATATTATCTACAAATGACAAACAAATTAACTTGACAAATATAATGTGATTAAATCATCTTTGCTCATAAAAGTTGTACACAGACACAGAGTTGTTAAATAAGAAATTATCTTGGCCCATGAAGATTGTGTAATTGATTTACACAATCTCGACTAAGCCCCTCGCAACTTACCGGAGATTACGGCTAGATTAGGGAAAAGCAGCAGGTTATTACCAGTTACAGTTAACAGATTACAGTTACTTAGATTTTGCCCTCATACAACAATATACTGACAAGTAAATCTCCTCCTCTCCCCAGGGGTCACACCATGGAACCTCCTCAGTACATCATGGAGTTCCTCCCCCACGGCACACTCTCCCACTTTATCAGCGGTGGAGGTTTGTACTGCCCCCTTTTGGGTGTGACTTGTTAACGAGAGTTTATGATGCAGTATACTAGATCTAGAGTATTGTCTGTCACTTTCATTAGCGGTTATTCGGGTGTCAAGCGAGATATTACGGAACATTACGGCACATTACGTCACATAACCGCACATTACCGCACCATAGTTTCTAACTTAGTTTTGTTAACTAGCCTTTATTCGGAAGTTTTTTAAATAAGGGGCCGAAGCAAGTCTGAAATTTTAGCATAATATTAATTTTGATTTATGTCCAATGATGAAGATTTATTTTTCAGGCGAAATCCCACCCAAGCGATTGATACGATGGTCCAGGAATATAGTGAATGGCCTGGAACATTTGCACCGACTCAATGTTATACATTGTGATCTCAAGTCAGCTAAGTAAGTATAGACATTCCACACGCAGCGGTTAGTATACTAAAGCAGGTCCTTTAATGATTAATCATTTGTGCAAGGTACTCGAGTATTGTGATCCTACTTAGGTCCAACCCTGACGACCTGACGTTAATCGATCTTGTTGGATTGTTAGTGAATGTCCGGGTCCCGGTATGCTTACTGTTGAAGTGTACGGCTCTTAGTGCTTATCCGAGGCCTTTATGAAAGAAAATGTGTGGCTTCAAATTTGTCAGCATGCTACATTTTAGAATGATTTGCAGTAATCTTGGAATTAAAATGTCTAAGCAGAAAGTAAAGATAATGTAGACTAATAGATAAAATAGATGCCCTTTATAGACAATACATATTTAAAATATCCCAAATATGTAATTGAGTTAAATCTAATAGTGTTTGTTATGAAAATCATTAAATATTGCAATTGTCAGTCTCGCCCTTAAGTCGTAATACTAATTGTTTTATCAGCTCATGAGAACACACCAGAACCTGCTGTCCTGTTCTCCATCACCACTCCTTCCGTCTCTGGATCACTCTCATCTCCTTCTTCTTCATCCTTATCTTTACTTTTCCTTCTCGACATTAATTCCACATCTTCTGGAGTCTCTGCAATGGACCTGTCTGTGGTGTCAGGCAGAAACCACATCGCAACACATGCCAGCATCGTAAATCCAGCAAATAGAGCGAGTGGTACTTTCCTATCTGTCACTCCGTACAGAAGATTGGTGTAGGGGCCGATGGTAGCACCGACCCTAGCTGCACTGGAACTCATGCAGATAATCATGCCCCGGTGCGAGGTTGGTGCTAGTTCTGCTGAGAAGAGCCACAGCATGTTTAAAGCAGCCGAGGTAGCTACGTATCCAACCAAGCCAGCTACAAGCTCCAGACTCCAGGCACTGGCAAATTGGACATCCACCATGGCGAGAAAGTTCATCAGAATCATCATCACTAGGTAGAAGATAATGGCGTTTTTGCGGCCCAGCAGACCACAAACGAAGACAGAAGTGCTGTAAGCTATAGCTTCACTCAGTGCTGAGAAGCAGTAGGTGGCGTACAAGTCACTGCCCAGCTTACCCCACCCATAATTGGAACTGTAGGCGATGAGGGCCACTGTAAACCATACCCAGAGTCCTTGGAGGGTCTGTTTCAGCATGTTAGGGTATTTCTTTAGATCTTTAAGCTGATTGAAATAATTGTATTCTTTTCTCGTTTCAAACATGATATCCAGAGAATCCACGTCCACGTTGCTGTCACTAATCCTGGCTAGCCTTTTCAAAGTCTTCTTAGCTTCCTCCTCCTTTCCTTGAATCAAAGAAAACCTCGGTGACTCAGGAAGTGGAATCAAGAAGTACGTGAGGAGACTGAAGATGTTCACTCCGGCAATACCCAGAAACACGTTTTGCCAGTCATTTATTAGGTAGCTTAAACAGATGGTAGCATAGAGTCCAGCACACCATCCGAGAGAAACAGAAACACTCATGGCCATTCTCAGACGAGTGGGCGCATACTCAGCAATCCAGCAGAAGGTTCCAGTGAAGTTGACAAAGATGCCAAACCCAGACGCCAGTCGCAGAAAGAAGAGGACTTGGTAGTTGGGAGCGACTGAACAAGCAGCCACAGAAAGCATGGATATGACACTGCCTACAATTCCTCCCTTCTTTCTTCCTATTCTATCAAAGAGTCCGTGGATAGTAAGAGGCCGATTAGCGACCCTAAACCTATTGCACCGTTTAGCAGGGAGAAGATAGCCTCTCTTCCACAATACAGATGCCAGTCCATGGAGAATGTGTGCATCTTGGAGGTCCACTTGAAATCAGATCCTTCCACAAAATCGTTTCCGCACATGGTCTCGTACGAGAAGAAATTGTCGGCGTCCTCTGCTTCCTCAGCTTTGGTCTGAAGATTAAAACACTTGGTTGAATTACACTCCCAATCATTGTAAGGAATGAAGCCTGTGAAAATGGTAGCACAACTAACTGCACCGGTGTTGATGACTGTGCACAGCATGGCTATGAAGATCACTACCAGCTTCAAGTTTATTTTTTCCAAAATGCGATCCACGGCCTCCTCGATCGTTTCTAACTTACTGACCATACTCGAAGGGTTTTCACGTTCACCTGACATCCCTGGGATAATTTGTTATGAAATGAGGGGGATTAGTTGATATCCTTGTAATAAAAAAATGGGTTAAGTTAAAATCTCTGCGGGAAGAAAATGAGAGGTCGAAATACCTGCAATGTTGAGAGTTTTTATAGATGTATCTGCAATAAAGAAATGATATATTTATTTTACTTACCTGCAAAAGGAAATTGAGAGGTCTTTCTGATTTGCCTGCGATATTAAATTGAGAGGTTTGACATTCCTGGAAAAACAGAATTAGAGATCTAACTGCTAGCTGAACTGCCTGCAATAAGAAATTAGACGTCAAAGTAATCAATTTCGATCACAATAGCAGAGTATGTGTTTAAATAGCAAACCGCACCAAACGCTTAATTGTGCCAGAGGACCTGGACCAGACTGGTGTGACATAGCGACTACTCACACGTCGTCTTAGTTCACCTGTCTCTTCCACACCCAGCTGCCAGTTGCCACTTAAGCGTTCATACACGACACATCTTACAACACTTACCATCATCCTACATTACACATTCTGATTCCTCCGGCATCCTCCTATAGGACTGCCATACCCCAGAGGTAGGCAAAGCTTAGTCTACCATAAGCTTAGTCAAAACTTTGACTAAAATTGGTGTAAACCAAATTTATTCAGACCAAAATTTCAGTATAACATTAATTGAGGTGAATAATGCATTGCAGTTATTATTGCAAATTTATTGGCCATAAGGTATTACAGTATACAATCTTCTGTGGTCCCCTTAAATTGAGTTACAAGTCACTTGGAAAATTTACGAAATAGCTTCAGAGACATTGACCTGATTTGTGTATTATGCAAGCGTAAATATATTAAAATGAAAGTAAGTAATATACCAAACAGTCGACTTATACCAAACAAAATGTACGGAAATAATGAAAAGTTTTAGTATAGACAAGTTTAAATATCAAACAGATTCAGGTTAAATCCTTATCAGTCTAACTCTAAGAGATTCGTTACATCACGATTAAATTTGAGTGGTTCCTCCCTGTTTCTTAACAAGATTAGATTTACAAATTTGGAGACGCGATTTTATGTTATTCTTCTAATTCCCCGGTACAGATGACAATTATAAATTTGGCCAATGCTGATTCGCCAGCTGCAGAAGAAACGGCATTCGTTGATTCGTTTAAATCACGTGTGATAAAGTTCCGTTATCTCTTCAGGGCATCAGACGCTTTATATCAGAATGTCGGGGCCCGGATAGGGCAAAGGGATCATCCACGAATATTTTGCGCGGTTATTCATGATTAGTGGTTAAACTCAGCACTAACACAGTGGTCATAGTACCGTTGGATATGAGCTTGTTTATAATGAAGGATAGAAAATACAAATTAGCAGTGCTCACTATGAGTTGTAATCACACCCCTTCAAAATTTAAGTCCAAATTATTCGATCTCTCAGTTCTCAAGTAGCGTACTCGAACTTACTATACCCTTTTCTCATTTATCTTACTTCTTATTAGCTTTGAGTGAAAGTTGTAAACGTGTGATTCAGCTCCGAATGGATTAATAATTAGCTAGTGTAAAAGCTGGACTGCCCAGAACTTGCAAGCAAAATCATATATTTCGTATTATACGGAATGGGTATACAAATATTTACAACCCCAATTACCGCCATGTCGCTATCTGGTGGGAAGGTGACCAGTTATAGAATTATACCTACCAAACCACATGTACTAACCAGGAGCCTTCCTTGTGGCGTCCACCTCAATCCACGTACGGTTCAATCTGCCTGCCACGCATCGTAGGTTTTTTATGTACGCCATGAAGAGATAGGAAATTATCATTAATGAACCCGACTCCGCCCTGCGTCTGTACCTGCTGCGCTACCTTCATACTAGTTACTATACTCCAACGGCTGACGTCCATCTGAAATTAGAGGACAAAATACTTGCCCGATCTTGTCCAATTCTTTGGCTGCAAGCCAGGGAGATAGAGAGTATAGCGTGTCTTTATGCTTTACTGGCTGTGAGCCAGGTCATTGCCCATTATTCACTTTGATATAGCATATTTTTGTGTTATATGGCTAAATTATATGCGTGTTTATATTACATTAGCTGACATTTCAGTCTAATGCTGGACGATAGTAGAGGTGAAATGGAACTGAAGATAATTGATCTAGAGAGTTCTATCACAGTTCCTGAAGGTCTTGATCAGGTGAGTTGGAATGTTGACAATGTTGAAAATGTAGCTGAAAGCTGGGGTTCATTTCGAGTAATTGTTTCCAACTCTTGTACATGACCTGCTGTACACATGACCAAATATTTTGACTCCTTTATAACTATATCAGTCAGCACATTCCTAACCCACATTCCACCCAGGTGCCGGTAACCCAAGCACGGGGTACTACACCCTACATGTCCCCCGAGATGATTAAACAGCTACCTTGTACCACGATGGTAGACATCTGGTACGTCACATTCTCCACATTATTTGTCATAAAGCGTCTACATTTCCCAATAACAGCTTTGTGCACCAGATTGTTAATTTAGGCAGTCTCTTTATCATCATATTCCATTACATAATCGACAAATTTCACAAGATTATGTCTATTTCTTATTTCTGTATCTCATTCCCAAATTGTGATAATTTGATAAATGAAATCGTAATTAAAGATTCAATGGTCAAACTTCACATTGACACTTATATCGATTTTTATGTCATCAATGTTATTATTATAAATTTATAACCCATATCAATGCTAAAGTAAGTCTTCCTTCTATCTCAAGGGAATATACACTTCTAACTAATAACTTGACTGAATAATTTAAAGACATTATTAGACCGTGATTTAATGAAATAATCTAGGAGCTAAAGTTGGTTAACAGCCAAGTGTTGTAAGTACTAAGGAGTGAAGTGAACGAGTTTGAAAGTACTAAAATGCAGTATTAACAATATACTATAAAGCTGTTATGTGTGTCAGTTTGAAATGCTCTGTGGCTCATTAATATATTTCGCGTCCACTTTTACTTCTGTGCAGTTTGCGCATGTTAACCGGGTTTTGTTATTGACTCTCGTGGGTTTTGTTTTTGCCTCGTGAGCCCTAACTTCCAACATTCTATCCTCTATATCTCTCTCGGTCTGGTTCTAATGTTATTATGTTTTCAGGGGCTTTGGTATTGTCCTGTGGGAGATGGTTACCCTAAAACCGCCTTATAAGGTAATGTTTTGAACAAATCGCCAACTTAATTAGGAAAAGGGGCAGCCGTCCCCCCTTCTCCTACCATATTTGGCGATGTCTAAAAACTATGCCACAAAGCATAGCAAGAGTATGGAATGTTCTAATAATAATGAAACACTCACATGCACGAGATCACCGGCCTAATTACATTTGTTTTGACTGTTCCTTTGCCATATTATCAGTACTAAACACCGACAAATTAATCAATAAATTGTCATAATATCATGTATAAAGAGCTCGTGAGTGGTTCTACTTCTTATCTACTTCTTATCATTTAAATATATATTTGTGCAGGGAAAAGAAGAGCAGTACGTGTTTTACGGTATAGGAATGAACAAGATATCTCTCCCTATCCCCGATGATATCCCGGATGGTATCAAACTTCTCCTGCAAATGTGCTGGTAAGTAACCCATACACTGGAGTGTTACTTATTTCTTGTTTCTGTTGATGTTATTACGGGAAGGAAACTAGAAGGAAACTATCTAGAGCGGTGCTATTTTTTAACAACAAATACCCCCCCCCCCCCCCCCCCGCTAATAGATAAATTTAGGATAACCTGACTGCTTTTATTTGTGTTCGTTCCCAACAAGTAAAACAGATGTATCTGTGAAAATTGTGGTGAAAATACTCTGAGATGTATTAATAGATCTATTTCTTGTGCTGTAGAGAGTCAAGTAGATCTTGCATGTATGAATGACACTACTTTGAAGAAGATTGAAATGTGTGCAAAACGTATTAAGAAATAAGATATGCTTGAAGAATTTAGATGCAGATTATGAAACTTTAAACTGTATTCATTCGAAATTATCACATACGGTACTGAACTTGTTACAAGCGGTAACATTTTACACCTCGTACGATTATTGCTTGTTATCTGGATTATAATCAGAAGCTTAGTTCCCAAATATTTGTGTGCCAACACTTTTGGCTCAATAAATTTGAGTACCGAAAATTGGGGCAGGAGATTCGGATTTGTTTGGGCGGAAAAAAATTTGAGCATTCATTTTTTAGAGACGCGGTTATTTTGCTCTCGATTAGCGTGGGCATACATGATTATAACACAACATCAAAGTCATACTCTCCCCAGCTACAAATGTTTGGGAACTAAGAAGTTCAGACGTTAAGTAACCTGTCTAGTTGAAACTTTAAAGGGGTTTGGATGCGCTGACGCATATAATCTAATTTTGACGCAATAGCTATATTCTTATGTGTAAAATGGATTATGGAGGGTAGTCTAAAATTGTTTTATATCACCCTCCGTAATCACTTTTACACACAAGATACTGGCTAAAAATTAGATTATATGCGTTAGCACATCCAAACCCCTTTCAACATTTTAGACTAAAATGGCAAAAAACTTATGTAATATGTGAACAATCCCTTACGACTTAATTTACTCGTCTCATATTAGTGACGAAAAATAAGTAACGATTACCATCATATATCATGTATAGGCTACGTGTGTTAGCTGTTAGCTAAGATCTGTGTGGTACACGTGTTGTGCAATGTCGTCTTAGAATATCATCAGTGGAATAAAGATCTATCTTGGCACTCAATCCACACCATATTATGATAGGAACCATATTTAGTGAATTGTTTACATCCACGGTAATATAAAGTGAACCTTGCTACAGTAATAGAAGTAGCGAGATAGGTGTGTCTGGATTCTAATACAATTCACACCAACACATCATATCAGTAATCAGTATGCAGCATATACCGTCTGGAGCATGTTCACTGTTTTTGGAGCCTTCTATTCGAGGGAAGATGACCAGAAACACTTACAACTTAAGTTAAATCACTGATTTCCAGACCTGTTGTCTCAGCCCATCCCCAACACGGCCGACTTAGAACTCTGAAACCAAACCGAAATATGGACCTTTAATGTACCCCACCCTTCGTAATATTATTAGAACTTAATATAGGGCGCTCTCTCTCTTCAACCTCTATGATTCTAAATACTGGTGACATGTTTTGTTTATCTGAGACCATGCTACCTGTGTGCAAACCAGCTCTGTGCAATTGTAATCAAACTGCTAATTTGCTGCACCATCTGGACGGCGGTGATTTAAGTTTGTTTTGAAACTGGAGACTGGAGGGTGGAGACAGGTTAGTGCTTGGATCGAGGTCATGTCCTCAATTACGTGTCGGACGTGCACTCGTTCAATGTGGGCTCGGTAACACACTAATTCACACCCTCTTTAATTTTATTTAATAAAGTTGTAGTAGCAATGTAATAATGCGGTGTGAACAATAGAGTGACATGATTATACAAAGACTCCCTGGCACCGGGCCGTGTCGTATGCTTTTCTTGTTTTCTTTCTTGTCAATCAGCCAAATCTTGACTATTGTTTTGGTCTGTTCGGTTCCTCCGACCTTTTGATAGGACGGGCTATTATTAGCATCACTCACTACTCCCTCATTGAATTTTCCACAGGTAGCATGTCGAACTAGTCACGAGATGCCTTTCGCGCCATATACATCACTTTTTGTAGGCCGCAGCGATTGTTGACCTGATTGTGTTTGCGCGCACGTACGAATTTAGCCAAAATATTGTAGAACCAAAGACACGTTGCCCTCACGACGCACATAATAATCTCAATCCCTGGCCCAAAACGAAAGTGATTTCCGCTAAACTAGAGCTCTGTTTTAGGAAGCAAGCTCCAGAAGCTCGGCCTGGAGCGCTGTACATCAAGAAACATCTCGAAGTACTGGAAGGCGACCTGAAGTTGACCTCCAATGAGAGCTACAGACAGAGCCAGATGTCTTGGAGACAGGATTGCGAGTATGACGAGTACGAGTTTGATATGGAGGAGATAAAACAGTGGTGTAAAGATCTGGAGTGCTATAGACTACTTCAAATGAGGTACGGTTACTTTGTTTTGATCTTTAAGATAACCACTTTTCGTTAATATCGCTGATTTCAGGATATCATATTAACCATATCCCACTTTTTGGTATAAACTGCATATTATTAACATATACTAATTGTCTCAGGTACAACGCCCTGATGACAAGCTACAATAATCTGTACCAAGAATTCAAAAAGTTAAAGAAAGGGCAAGAACCGACGCTGACCAGAACTCGGAAAAAGTCGTCCAAAAAGAAGAAAAAATCAACCAGCAAAACATCCCTCCTGTTTTCAAATCAGAACCACGTGACCTTGACTCGCACAGTCTCCGCTCCTCTTATCACGGAGAAGAACACCCTTCACAGAGTTAGTTTTAAAACTATGTATTTTTAAACATCTTCTAGAATATTCAAATAATAAAGACATCTTGAAAACAGAAATCGCTTTCGTCATATTCTCTTTTGCAGTTCTGACTTGTCCTGTTTCAGATAACGGACAGTGTGAGGTTGTGTCAGACACCTAAAGCCAATACTCTCGGTGCCAAATCCAGACCAGAAAACTTACCTCTTTCTGATGAAAGCTGCTGCCCATTCGACAGGAATAACGATTACGTGGTAAGATCAATTCTTAAATTTTTACCGTAGATAACTCTTTCGTTTATCAAATGTTAAAAGTAAACTAATGTTGCATTCTAAAAACTGATCTGGTACATCACTCAGAGCCCGATCGAGAGTGACAGTTCAACATCTTCCCGTGGTAGTATAGGAGCTCACGCAGATATAGAGAGCGGGGCAGAAACCTCCGAACAAGACAGGATCAGGCTTCCTATACAGAGGAGACACATTGCTAAAGTGAGATTTTATCTTATTGATAGTCAGCATTTTACTCTGTTCTACACTTAAGACTCAAGAAAAATTAAGTTTTTTTGCTGTTTAATCGATTGAGTGCTCTATTGCTCTGATCTAACCCTGACTATCCCAGCTTAACCAGACGACAGAGGAAGGTGACTCCGCGTTCGACCTCAGTTTGTCATCCCAACCAGAAATACGAGAGCTGGCAGATTCCGACACTGACGTTCAGGTATCTGGGGACGAGTTTGGGGACGAGAACCTGGAGAACTATGGTGTCACGTGCGTTTAAATCCGGTCACGTGCGTTTAAATCCGGTCACGTGCGTTTAAATCCGGTCACGTGCGTTTAAATCCGGTCACGTGCGTTTACCTCTAGTTATCTCATGACTACCTGAATGTTATATATACGTGCACTGGACTGCACTATATGGATGCAACTGTTTTACAAGAGGTACTGAGCCTAGTGATAGACTTAAAATTGTTCATTCTATGAACCCTGAAACCCATTCGAGAAAGTCTTCGGCGGATGAAGTTGTTTAAATGGAGGAAACCTTATTATTATTATTGAATTATTTTTCAAATTGATGGTGCCATATTTCGTTGCTAACAATTACGAATATAGATTGCTGCTTTAATGATTGTGTTTGTTGGACAGCATTTATTCAGCAGAGCATGTAACTGTCATTTCATTAAGAGTTATAATTTTGGAGCTGTATGAGAGTACTCTGTAATTGTGGCTCCGATTTTATCCCTGACTTTATCTCCAGAAACAAAATAGTCTAAAAAAAATGTAAATTATTTAAGTTAATCGTCAGTCCGAATTATTTTCAGTTATATTCAGTCATGATGTTCGGTTATGATCATCTACTTTTATTGTGTGTAACGTGGTCGGTGTCTTTCGCTGTAATTGGCCACCTTACTTGACAGAATTTTTAGTTTTTCGGGCTTACAACCTTCTTATTTTATACTTTTTTTAATGTTTTTAGCGTGTAATTTATTCCAGTGTAAAAGAACGGGAATTTGAAGGTTACTAAGGTGAAGGGGAATATGGTGTTGGATTTGATTTTTGTTTATTATACATGCTCGTGTATTTTCGAGCATTAATTTAATGGTGATTGCTTACACGTTTGAGTTTTAAATTTAATATTAAGATACGAAAAGTTTTTCTAAACCGTCTGAAAATGCTGCTGACTGACAATGATAATGGAAATTATACTCTGTGCAATTCAACAACTGAATGCGCCGAGCTTGAATCTGGCGGTTAGCACTTCGTCAGTTCTATCTGATCATTTATATAAGAAAATTCCGGATCCATTTTGATGTATAATGTAAATCTATAGTTTTACCAGAATCGACAGTCAGCAGTGAGCCTTGAGAATGAAATTTACTTTGAGTACGGCTCATGATTCAAATTTGATCATTGTTATTATGAATTTGTCTTCAAATGATACTGCTAGTGCAACAGAGATTTAACTTTGCTAAGGTGAAGTAAACACAGTCAAGTGTCCCGTGAATCATTATCATCGATGACCGTTGTAAATTATTATTTTATAAAATCAACTCTTTAAAAATCAATACTGACTTAATAGACTGTTTTATTTTGATTCATGCACCACTACCCGTGAATCTGTTGTTTCGGAACATTCTGGATTTGGGAGAGTGAGTGTGTAATTTGGAAAACTTTTTGACATACATCACTGATCACGCTATGAAAGCATGTGTCTAGTTAAAATAAGTTATGGTTGTGGAAAAAAAGTACTATGAGTATCTACATGAACAGCACCAAGTCCAGTCTATCCCATTTACACAGAGTCAAGTGTAATAAGAGTTACTTTGTGTTACAAAACGACAGACAACACAGTCAAAGTTTGAGAGTTGGGCCACGTGGAATGTGCATGTTAACAAAAGAGGGACCCCCTCTGAGAAAGTGAAAGGTTACACACACTTCATTACCTAATGAGTGACATACCAAATATAACCTGAACAGTCCTTAGCCTTCCATATCTTGATGTGGAGTTTCTTGTTTGATTATTCTTGCACAAAATCTGGGTTTCATATAGGGACAACTCCTGTCCCCAATGGTGATCCTCATCTATTGGCGCAAATCAGTAGATGAAATGTATACCTCCAAGTCCATCGTCTTTGGATCCATGACATCTCGAATGAATTTCAGTGGCCTCCATTTGTTCTGGGTCCACTGCACGTAGTGGTCATTAAAAATCACAATAATATGCTATAATGATCATTAACTACTTGTGCTGAACACTTTTATTCATTACTTCGTCGCGAAATAAAAAAAGGGGTTTCGCTCAGTCAACCTTTGTCGCCGATGGATCCACTAGCATAGTGCTGATAAATCCATTTCAATTAGGTCTCTCCATAATCGTATTTGGCACAACACACAAGGTGCCCTGCAGATAATTTAGTTGCAAAATTTCAGTGCCACCGGAGATGTGAAAGTGAATATATTACACTCGGCACATTCACAGTATGTCAGCTAACAGTACACAGTGGACGCTGGAGACCCTAAAGTTTATATTTATGTCCGTTTAATATAGGCTGTCCGTCCAAGTCAAAGTCTGCTCAAATTTTGTCTCGGACTAAATGATATCATCGGATTAATAGAAATAAGTTATTATGAAAAAAAGTTAAATAAGCAGCGAGTTTTGGCTGATCGCATTATAGAAAAACTTTCTTCGGATTCCACTTTTGTTTTTTCTAATTTATGAAATCGCCAAAAAAACGTTTTGAAATACCTCCAGCATTTATGTAATAATGCAATGTTTGTTCAGAATTACGTCCATTCACACAATGTCCGGTCAAATTACGTCTGACAAGGTTTAACGAGTGATCGATCATATAAATTGTCTGTTACAGTAACTAAAAACTACCAACAGTTAATTACTTAATTAAAGCCTCTTGAGGATCTATTAGTATTAATTAATAATCATTTTACTTTAACTGTTATTATGAGTATTGAACTGTCATGTTAATGAGTATGAAGCTGCGGCACATAACGACCCTTAAATAGCATGCTTAACCCAGAAATACGATAGTAATCGAATTGCGTTGCCATGGTGATTCTCAATACTTTATCGCTGGCTAATTTGTGCCCAGCAACCTAATGCTACGTGATACAGCATTTTAAGTCCTATCGTCGTTGCTATTGTTTTGAATTTGTCCGGTTAAAATTTTGTTGCCTCGTTTAAATTTTGTGTTGACGATCGTTTAACTTTGCAACGTACCACTACCAGCGAACTACGAACCATATTCTGTAGTTCTTAGAGAAAGTATGAAATGTCAGTAAGAGGATCTCAGAGTTCTTTGAGATCTTTCACGTTGAAGCCAGTTGAACCGGAGTTCTTGAAGACCAACAGAAGTGCATGGACCCCCAAGCTTGATGCAAAGGACAATCACAAGCTGTTCCTGGAAAGAGTGTCTCTTATCACACACTGGTATGACAGATAAATGTCACTGTTAAGTGTTATCACACACTGGTATGGCAGATAAATGTCACTGTTAAGTGTTATCACACACTGGTATTACAGATAAATGCCACTGTTAAGTGTTATCACACACTGGTATGACAGATAAATGTCACTGTTAAGTGTTATCACACACTGGTATTACAGATAAGTGTCACTGTTAAGTGTTATCACACACTGGTATTACAGATAAATGTCACTGTTAAGTGTTATCACACACTGGTGTTACAGATAAATGTCACTGTGTTATCAGTCTGATCGGTGCATGTCTTGTGTTTGAACAAATGAGTTGATATGGTATACGTATGATGCCTGGTTGCCCATTTAATTAGGTTACATGGATTTATCAAATTACATGATTTTGTCCCAGGCATGACAAGTGGAACGAAAGGCAAAGGAAACAGCTGCTGGTCCACTTGCTCCAGCGTACAACTCAGAGCGAGATGTTTAGTATCAGGGAGTGGATCATGAAGAAGATGCCGGAACCACAGTGGAGAGCCGATCCCACGTCCGCTCTGCCAAAATGGCTCATGTTACATATTTTCTCTTACCTTACCACAGCTGAACTTTGTACTGCCAGCAAGGTACTTTCCGTTAAACTTAACATTACAAGGAACATGAGCTTGATATTGTAAGCATATATACAGACTTGTAGTTTGTACATCTTATCCAACTTTTTGATTCGAGTCAGAGTATTGAGTTTATCAAACACATGTAAGAAATTGAACATCCCGGCATGCCTCAGGTGAGTTCTCATTGGAGATATCTGTCAGAGCAGGACATCCTGTGGAGACACCGAACAGCAGCGAGGGGCTGGTTCCTTCCCTACAGTCCCCCGCCCACCCAACATGGTGCCTGGAAACAGTACTATGTCATGTGTGTTAAGAATTCGGAGAAACCTAGCTTACTGGTGGATCATCAAAGGGTAGGTGTGGAATATCTACTCAAGACATTTTTATTTGAGACAATTTATAAGTGTGCCACATCTGTGTCTAAACAGACTTTTATTTATTAAATAAACTAATTGCCCTCGGTTCAGAAGGAACCAACAGCAGGAGAGAACCAGTACAGCCGATCTGATCTGGAGAGACTAGGCAAGTACTACGTGAACACCGATGATCCAGTACCAGAACCAGAAAGTCCTAGTAGAATATTTGAGAAATCTGGGCATGAAGTGGAGGATATTGATACGAGCTTGTTCAAAGATAGGTGGGTTGATCCGAACAAGCACCCAAAAGATCTGGATAACTGGGGAAAAGCTACAAGTCAGGAGTATCGACCAGATGTCAGGTTTTTACAGGTAAAAAAGAAACTCTACACTGAACAGTAAAATCAATGATAAATACTCTATTTCACTTCTTTCTTAATTCTTAAACCGTCATACCCTTTTAGACTAGACTGTTTTAACCAGAGTACACATTGTCAGAAAAGTAAACTGAAAGCAAGATCCAAGTCTTACACACAGCTAAACGCGTCCAGCAATAGTCCTCTGAAAAAGTCTGATGACCCTAAAAGTCAACTTAAGTCAAAGAGCGTCTCAACTATCACCGAGATCTACCGTGAACATGGATCGTTCAGAATACTTCAACAAGAGGATGGGACTCTGGTTAAAGAGCCACACTTGTTAACCAAGAAGGGTGTTACAGTTCCGAGTATAAACTACTGGTTACAGAAACCTGATAAACCTACCATTCCATCGCTAGGTACAGTTAGTTTTCTAGGAATGTTATTTTTCTAAAAGAGATTTCAAAACATTTATTCCTATCTTTTATCGGAAAGTCTTGTTAAATTTGTCTTCAGTAATTATTGTTTTACTGAAATTTTCAGTAGTCTAACAGTGATTCTTGCCTGTTGGCTCTCATGGGTCACTTGTTGCCATTTATATCCATAACAGGAGAACTATAAACCACTCTGTCCCACACCAGGAGGATATGGTACGGTCCAGAAACCCGAGCTAGCTGCTGACGTGGGATGCGGAGCAGTGTGGGGAGAGAACCTGCCCTGTCACACTCACCCTAAAGTTCTGCTTATATCATCAGATGTTCCTGCGTATGAGATGATAGTCGGCACTGTGGTTACAGGTACCAACCACAAGGGCTCGATGGGTACGGGGGCAATTTGTAGATTGATATTATAAAAAATACGATTGCTCTTTAAAGCTGCTCTGGTTGATTGATATCATCATTGATCAATAACAATATACCCAGGGATAATTGGATTGGTTTATGACGCTGAAAAAGCTTCTTTGAGGTCTATTCTTAATCAAGTCGAGCACTCATTGAACGGGAGGAAAGCTGAGAGTCTGGGAATATTTGCACCGGGCAAGCTCGGCTATCTGAACCTTACCCGGCATATCCATATAAGTGGACTTGAACTTCATTCAGAATTTTGGAAAGAGCTCTGTGGTTTTCTCTTGGTACCAAAATTTGGTGGAAGAATTGACATTTTCAGGTAAAAACAATTTAGTAGAAAAACTGTTGTTCCGAATGCACAGTACCACTGATTTTAAGAAAGACAAGAAATTTCAACACTGTCCGTGAGATTTAAATTCAGTAGAACTATTTCAGTTCGGTGGGAGTATCGACTGTCAACCAATCTCTCGGAATGGATATAATCTACAGACTAGCAGGAGTTACTTCAGTACCATTTAATGCGCCCCTTGGTGGCATTTATGGGGAGTGGGCAGAGATTTGTGGGACTTGGCTTCTCCACCCAGACAATGTCCATCCTCTCAGTATTTACTTGAGGGAAGACAAGGTAACAAACTCACAAAACGGAATATGGCAATAAAACTGTGGCAATACCACTTTCCAGATGAAGTTAGTACATCGAACGCGAAAAATAGACAACTGAGACGACTATGTATTGAAGAGTTTTAATTGAAAGTCCTCCAGAGCAACCAACATAGGAACTTATCTCAGGTTAGAACATGGGTGTTGTTTGCGAAGCAGCTGGAAACTATAGCTGAGGATATAAGACTTCAGTTCAGCCACCGACTACACATTCAACACACTGCGGGGTTGCATAGGGTCGTCAATGCTATTCTGAGGCAAGGTAAGAAACAACACCGGTCAACGATGTTTTTTAATGGCTATGTCAAGTTACTTCATAAATCAAACCAAACCATATAGACGTTACACGGCACGTCAGTGGCAACATATTAGACATTTTCTTTCCGGTCGAGAATTCAAATCTTAAACTTCAGGTCTTGAACTCCTGTCCAAATCAGAGCACGTTCACCTGGCAGACATCCTGTTTTACAGCCTCTCACAACTCTGCACAGAACCCTCCTCATCTCCCCCTCCAAACGAGAGTGAGCAGGTAAAAAGGGGGGTTCTGTGCATGAGGCTGGTGGATGTGCTGCTGTCCAGCCAGTTTGTTAAGGATCTGGAGGATATGAAGGGAGATGAGGAAAAGGAAGTCAGTGATGTGTCAGAAGATCCCGTGGCATTGGGCAAAGATGTGATGATGATGTTAGGTGGGTGGAAATACAGGGCACATTGATGAGTTAAACTTAAGGTCGTAAATTGTAATACCAGCTGTAGAAGATTTATTCATCATATTTATTACCCTTTAATTGAACATTAAGCACACTGAAGTAAACTGCTGGTTATTCCCATGTTTTATTCATTTCAGAATGGATGAACAGATCAGTTCCCCTTTCTTTGCAGACCAATTCTCATAGGCTCATCTTCCCAAAAGGTTTGTACGCTAAAACGATTTTAAACTTGGCTTTGCAGCAACAATAGTTTTAAGAGTTGCTTAGCTCTATAATAGGCATAATCATTCGACCAATTTTTTAGGGGTAGTCGTAGATCAAAGAATGACGATTTTGGAGGAGATAGTACGGACCGAAAGGACCTTTTTACGACAAATGGACACAATAGACCAAGAACTCTACACTCCACTATATTCAGCTGCCAGCGAAAATCAAAAACCTATTCTTAATCCAGCAAATCTCCGTATCTGCTTTTCTGATCTCCTGGAAGTTAGGAAAATCCACCAAGTGTTCTTGGAAAGATTGGAACACAAACAGTTGATTTGGTCGGCTGATCAAACAATCGGTGATACGTTTCTTCAGCTTGCTCAACGATTCGATTGTTATTCTAACTATATCAATAATTACCCTTCAACGATAACGATTTATCGTAAGAACATCAATGACAACCCAGCTTTCTGGGCATTTGTAGAACATTTTGATCGTAAGAACTCCAACAGGACAAAGTTTTTTGAACTTCTGTCGCGGCCTATGTACAGAATCGAGTCTCTGAAAACTTTAGTTTCCTCTCTCATATTCTACACACCAACCAAACATTCCGATCACACAATGCTCAAACAATGCGAAAGTGAATTTGGAAATCTATCTGGGTTTATAGAACAATCCAGAACACAATACTGTCACCTGACAGAGCTGAAGCAGCTAGAGCATCAAGTGGTTGAGTGTCCGATACTGACTGATAAAAAGAGGGGGATTATCGCTGAGGCGGATGTATATCGGGTGAAGGGAATTATTGACGAGTCAGGGGCCGCTCATACCTTCCCTCAAGACAGAAAGTTCCCACACTACCAGAAATACAAGTTACATTTGTTCGATGATGCGATCATGTTATCTAGGATTACATACGAGGTTCAACCCTACGATGCCCAAACACGGGAGATCGAAAACTTTGTAAACTCGTACGCACTTTCAGCGATAAGGGTCAAGAACGGTCAGAGACAGTCACAATTTCTTCTTTACTCACCCAAGAGCACTTATTTGTTTGAATTTGAAACTCTTGAAGGTATGGCGGAGTGGGTTGATCACATTAACGGGGCCATACAGAACGCTCCGAAACTTTTAGTCCCAAATGTGTACATCAGCCCCAAGAAAACAATGTAAACTATTGATTGTTATTAAAGTTCTGTAAAATGAAATCAACAATTGAAAGAATAAAATGTTTAACATATAACCGCGAGGCACGTTCGATATATAAATATTAAATAAGAAGTTTTTCTTTTCGCTGTCTGTAAGTTCTGAGTAGCTTACGAAGAAAGGAACTTTTTTGGAATTTAGTCTTATTTGAGAAAGTTTTAGGTAAGAACAAAGTTGATTCAGCGAAAACCTGATCGAGCAAGCAAAAGCTTAAAACAGTAAATCACGATTATCCAACGTTTGAATGCCAACTTTATGGCGGAAAGCTTGAATTCGGCGGTTTTGAAAATATATAACGTCGTGCAAAGAATGCTACACATTATGACAGATTCTTCCGCGTCCTCCAAAAATGTATGCGCGGCAAAGCGCACAAATATTGCCAAATCACTCGCTCGGATTCCATTCTGTCCTGTTCTAAACATCAAACCAAAGCTAAAGCAATGGGCGGGGGGGGGGGGGGCCAATGACTACCAATGGAGACTTTTGGGGACTAATGGGGACTAAAAATCATGGGGACTAGAGGTCAACTCGTTGACGTAATTCACCATTTGTCCCCATAAGTCCCCAGAATTTTTGACAGTTATTTATGGTTTTCAAGTTAGTTTAATAACGATACGATCGAGATGTTTTGTCCAAGAAGAGAGTAGGATAAATCTAAATGGGGACTAATGGAGACTTTTGGGGACTAATGGGGACTAAAAATCATCTAAATGGGGACTAATGGAGACTTTTGGGGACTAATGGGGACTAAAAATCATGGGGACTCGGGGTAAAATCGTTGACGTAATTCCCCAAGTCCCCAAAAGTAGTCATTGGCCCCCCCCCAATGGGCCCAAAACGTGAAGGCTTTTCTCTCACTTCTCCACATGTATGAAGCTATGGAGAAACCACTGCCGCAGAAGTAATCATTTCTGATCTGAGCATCATGATGCATCAGCCAACAAGTATACTCACCAAACAAAGCACGGAAACACAAACTTAATTCTCCTCAAAGGTCAGAGTCAACTTAGATGAACGACACATTTTTCTAGTGTTATATTCCTTCTATGCCGAACATTATGACCTGGTGTCCGCTCTATCTCAGACATTTTAAAGACAAGCCCACCAGGAGTTATTATCCTTCCCTGAATCCTATCCACTTCTGCAACACTGGTGGACAGATTGGACAACCTCCGCTCTGGGATGCTCATTAGATCGGACGTCAGCCAAAGCCCGATCAAAGGGTACATTAGTATAGTTATTTCTCTATTGCAAAACTGTACCCTGTACCCAGAGCAGAGCCCTTATTCGAGTATAGGATAGTCACGATTTGAGGGGCTTTGTCGGATAAATATAAACTTCCACCCTACTGCAGTAGGGCGAAGAAGAAAAAGAGCAGACAACTCTCAGACATTTTACGGACGAAATGATCCCAGGGAGGACTCTCAACCCACCGCTTCGGCGGGTAGTTGATGCACCTTTTACAAGCAAGAACCACTTTGGTCTACTCGCTGTGAGGACGTGTATCAGCTACATGGTTGGGGCCGGGGGTCCCCTTTTTTTGGTAACGACTTCATTCTAATTAAATAAATGAACTTTTTGAACTTAAATTTAAAATTCCTTTTTGACACGAAGCCGCTTATAAATAATAATAGCCCAACTTAAATCTTATTTTGTAGTTATGGCCAGCCCAATGAGTTTTCTTTCTGTTATGACATATTTACTTAAATAACTTAAATAAGTTATTTAATTAAATAGCCACTCTAATGCCAGGAACAGCTCCGGAGCACTAGGAAACTCTACTTTTAACAATGCTGTAGGAGTGCTCCAGCTCTTTAATCGTGTCTGGGATGGGTGGAGGATAATTGTTGAAAAACAATTACCTGATTTTCTGGAGCTCATTTTAAGAAACGTTGCCGAAAAGTCTGTACCATTCATGATTTCACCTTAAACAGCACAATTTGAGGACCTGCTGTTAAAATTTTGTTAAGACCTGGTGTGCCCAACACGTTATCTGGTAACTTGCTTCACTATATAAACCTATCACAACATTGTTAATTACAATAGCCGGAGCTTACCCTAACAAAGAAGCTCCCACTAGACCACAATTACCATACCTTACCTAAAATTACCTTACCTAACCCATGCCCCCATTACAATGTCATTAGTAGTCTGGTACACACTTGTTCGACAGTCTATGGCAGTCTATAAGAGTGCTAAACAGGTTGTAAGAGCCTATAAATCCTGTCCCCATGCCCTGTGCCCACTTCTGGGTAAGATCATGTTACACGATAATTGTATATTACATCACCAGGCTGCAGGGTGGGGGCCGGGAGAAGGATTGTGTTAACGACCCACTTCATCAGTTCTTTACTGTTACTTTCTGTTGATAATGATGGGCCTGGCCCGGCCCCAGATTAGTAACGTCGTATGAACGAGTACTCCAGTTTGTTTTTTAATGAACGTGTCGTAACTCCGTTATATTATAATGTGACTTACTCAAGATAAGATTTAACCTGTTAACATGAGACTTATTTTGCAAATTCTTGTTGTGCTGAAGATAATGATAAGATTGGATTGTGGCTAAACTTTACTTCTTGAACTTGGTTTGCCGAATTGTTTTTAATCGTCAAATTTGCTTTAATTTTAAATCGCCATATTCGAAAATAACTGCTTTCCCTATAGTTGCATCTGATTGTAATACTCCACAGCATGGCAAATTAACCGAACCTTGAAAGCGCATGCTCGTCACAAAAACTCGCGGTAATCAAGAATTAATTATTGTTCGTTCTCGACTTTGTATATTATCAGTCCTCAAAAGTGCGGTGATGACAGGTCTGCTCCATCCTGATTAGTTTGTCTGATTAATTGAAAGGGGAGGGTTCTTCTATCATTGTAGCTCTTCTAAGTTCGGTATCCAAAATGCCTGAAATATTTGATGTCTTATTCTCATGATTGAATGTTAATACGTTTGCCAAAATTCTACTCCCCATGATTTCATTATCGTGTAATAATAATACTTAAATCAGCTCTCATTTCTCATAAATTATCATATTTTATCTACTTTAGCGGACCTCAGTGCTTTTCTTTCATCTTATCTTGTCACAGAGTGAGCTCTGAATTTGGTAGAAAGTTAAAGCCTGTTAACATTCCTCTAGATTGTGTTTGATCATGTTCCATTTGCAAAGTTAGAACAAAATATACCACTTACAATGACAAATCATTGTGTGTGTGTGTGGCTGTGTTTCCAATTTAAGTGAGCTGAGTTTCCTCCTTACTGTATAGTAACATAATGGAACTGCTGCACCTGCACTTCCGTATTAGTTTGATAGCGTTTGTTCATTTGTTGTTAACTTTCTAGGTGAAACAACTTATTCTATGTAATTTGCAAAACATTAAAAATGGACGTTTCATCGACATTTGGGTCATCTGCGTGTAGACTATCATATATTAATTTATTATTTTAAAAATGTTTCCGGGCATCGATAACTGCTCGGGTCAACTTGTCCTTTCGTTTAATTTTACAAATTAAGAAACTGTTCTTCCAAATTAACTTTGATGCCACCATCGTGTAACATAAAATTTATAGGCTTTTAACAACGGATCGAATATCAGTTTATATATTTCTGGTAACGGCACTGTTGTTCTATTATATTTGTTCTATTGTTTTTCTCGTTCACTCTTTACTCCGATTGCATGCTTGAATTATACAACATCGTACCCGAATGTACACGAATTATATGAACAAAAACATTGTTCGCAATTAAACGTTAAGTACACACATTGATAAAGCTTTCGCTGACGTTAAGGAAAGTAGAGATTGTCCAGCAAGGGTGTTAATTAGCCGCAATCCTCCCAAGATAAAATACGTTAGGATCTTAAGATGTTTTAGATATCATTGAGCATAAGCAGTGATACAACGTATCTCGGGATGATCCGTAGAGTCTCGACTAGTTTCGGCTTACCGCCATCAACAGGATCGATGAATCATCTAGCGGGAAATTTGAAATCAAATATCAATAAACAACATTCCGAAAGTATAAAAGCAAAATTCAAAGGAAAATTGAATTTTGCTTTTATACTTTCGTTGATGGCGGTAAGCCGAAACTAGTCGAGACTCTACGGATCATCCCGAGATACGTTGTATCACTGCTTATGCTCAATGATATCTAAAAAATCTTAAGTACACACATTAATCATCAAAATGTAAGATAAAATATAAATTAGTGAGAATAAAACTGACCGCGTTGTTACAAGCAGATGCCACCATCATGTACTTCGGATTAAAGGCTACGCAGCCAATAGGGTTTGGGTGGTTGCCTTCCAGTACTGCGATCTTGTTTCCAGTCTTCACCGACCAGACGTGTAAATGACCATCTTGAGAACCTGAAATTCAGCCTGGTTTAGTTGCTTTAAACATAAATGCTTTTTTTTGTTGTTGAAAACTCTGAATTAGCTGCTATGTTTCAGAAAATCGATAATTCCTCTGGAATGTTTGGGTATTAATTATTAATGAGTAACGATCACAGAACTATTTAGATCGGTCGTTATTACGAGATGTAACACTCCAGTAAATACCGGTATTATAATCGGTTTATTATGTTATCTCAAATGACAAGATATCCGACAACTTCATGATTACATTCTGTCTTGCCACATGACAACGTATCATCATGACAGACTCCGGAATTCAGATCCAACAATCAAATCACATAAAGTAATCCTGGGACGTTTTGGTGGGACCCAGCCCAGTATGACGCCATGATGTCATCATGACGTGACGACATCACGTCACGTGATCATGTCTGACGTCATCTGAACAATGATAGCACCAACTACCCGATTATATGACACCAGAAGTGCTCAATTCTGCATTTTGGTTTCGGTCTTTGTTTTATTTGAACACACAATTTTTACACAACTATTGAATTCAATGTGTTTCGACACTAAGTCGCAATAATCCTTTTCAAATTGCCATCCCAGTATTAGTCTTGTAGTTTATTTGGCAAAATTGTGGCAACATATTGTTATAAGATCGCATCAAGTTGATGAATATGAACCGCAGTCTGCACTCGAGTATATAACGTTTAAGTATTAACCTATATATACAATATTATAATAAACAATTACAGCCAATAATATTGACTTTATCGTCCAGGACATCCATAATCGTCAATATGATCGCTAGTCGATATTATAATAATATGCATATAATATTCAAATCGTTTGCTAAGTAGATGTCACGTGACCAGCTTCGATCTTCATTCAAACCGTTTTATATTTATATTTATGCTGTGTTTATTTGCTGATTAGTGGAGACAGCTCTCCACTCAGAACATCATCTAAAAATACCCAATTTAAGTAGTTCAAATAGGGATGGAGCAACAATTACAAATATACCAAGTTCCCAGGCCTTACTTAATAACTAATACTAGATTGTTCGATTTCAAGGCAGCGATTGCTTCTCTATCAGTTCTCCAACACATTAATAAAATATAATAGGGACGAACTTTAGTGAGCAGATATCTGAGATGATGGAGGGCTGATATGAGACACTACGGTATTGTGTTCCTAAATTTACAGCGCATAACTGCGAATGGAATAGCATATTAAAACTGCTGGTTGTGGTTGAATGAAATATTTTCCACGTTATATATTATGCAGGATTATTCATCTTTCTCTCTCAACGGCCTTGTAAAGACATAAAATAAAGCTTCGGTTGACGATCGAATTTCAATATTAAAACTACCATTATGCTCAATACAAAGTAACAATGCATTGACAAATATACTACCATTGAGTCCGGCAATAAACGGGATAATTGTTTTCCAAAGTAAATGTCTTTACGTTCGTTTTGTTAACAACATAGCTGGTACTGAGCTGAGCTGAGTCTCTACAATGTTCTTTACAGAACCTTTACAGCTAAATTCAGTGATATTGACGATTACCTTAGTGCTGAAGTCATACAATACAAGCCTGGACACGAACTGGAATGTTTTATTATATTGTTGTGCAAAGAGTTCGCTATAATTGACCCTGGGAACTGATTCACTTCAATTTATTCTAGTTTGTTGTTGATTTTTTCCCGATCCATGACTCAAAGTGCCGAAGGCACAAAAGAGTCAAGGACAAGGCTTAACGATCGATTTTTTTTAATGGTAGCTTTGCGACCGTGTGTGCGAGTGTGCGACCGTACGTGCCTGCGAGCACTGTTATCGCCCACGTGACTACCTGCGCAAAGTTATTTTGCGTGACAATCTGAATTATATAATTGTTGGCGCGCGGCGCTGAACCAACCAAGTACATTATTAATTTCATCATGTACGTATCCCACTAGGCACTGATTAATAGCATATTATTATTATTTTGAGTTAGTATTACTATCTTGCACAGATCCGTGTCAGGTTGCATAAACAATAAACATATGGTTACATAGAAGTATACACGATTTTCAAATTCAATATAGAATTATATTAACTGGGCGGCAGTCGGCATGTCACTTCGCCATATTTGCATGTTTATATAAACAGTAAAGACTGGGCCGTCCCCAGGTTGTATGGAATATGATAAATACGCCATCACAGATCGGGAAATTGAGCGGCCATCCACAAAAGAAAAGCGGCCGCATTTCTTGTTCAGCTCATTACCATCGCCCACACACGTGTAGACATTAATTCCTCTCTTAGATTCTTATGATCTGAGATAACACTTCGCCACTAAATCCATTAAATCCACCATCAAATCGTAATAAAAAGTAACGTAATGGCATTGGCTGGAATTAAGAGTACATGATGCCAAGTCACGATTTAGTTAAACCTTGACTAATGTGTCCAAAGGGACTCTTTTACAAACGAAACCCCTTTTATTACCCTCAACCTGTGAGGATGTGTGACGGAGACTCGGTCCCAGCTTAAAGCAGCACTAAGCAAGCTGTGGGGTAACGTCAATGAGTAAAGAGACCTTTCAATTATTGGGGGCAAATAATATAACCACAGCTACAGAAATATTATAACCTAGTACGGGGTATATAAAAGGAACTTAAAGAATTAAATAACACGGAATCTTCCTAATCTAAGAGTATAATATATTGGTAATTAAAGTACATCAGTTAAAGACAAGGTACAAATTTAGAATATTATTATGAAATATGAACTCTGACTCAATATCTCAATATAAACAACTGTTCTTTCTTTTCGATTTGTTATAGTCTCCTACACGAATTAACAGAACCAAGCTATAGTGTGAATAATACTCTAGTTGGTGTTTTTTGTTTGTTGTTGATGTATTCTTTACGAGCTAATGTTAAAGTTCTGTATATTATATACCTCCTACTCCAGGCTTGAGGATCGACATAGATTATAGATGAATATCGAAGGGTCAAAGCAAGAGTCACTTATAAAATATATACTTTCATTGCAGAACACCCGTGATGTAACAGTCTCGAGAGAGAGATGGTCACGTGGAAATCGGCATTGTCCAGTGGTTTCCAATGAATATTTATAAATTCGCTAGAAATATTTTAAATGAATAATTAAATATGGTTTGGCCTATTTTAAGTGCATAATCAAAGCTACGTGATAGCAATATACTGTCTCTCGTGATCAATTTGACAAAGCAGGGGCCTCACTTGATAATCTCAGCCAAATATGATATGCTAATTTAAACCTACATAATCAATTAATCATTGCAAATAGTCAGACTGTGGCGCGTTGATGAAATTTGCATTGTTCTCGGGTGGTCATGATTTTCGCAAAACGGGTCCACTTTAAATAATTATACAAATGCGTCTATACTCTATAAGTATAAATTCGTTTTGTGATACCGCCGCGCTGAGAATATCATTATATTTATGTCAATGTTTTATCCTGTTTTGGGCACATTTATACTTCGCAATACATAGTTTGCCAGTAGGTTTTAGACCGATAAATTTGTCAACTGGGTGATGAAATATCTAAAACGAAAGAACAGACTAAAATGTCTATGATCGACCATTCATCAGTTTTTAATCGGTAGACAAAGAGACATACTTTCTCCATTCTCTTCATATCGGAAAGAATCGGTAAACTCAAATAATTTCGATAGATCACAATACAACCTTATCAGTCAACTGTTTAAAGGAATGACATCGATATTGAATCACTCAAAAATAAATGCACGTGCACTAAATGCTGTGATCCTTGTGCGTGTCACGTGTTTTTAGTCCCGTGTTAAAAGCAAGGAACGTCCTCGACCAAATGGCGCGGTTTTAATTTCACAATCCATTTAAAACATGATTTATTGGAGACTTAACAATGAAGTGACTTTGAAGTGAAGCGTAGTCCAGTACTCTGGAATCTGCATTGTAGTTTTAATTTTATTAGATCAAACAAAGAACGTGACATTTGCATTGGTTTGTTGTAGCCTTAAACTATTCATTGTATTAGGTTCATAGTCAAGCAGTAATCACTAAATTCAGAAATGCACGTTCCTTTCGAATAGATTTTATTCCTGCACTGGGGAAATTGACAGCAGATTCAGCGTCTTGAGCCGTTAATATGATTACACATTTTCTACGTTTATCCTTTGTACATTAGTGCAGTTCAAACCTTGCCGTTTATTTACGAATCTGCCTGAGTTTTATACAGACCTTGCCATTGCTTCCTACTTTATGCCCAAACCCTCTCCGCAGTACCGTTGATAGTTCAACATGGCCGTAAATTGAAAAACTTATATCCATTAATACTACCCGTTTTTGTACTCAATTGCGATAAATGAGATTACATACAACATTTAAAGTTAGCCAAATTGTATCTGCTACTTTCAGTACAATGACATCCTGGATATATGTCAATGTAATTTGTCTATCCTAATGCTAATGGTGGGTAATTTATAATTAATGACATTAAACATGAAGTTGTGGTAGACAATCAAGGTGAGTAGTATAATAACAGTTCCCTCCGTTAAATTTATTAAAGGCAGCACACTCTACTTCATTTAGCAGTAGGTAACACAGCCGTGTTTGTATTTCTCCTAAAACTACTCAGATAGTTTATTAGTTATCAGCTTAAAACAACATTTTGTCAAGTCTGTACCAGTTTCACCATATCATATAAATCTTACTTAGTAAGCTTGTACATTGACCATCGTACCAATGTACCAGTGCTAACTCTACTATCAACTACTCATTAACTACGCTGTGAAAATATTGTCATTCTTTGTACAGTTTTTCAAGGTCCTGTTATCTGATTAGAGTCAGTATTTAATGAGGAAAGGATAAAAGATGCCTCCTTCCTTTAATCGTTCAGCAGCTGTATCATGACCATTACCTCAAGGGTATGATCAGATCGTCGCTGGATATTTTCTACGCTAGATATTTTACTTATGCTGAGATTCGTTCAGCTTGAACAAAGCCATCACAGCGTGTGATCACCCCACAGAGAGGGGATCTCATATACCTAATCAAATAACTAGATAGGTCCGCTGATTTTCACACCGCCCGTACAGTTTTGCAACTTCTCTTTAATATTATGACAAGTCTACTAGTCGCCATCATTGATAGTTCGCTGTGAGGTTGTCCAGAAGCAACAATTGATTGTTTTTGTTTCAACCATTCCGTCTAGTCATTGGCTACTAAGATCACTATCTTTTGTTTTTCTGTGCGATTGTACCAGCTTTTTCATTGTTCAGGTATTAGGTGATAATGTTTTGACAGAATTTGGTAAATCTATTATCAGTTAGACAGGTTTTGTGTTGATATGATGATGAATGACAGAGAAAGGAGGATAATTAATTTATGTCTTCTTGATAACATATAATAATGCCACTACCTGTCAGCCTCGCGTCAGACTCGTGTCAGGTGATAGGAGATAAGCCACAAATCATTAGATGAACGGTCATTTTATATCTATTTTTTTGCTATCGTTTTTTGTTTCTCGTACCCATTGATATCTTATTGGCACAAAAAGATTTACCCTTAAAGTTCTCTTCCATTGCTTTTTGCCTTCAAAACCAGATTTGTCGACTTACTTAAAAGATATAATTAATAAACTAATAAGAATTCACTGAACAAATTCATTTATTTCTTAAAAGATTGTATAAGAACTTTTTACGCACAAGGCACTATGAACTATGAATTATTCTCCACAATTATTAGAAACAACTTATTACATAATGTATCATTTTGAATCTTCAATAATTACATCATATTCATGTCGTATAATTGTGCAGTGCATTGTACGTTTTCCGTTTAATTGTTCACGTGATAACTTAATGACTAAGTTAATTCGGAAAGTGGTTTTGTTTTAATGCGGTTTGCCCTTCTGGTCATTTTAAGAAATTAATTTTGTTTAGTTGTTTACCGTTTCATCACAGATAACTTCAGCCGTTTCTACTTAAACTGACAAGATACATTACTAATCTCCCAATATTTAATTAGAAGACCCACGAAATGTTTTGATGGGATACAATATCGGAGACAGCGACTGTGCGGGAAACTATTCGTCCACCTGTCCCTTCCAAGTTGCTAACGTGAGTTATATTATATATATCTAGGAGGAGGAGGACTAGTTCACCAGGGCTGCTTTCTCAATAAGGAGTCGTTCACATAATATTACGTAATCAAATTTTGAACAATTTTTACCCCCCCCCCCCCCCCCCTCCGTAATCAGTTTTACACATAGCTATTGTGTCAAAATTACACTAGCGTAATCATTTGGAACCCCCCCCCCCTTCCTCCTTGGCTGATTACGTAATATGTGAACGACCTCTTAGCACGTGATTTAACATTTCTTTCCAATGGGATTCAAAGCTGATTGTTAATTATCATGACTGTCAAAATCCCAGTTTTATGTAATTGTAAAAGGGATCAAAAAGCCAAATTTCCCAGACATTTGTGCATGCTGGTTATCTCAATTTGACATTTTTATTCCCAGGGCTCCGCATTGACGATAATCGCCGGTACAGGGTTCCTGTTGAGCAGTTTTACAATCTACTGTCTCATATTCCACGTTAAACTACCCCTATGTCAGGTTTGTAGGAGACGCACAGTTTTACAAATAATCAATTAGGAAAATCAAAAACGACATTTTTTGTTAATCAGGAATCCGAAGCTTTATAATGGTCGCAGAAGGCCATTAGAGAACGATCTGTGATGTAATGTTGATGTGCATTATCGTAATAATATGATTATGATATCGATACGGACTACGGAGTATATTATATTCCACTCAAGCTTGTGATATATAATCTGATGAACTAATTTCAAATTACTTTCCTCAGAACATTTTCGTTTTAAATGTAGCAGTGAGTGATATCCTGAACGCAACTGTGGGAATCATCAGAGGCCTCGGTTAGTAATTAGTTAGATTGTAAATTGAAATTGTTGCCAATTTGTGGGTTGCTAATTTGGCAAGGGTCCAGTATCTGCTGAATCATCATACGCAGATCGGCAGACTAGATAGCTCACCACCTTCCACTAAGAAGGCTAAGCTGGGCTCAGAAAAGGTCGACGTATCTGCCAACTGGCAATTGTCATGCACCTTAGTCGCACAATTTGCAATATTTCACTGTATCCTAACAATGTTGACTCTTGTTATATGATTAAGATTAAAGAGCAATACAATTTCCAGGAATGGTAGCCTCTCCGGTATTCATTGGCGTTACCAGAGAAGGGGAAATATTACAATGGTGTCACATATACCCCCTTGTCGGAAACACAGTTTGGTGAGCAATCTTTTCTCTCGTTAAATACTCATTGAATACTTCTTAAAAACTCCTGGAACACATCACTGAATTCAACTTTTATTAAGTGTAAATGAGAACCATTTTATTCAGGAGTGCATCCGTCCTGGTGCTGTTACCACTCACACTGGACAGATTCCTCGCGATAGTGTTCCCTTTTCAGTATAAGTCACTTGTTAACAAAGAAACAAGCAGAGCCTTCTCGGGTACGCTTTACATTAACCCTGTATAATATAATGAACGTGTGCAGAGATATTTTGGGTATAACCCTAAAGCGTACCTGACCGTACCTTATCTTAATATAAAGGCTTTATACTAACATATATTTTATTAAGGTAAGGTCAGGTACGCTTTTAAAGGGTTATACCAAAAATATCCCTGCACACGTCTTCGGTCCACGGTCAGCTTTTTTAGGCTTTTACATTAATATCACATAAATGCGAGCATGCACCCAATTATTTTAGTGATTCCTAGTCATTTAATTGTTTAACTTTAAATTTTTGACAAACTTTGACAAACTTGACTGCAACATCCAAAAAAATGCTAGATAGTTCAGTGGGGCAATGTCTTATAGTGAATAGTCTTCAAGAATTTTCAAGATGAAAATATTTTAGTGGTTGTGCGTTGGGGGAGGGGGGGCGCATGGGAATTTGGGTGGAGCCCCTGCATGCTTGCATGGTAGTGCTGTATCTGGTACACGATTTTCCTACCAGACATATAAAATTGCTTGCAAATTAAAAAGCATGATTTTAATCTAATAGACACCCGAATTCCGAAAGCTGTCACCATTAGACTTTGATATAAAATGACATAATTTATTTTATTTAGTAAAATCAATCAAGGAGGATTGCAAGCTTGTCTTGCGATTCTCTTTGACAGCGAGACGTTCTGAGAAAATTTTGGTAAACATTCACAATTCACATACGTAATTAGTAAGCCAGTAGAAATAGGGCAGCTGTAATAGGGGTATAAGGCAGTTTCAAGAGGAAAAATGTAACCTTTTATTTTAGACTTAAATCTGAACCACAGATAGATCCATATTCCATAATGGCCAACTACCAGGACAACTTCATGACAGCCAATACCAAGTTCATACCCCAGACAGTTTCTGGTTCGTGAACTTTAGTATTTTTAACAAAAAATCTATAGAAGATATTATCGAAAAGTAATGGTCGGATTCCTTTGAAATTTCACCGCAGAGTGTCTCCAGGCTTTGCACTAAGACGTTCCATACACGTTTGGTTTCGTTTTAATCAGCAAAATCTCATCCGAATGGCCTTTCTTCTAAGTATTAGTATTTAAGTATTAGGAAGTATAAGTTTAAAAGAAGTTACTATTAAAACTGATCCTAATGGTCTTAAAACATTTCAGTTATTACTTGGCTCCCACTAATAGGATTGTTAATATACGATAGTGTCACTTACTCCACGGGACACACAAAGGTAAATCATGCGCTATTTAAATGATCTTTAAAATCAAATAGTTAAAAGGTTTCCTAGCTTATAAATTAAAAGTTCTGTCATTCTACTCATGACATTTCATTTGAAATATTTAAAACCACCATTCAACAAAGGCACAGTTTAAATTAATTGCTTTATTGCGTTACACAATTGATTGACAGTTTAACAGCCATTCAAATGATCTTTAGAATCAAATGGTTAAAAGGTTTCCTAGCTTATAAATTAAAATTTCTGTCATTCTACTCAGGACATTTCATTTGAATTATTTAACCACTATTCAAGGTACAGTTGAATAAATTAATTGCTTTATTGCGGTACACAATTGATTGACAGTGTAACAGCCAAACTGCTCAAGGAAATATTAACAGTTAACAAATCAGATGCAGTTATTAAACAACTGCCCAATCATTCAACTTGGCTAAAGTAAAGTAATATCATTAATATTAATCAAATTAATATAACTTGTTATTCCCCAGATAGCACATCAGCCGGTATTTCACCGTTGTGTGATTGAAAACGAAAGATTTTACCAGCCGATAGTGTTCTTGATGGCTCCCTTCATTCTTATCATTTTAATGTACAGCACCATGCTCTTCTTTGTCATCAAAACAGGTATTTACCGCAAACCCATATTTACCACAAACCCCGATTTACCACAAACCCCGATTCACAGAAAACCCCGATTTACTGCAAACCCCGATTTACCGCTGCCATTTCCTTCCCCTAAATACAGGGTTCAGCATACATATTAACATAATGTTAACAATCAAAACCCCGAGTTACCTCAAACCTCGATTTACCGCGGCTTTTTTTCTTTCTCCTTAACTCCGCAGTAAATCAGAGTATTACTGTATTTAGTTCACCAGGTACTCAATATTCGATATTGAAGGAGGTACACGTGTTTTACCATGATATCAATACAGGTAGTCGCCAGATGACTTTCGGTGACTACCTGTATTGATATCAATACAGGTAGTCGCCAGATGACCTTCGGTGACTACCTGTATTGATATCAATACATGTAGTCGCATTGTTCCATAATAGAATTGAACAATCCTCTCCAGATGGCGAATTAATTTAATTATAAAGACTTTATGACTAATGATCTTAACCTAGGTTTGGAAAGCAAGAGGTTATTCGTGATAACATCAGCAATAATCCTAACCGGTTTCATCACCGTCATCCCTGACCACCTTCTCACCACCTTCAAAATCCAACTAGACTACAAGATAGCGCAAGTATTCACCGTCACGCTCTACTACACTAACAGTATCTGTAATCCCATGATTTACTTCTGCAGCAACCGGATAACCCGAAGGGAACTCACTGCTTCTTTAATGCAAAGCACTGTCGGAAGGAAGCTGTCAGATATGACAAGTTCTCAGGGGGGTAGCGGAGCTGTCACTCCGTTGCAAAATCTTGGAAATAGACATAGCTCTGACCCGGAGTTAAATGATTCAAAATCTTTGCTGCCCGCAGTCGATGAAGAACAAAAAGTATGAAAGGTTTCATCGATATTTGCCATTGGCACTAGATCTTTATTCGATCAATAAAATCTCAAGGTCTTGTGTTGTATTCTGGATTTTTATTTTACAATCAAAATGAAATGTAAGAATTGGTTTCAACATTGATTTGTCTTTTTCTAAAACCAACAAAATAAGAGTGGCCGGCCCAATTCGTCTAAGTGTACATGCACATAAGTGATTAACTTAAAAGAATGTCGGCGTTGAAAAATTGAAAAAGCCAATCAAAGTCTGGCGATATTCACTGATTGCGTTTAGTTTTGGGACTTTTACCTTTGCGTTTAAAGGACCAATCAGGACGATTGCTCACTATGTCAGCCGTCAGGACAATCAACAATGTTACAATGCCATAGATATATCATTGCTGCTCATGTTTTTAACTCATTTTCTTAGCTTTTATCAGTTCATCTATTTATTTTTTGAGAATTTTCTGTTTATTGTATTCCTGAATTTTAATACATTTATATTCTGAAATCTACACCAAAACGAAATGTAATTTACAACTACAACTCTAAACAAATGGTTGAGTTTAACTGCATTGTTCAACTATAATAAGGAAGACCCAATTACTACAACTGTAGGGATCAACTAGATCAAATATATATATACAAGCATGTAATTTATATTATATAAGTAATAATACAATCGGATTACCCATCAGCTACAGTTTGGCGTGAACTCAAATGAAGCTATGGACTGTAGAAACTGGGCTATCCAATAAGTTTTACTTTTACCTGTATAATCTATAATATCCCAACACCCTGTAGCTTACCAGCGAGCACGTAGTTAGAATCAGGGGAGAAGCAGCACCCCAGATGTAATCCACGTTCTGTTCGCTCTGTTATAATACCCTGATGGATGGAAGAAACTTGTGAGAAAAAGGGGTTCGGTAGGAAAATTATAAATTTTGATAAAAGGGATGGGGAAGGGACTGGATAGTTTGAAAGGGGGGAGGGGATGCATTATGGGTATAATGTCGATTTCAATCAAATTGATAATAAAACCGAATTTTGTTGAATATACTGTTATCCTGTCATGTTCCGATCGTGAACAGAGACCAGAAGATTTCCTTATAAAGCTAATATAAAACACCATACTCATTAGATCCGAAGATTGGAAATAAAACCACCCAAGTTAGCTGCAATATCAAGTTTTACGACAATTAAATATTTAATAATTTGAAGTTTACTGTTTACGATCGAGAGAAACAGTTTAAAATTGGGTGAAACCGTTTAGAATTTCCAGCACAGAATGATGAAGGTAATATAAAGTGATTCGAAAATTTAGTGGTTTTACAATTTTCACGTGCACCATGACTCTGACAGATATTTGTTACAACATCGTGAGAAATATCATGAAGCGTTTGTAACTGCAACTCTCATTAGAGAATGCCGGCAAGTCAGTAATAACTATTCGGCAGCTAGTTTGTGTTCATTTGTTCTTCAAGCACATATTAATACCAGGCCATCAACGGACTTTCAGAGATCTATCGTAGTCATATCGGAAACAATAAATGGATATAACACGTCATACTATAGCCGACAGTGATTGTATTGCGGTTGAGGCCCCCAGCGGTTCATTTCATCAGAATATTTAGTGATGATCCTAGTAAAGTTGCCTCAACCAGCAGAACTGATAACCATCTTTAATAGGACATTTGAAGTTTAAGCACACCTATGCATTATTTTAACGGAATCCATTTTGTGATGATTCTTATTTGATCAACTTTTGGTACCTATAACGATTTAACCCACCTAATATGTGGGTTAAATCGTTACAGATACTAAGAAGTTTGCCATTTAAAAGCATCCTAATATTCTTCCTCTGAGTAAAAGTTTTACAACCAACGCGAAGGATAGTTTACTGTCTTCCGGAGTAGAATTAACATAGACAGTTGACTTACAACGAAACTGAGGATTTTACTACTCAAGTTTTCATAAGATAGCAATTTATTGTTCTTCCGACATCTTTTGATTTCTTTCCTATTGCCGATGGCTCACTGTTTCTCTAGAACCGCTCTGACATGGTCCCAGCACTTGTGTCAGTTGCTATCCATATGGGCAACTTATACAAGCAAATTATTTTATTTCATTTTATTGGTGTTAAACCATTTACGTATGATGAAATTTGTTTCTAGATTCTCTTTCAAACGAATTAAGAGGTTCTCAAAGCTAAGGGCGCCCTTATAGAGTTATAGGGGTGGGACCCACTTTGAATCAGTACTTTAAGGTCATGGGTAAATACGGCCATATTATACTGGCCATCTTTATATTATATCCGAAGGAATATTCTAAGAGAACCTCTAGAGACAATTATATGAACACAAATTGAGGGTGGCCTCAATCGTCTGGTGATTCATTAATTCTCAAAAAACCCATAAGGCATGTATTGTTTTTTCGCGGCACCTTTGACGTTCATTTACCTCATTAAATGAACATCAAAGAAACTGTTACGTCTCAAATTGGGTCCATTTAAGCTGTTATTGATGGGGAGCAGGTGCTGTGGTCGGTATTTATATTTTAGAAAATAACTCCAAGTATATAGAAAATAACTCCAAGTTGATGGAACACCTTGAATTTCTTGCATTCCTGCGTCACACCCCACTTACTGTGAACGTTTGAATGATCTGTCCGTTAAAAGCGTCCACCACTCTCAGGACTCCGTTTGTTGTTGACACCAGGATGTTCTTGCCGTCCGGAGAGAATGATATTGAGCTCAACTCTGTTCCTCGTTCAGATGGTATCTTGAAGGTGGAGAACGGGCCCTGTAGGAAGGTAAAATATTTTATGGCACCAATTTACACAATGTTTATACGGCTGAGTATTGTATGGAGGCCAAGTTTTTAAAGACTTGAAATTGGTTAATTTAAGTAAGGTGCCACTTGCGTGAGCGGGGTTTAGGAAAGTGGTTAAACGATCTGTCTACGGTTGGGGTATTAAAAACGAATGATTGAAAGATTGATACTATAAATATTGAATTATTGAACAAAATTTAAAAATCTTCCGGTACAGTAGACAAGCATTTTGCTAAACTCCACACATGAAAATGGTACCCTTTAAAATGTGTCTCCGATTTAAGATCATATCATTGACCTTAATTCTTTAGAAATGATAAGACCCAAATGATTTTTAGTGGAAGGTCTTAGAAGGAAAGGTGACCAATGCAATGCAATCAATTTTTGAAAGGTTTTCTTTTTATGATGATCAAAAAAGCCAATTTTAAGTAAATCAAAACAATATTTTCTTCAGAAAAGAATAAAGTAATGACATCAACGTCGAGACAGAAGTAATTAAGGGGGTAGTTTAGATTTTATAGTTGTTTCAAATAGAGGAGAGTGATATCTATCAGCTGCTTTTGGTCCCATGGAAAAGTATTGTTCCTGGCCGAAGTAATCGCCGGTCAAAGATCGGCACTCATGTGTAATTGTATCGCGCGCCCTGAAAATTGAGTCTAAAAATCTATCTTCTCCTACATTTTTTGAGCAATCACCTTGAAACTTTTAGGATATGTTCTAAGAACCATTTAAGAGATTCTGTTTGATCAGAACTTTAAGATAGATCTTGGAAAAAAATTGTTTAACGATTTTTCCGAGTCCAAGATTTTCAAAATCGAATAAAACATTTTCTAAGGCCTATCTTAAAATTCTGATCCAACAGAATCTCCTAAATGGTCCTTAGAACATATCCTGAAAGTTTCAAGGTGATTGCTCAAAAATGTAGGAGAAGTTAGATTTTTAGACTCGATTTTCAGAGTGCGTGATTAAAAATCGCTTGCGCAATATAATTACTCATGAGCGCTGACCTTTGACCGGCAATAACTTCGGCTAGGGATAATATTTTTCCATGGGACTAAAAGCAGCAGATAGATATAATTCCCCTCTATCAGAAACATTTATAAAATCAATTTCGAGATAAATTTCATAAAGACCCCCCTGCCCCCTTAATTCTTAAATGATTGCTTGCATCTCACCAAAGATTTATAACATAACGGAGTTACTGTTAGTAGGCATACTACCGTAACCCATTAGCCACGGTACTAATTAAATTGCAACTGTCGCTTTCTGGGTGAAATCAGAATCAAATCAATTTCGTTAGGGAGGGAAAGCAGTACGTTGGGCTCAATATTTTTTGTTAATACGTTTCGGAAATAAAGATGCTGTTATTTTTTGTTGACATTATTTGATACTTAATTTTATCTACAATTTATATACACTAATAATAATACAGGTTTAATAATAGTATCTTACCCGGTCGAAAGAGCGAAGATCGTAAAGTTTCAAATATTCTGCGTCAATTCCAGCACCAAAGATAAGACCCTCCGGATCGAAAGCAGCCACGGGTCTCCCGTTCACATGCATCAGACCCTGAGATGCAACTGGTAACTGGTAACTGGCAACTAGTAGTAGTAAGTGACAGTTTAATTATTTCGATTTCCAACATGAAATTGTTGTCAGAAGTGCTACAAGTTACGAAATTACGACAATATGTGAGAACATCATGTGGCTGGATAGTGGATACTGGATATGTGTCAGTTTGTGGAACTAGAGTGGCCACTAGATTGACATTTCTTTCTTGCAACTTTATTCGGGGCTTTTAGGATGTGCTTCTGGACTGTGTGCTGAAGGCTAGGTGGTCGTTTTGATGTTACGTTTATTTTCTTTTAGTGAGCATTTTTTAAATTAACCAGGAGCCTTGACATTGGCTATGAAAATAAACTATGATTAGATACTATAATTAGATACGTACAGCAGTTCTTATATTATAAACTTCTTATCTCATTAGACTGCAGTTCAACATCAACCTCTGTTGAAGCATATGCGCCATATTCATGTAACAACTTGTGAGCTGGGTAACTGAGCTGTCTTTCACAGAACGTGGTTATTTTCAAATAAGTCATATCTTGGAACATTTATTAATCAGAACGATTGGAATCACCGTCGAGTTGTTTAATCGCTTGGGGTTGAAGGACGATTTTCAATACTGAGAATTCAAGATTAGTGCCATATTAACAAAGCTGAGGTCTTGGAGCTAGTTTGTTACCTGCAATATTCTCGATGATTTCCTAGTTAATGTCGGGCCCTCGGCCTTAGGTGATATTATAAAATGTATATCTTTAGTGATATTTTAGAATATTTTTCGATGGTCTAGTCGTTACTTGTATCTCCAACATATCACAAGACCAGAGGTAAGATATATCAACCAGTTTTTTTGAAAGAGAGAGAGATATCTTGTATTATTAAAAGCCTATTACAGAGGCAAGGAAAACTGGATTTCAAGTCCTCTCCATGCCATCAGAGGGGGATTTAAAAGCTTTAAGTGCACTTAACAAAACAAAAACTGGGCCTAAGCAGTCCATTTATACCAGATCCTCCCCATAAGACGTCAAATAATCCACGTACGATAATTTACTTTGGGATCGCTCATATAAAAACGATGGTGATCTGTACTTTCATCATTACTCAAGTTTTAGCTGTTTGAAGGCTTTGCCAAATTCAAAGGAGCGAAGCCTTAAAAATAGCAATGCCCATCGAAGTCCATGCCCATTTGACTAAAAGTTGAGGAATAAAGCCATAAATAAAGGGGCGATGGGGTTAAGTAGGATATACAGATCGACCATTATATATCAGATGAAATAATAGTAGGTCTATATTATAATTTAAAATTTCAGCTCCATTGGATCAGGTGCAGTAGCTCTCTCTCTCTACCCCCTCCCCCCCCCCCCCCCCCCCCCAGTAGCTCTCTCTCTCTACCCCCTCCCCCCCCCCCCCCCCCCCCCCCCCCTATTTTAGCCTAGCCAAATACTCGATGTTATTATATTATAGTCATGACTAATGAATAATGATCCTGTTGTGCAAGGATCCACTTAACAGTTAACAGCTCTGCTCTGGATGCTATCAACTCCGTTAATTTAAAAGACAACACTTTTTGGCCTCCAGACAACAAGGCTTCCAATTAATGCTGAATAGATTTTATAGGATTCCTCTTTGCCTTAAACCTAAACTTGAACTAGCTTTCGTATGGAGTGTGAGTCTGTTCTCCACTCACTCTGTTGTAAAAAATACCTCAAGGTCTTTTTAACTCAGTAACTCTGGACAAAATCTCCAATCTAGTTACACTCTATCCAGGGTGTAGACAAAATGATTAAAAGGGAAAACACCTAAAACTCATTTTGCTAGAAATATAGAGCACTATGCATTTATTGGGGTGAAACTTCTTTATTTTCTCACCACCCAACATTGCAGTGCATTTATGTCTGCTTGTAGGAGCTCGTGCTTATTGCTTACTTAATCTCTAGCTTAAGTTAAATATGTGACCGTTCCTTAACTTAGATTACTTTGGTGTAGTTTAGCCACCCAATAGGTCATAGGATACTCCAATCTAACAACCAGATTCCAAAGAAAGCACAAAGAAGACTCAAGACGTCGGGAATTTTTGAGACCTTTTACATCCAAAATATGATAGAATTTGAGCATCAAGTTCACGTTATTCTTGAATCTTTATTTAGCTTCAGCGATCAGATGTAACTGTCATTTCTTTACTCCTGTCTAAATACAACTTAGTATTGTGACGTGGCGAAAATTTGGGAAATTTGAAACAAATTGATTAATATGCCAAATGTCAGCATATATTATATAGGTCGAGGTTAATTTAATAACTCAATAACTGAGTGTTCGATTTAGTTAAATATTTCTGATCGATTAAGTTAAATGTTTCTGATATGACTTGCTATCATTAATTATTTGAGGAAAGCACCACATCAAATAATAATGATGTTCTGGGGAAGCTTGTGTAGTCGATACTGGATTTCTCTTTGACCATCAGATGAACCTAGATCCCCAAATCAAAGCAATCTCTTAAATCTGTTACCTTAACCAAAAGAAGCTTACAAGAATACGATCACAGCTTCCCCTCTTACTGAAAGCTGAAGATCCACCTTGTGTACTGTAATATCCTTTGTAGAAACATGTCGTTCTGTCACAAATACTAAAATGTATTTATCTTATCTTTAACGATGCAAAGATCCGAATTATAAGAACTTTTATTTTTTCCCAGTAGTGTTAACAGAATCATCTGATTATAGCATTTATGGTAAAAGCCTTTCCTAACGAGTTATCTAAATCTTGCACAAATGGTACATATTATGTATATCTTTTAATAAAATCAAGTTTTAGACAGCACATTTGTCGTAAATATGAATTTTTCCCCCAGAAATCAGAAATATAATCTATAATGTTATTAAGGCCAGAGGGGGGGGTAAAATTGGTTTTTCCAGTTTTCACATATTTGATCAGAGCTGCTGGAGACGAACAAGAAGAAAAAAACCGGACCGAAATCTGACCTTGCGTTTTTAAGATATCGCGCGCCAAATATTGAGGTTTACATGTAATTACATGTAAAACTTAAACTTAAACTGTAAAAAGTTAAAAGTCCCTTAGTTGAGAATACTGGCCACACCCAGAAGCTGAAACTTGGCACAGTTGTTCCTTGGGCTGTCACCCACAATTCTATTGTACAAAATTTTGATATTTGCCTCTGTTCTCGAAATATGAGGTTAACTTTACCCCAAATTCGACAATTTTTCGAAAAGTGTCGAATTTGGGGTAAAGTTAACCTCATATTTCGAGAACAGAGGCAAATATCAAAATTTTGTACAATAGAATTGTGGGTGACAGCCCAAGGAACAACTGTGCCAAGTTTCAGCTTCTGGGTGTGGCCAGTATTCTCAACTAAGGGACTTTTAACTTTTTACAGTTTAAGTTTAAGTTTTACATGTAATTACATGTAAACCTCAATATTTGGCGCGCGATATCTTAAAAACGCAAGGTCAGATTTCGGTCCGGTTTTTTTCTTCTTGTTCGTCTCCAGCAGCTCTGATCAAATATGTGAAAACTGGAAAAACCAATTTTACCCCCCCCCCCTCTGGCCTTAATGATAGATGATATTAAAGTATAACGGAGCTACTAAAGTGCTCTACAGGATTAAAAACATCAACATGGGATGCGGATTAATTGCGCTATAGCATGGTTCTTGTAAACTTATCAGGCTATAGATTAACCGCAGTCAGCAGGCAGTCACTCTGATATTAAGCAGTAGTACTAGTAAGGTTTTTAAATAAACAATTCATTTCAAAGCAGCTTATCTTTGATATTTTTACTAATATAACTGCGAGTTTTTACGATTATATCACTCATTATAAAGCTTATCTTAAACTACTACCATATTTTCACAATCTAAAACAATTAATTTTAATATACATATATATAATTAAGTTCGTTTGCTGAAATACATCTTTCTGATTGGCAGTTCTCAATTTTTAACGTGTTAATATAACTACCTTATCGGACCTTATTTGAACGGAAATTAATTAGACGCTGGAGGCCCTGGCGTTCAAATAAAGTCCGACTAGGTAGTTAAAATAAATACATTAAATGAATACTTTTGAGCGTTCATTTTGATGTCCGTTCAAAATTATGTCCGTTCACGCAATGTCCGCTCAAATAACGTCTGATAAGGTAGTAGCTACCATTTATCAGTTTGCACTTACCGCACAATTAGGAGATCTCAAGTCCCACAGTCGTATTGATCTATCCATCGCTCCGGAGATAAAAGTGTCATCTATAGGAGACATGCACAGTGATACCACCCTGTTAAAATTATAATTTACATGCTTATTCTCTTATTCAGGGCAATTAAGATACTGAACTATGGGATAATTTATAGGGTATAAAATGAGGTATTTATATCCCGCTCATAATATGATTCTTACCATTCTGACCTATGGATGTGAGATATGGAACACGACTCAAGTGCAGACAAGAAGATTGGAGTCTTTCCATCAGTACTGCTTAAGAAGAATCCTGAGAGTGAGGTGGTTTCATCGAGTAAGTAATGAGGATGTTTTAAGAAGGGCATCAATAACTGCTCTTGCTGACATAATAACAACAAAACGGCTGCGTTGGTTTGGACATGTCAGTAGAATGCCTGAAGATCGGTTACCCAACTATTTACTTGAATGGAAACCCAAGCATGGGAAGAGATCAAGAGGCAGGCCTAGGAAGAGCTTAAATGATGTATTTATTGAGGATGCTGAGCAGAGATTGGATCGGAATGGACTCACGATTGATTGTATGAGAAGATTAGCTGCAGACCGAAAGGGATGGAGAAATGTTACCCGCCGAAGTTGTATAATACAAAGTAATGACGCAGTCGACGCAGACTAATCCTTTTGGATGGAGATCTCGCCATGTAACATGTATGTAACATAATATGATTAACCAACTAAAATATGGAATGCAGTTAACGATGTCAGAGCGGCTGACTGTGAGAGATGTGAGCAATACAAAAGGCTGACACTGAGTTCGCATTTTTTAAAAGCCATGACTTTTTGTCAGCAACAATAGTCTTGTAGCAGGTATATAGTAGCTGTATTTGACTCATTGAGCTTCGTGAAAGAATATTTAAGTGGAAACTGCAGTATGAAGGTGTTCGCTTTATGAACACACCCTAGGGGTTTGCTCTCACAAAGTTTTAAACCATAGACCAATTCATCCAACAAGTTAGAAAACATAAATCTCTACATGCATCGAATCTTTTTTAAACTTTTTCAGTTGATTTAAAGCACGGAATCATTTCAAATCCATCTAAGTTAATCTAATTTATCCTAAAAGTTTGGTTGCACAACTAAAATTCGGTTTTTTGATGAGGAAGACCTGCTTCACAATGAGGATTGTTAGGGAACTGTTTTCAACCAATCACATAAGGCATCATGTAGCCTCCAGGCTCGACAAACCCCGACAAACCCCGACAAACCCCGACAAACCCCGACATATCCCGACAAATCCCGACAAACCCCGACAAACCCCGACGTGTCGAGATATGTCGTATCATGTCGGGCCCACCGGCTACATGAGGCCTTCTTGTGTAGTGTTTTTCCACGTAAAGCTTGATGACTCCGTCTCGGCTTTTTGTTGGGAGACTCAAAAAAAAGAAAAAAAAGCCTCCAGGCTCGACAAACCCTGACAAACCCCGACACACCCCGACAAACCCTGACAAACCCCGACAAACCCTGACAAACCCCGACAAACCCCGACAAACCCCGACAAACCCCGACGTGTCGAGATATGTCGTATCATGTCGGGCCCACCGGCTACATGATGCCTCACATAATATATATGCTATATAATAAAATATGCCTTTCATTATGTTATTGATGTGCCGTTTATGCGAGCTCTCCTCTCGAACTCAAACCTCTCCCGTATTTGTAATTAAAGGGGAGGTATCGAGGTTGAGCACGCTATGGAGTTACATTTTATTGTTTATCGGCCCGGGACTTGCCAGACTACAAACTTGCTGCTTATGATACAAGCCTTTATTTGATCAAAAGTTAACTATTGAGTCTCGCTCACGTTATTGATGCGAAAATTTCGCACTTTTAGGCTTTAGCCATTCCCCACACATATTTACACTAACAGACGTTTTTTGCAATTTTCGCACAATCTGGAACCTCCCACAAAATTGTAGGTATTAAAATCAACAATCTTTTGAGTTCAGAATAATTGAGGCGATTTCAGTCAAAAATTGGGGCGAGTTCAGTTGGTAGTCATTACTACAGCATGCAAAGAGATCCTTGTTACTATTAATTCTTTGGGAGTAAGAAACAGCCGCGGTAAATCGGAGTTTGCAGTAAATCGGGGTTTTACTGTACCACGTTAATGTATTCACCGTAATTGCCCATTGAATAATCGTCTGCTTTCACACTAATTGATTGCCAATCATCGATCGTTTTTAAAATTATAAATACTTTATTGATAGCTTCGAGCGGTTAAATTCTCGAATAATACATGATTACTCGATTTTCTCAATATCCTTCGGTTCAATATGCTACATTTACCTTTGTTGGTGTCCTTTGAAGTAACGAAGGTATTTATTGTCGTGTAATGAGAGATAACGGACCGTGTCTGAAATATATTTTTACTATTTAAGAATAAAACTTTTAACAGTCTGGCCACCAAAGCTAGGAGCCCTCATATTGTCATTAGAGACAGTATGCCCAGTAAGGAGCGTTGATAAAAAATAAATAGGAAAATTATTGATTTTAAAGTAAATTTTTGTAGACAAGCTTGTTCCCGTAGCATGGTGAAGGACTTGAAAATCCAACGCGTTGGATTTTTCAACGGCGAATCAGGTCATTGATAAAAACAATAATTGTAGTTGGAAAAGTTCACAAACCATCTATTTTGGTGGAAGCGTGTAGCACTGTGTTCTGTGCGTGGGTGTATCTTATCAGTGAGACCCCGTACTTCCTGCTTAGTAACGTTCGGGTTGACCTGCGGGTTATTCATTTAATCATTTATATGCTTTTGTCGTTAGGAATGCTCCCCCTCTATTATAAGCCTCACATACCTATATATAATATTATTTATAGACATAGTGTAGAAATTACAGTAAGCGTCCCCTAGGTTATTTTGTAATAAGTGAACGATCCGTGATTGCACTTAGTAAATGGTTACTATGATAGTATTTCTTATCAATATCATTCGTGGCACCTTGCAAATCAAATTTTACAAAGCGATGAATAATATCGATGGACCCTTTAATTATAGACCTAGTATAACGCAAACGGTTCCTATTAAATATAAAATATCGGAGAGTTTAAGGTCACTTATAATTCCTCCGAATTTGTGTTGCCTCATGCCAGTATTAATTCTGCTGGAGTATATTAGCAGATAGAGGAGGCATATAAATAGAGGAAAAGGCGGCTCTGGAAACTTATAATTGATCAGTTGTTTTTTCAGAAGCTTTAAATAACATGTCTTCAGCTAGTACTCACTTTCCTTCCTCACAGTCGTATATCACGATGCTGTCATCGTCTGAGCTGGTTATAAGCAGTTCCCCCGAAGAGCTGTAGTCCAACGCATTGATTTTGTTGGTATTTTCCCGAAATACTTTCGAAATTTGATAGCTTCTCCAGACGTTTTCGTCCAACTTCATTCTAAAATGGCGTCATGAAAATTTTGAACACGCGAAAAATAAGATAACAAAACAATGCACCTGGATAATTATTTTAAATTTCTTGAAATTGATGATTTTATAGACAGTTAGACTACTACTGTATATATAAGTGAAACAAGGCTAGCTAAACTCTGAAATTTAAACTTTGTCAAATTTAAAAAATAATAAATTATTATCGCTGTACGATTTCCCAAAAACAAGATTACAAATTTAAACTACAGCCAAATATCTTCATGTTTCAACAATATCTAACACTTCCTTTGAAGCCGTGCCATGCTCGACACATACACCAGGAACTTTCATTACTTTCTTATCGAACAATCTGCTGGCTTCCTCTGGTGATTTAAAAGGATAAGATTCCAAATAAGCTGCCGTTACTTTACGTTTTAACTTTTTAAGCGAGATCTCTTCCTTATCGAATACAAGCTCCTGAATATGATTAGAAAGTTTATATTTTTTGACCTTGTTTGGCGTTTCAGGAGCGACTCCATTGACATGATTCAAGTTCGGTTCCAGCAATGAAGTGTTTTCCTTAGATGCATCGCTTTCCTTGCTTTTAGATTTATTCTTCTTCTTCTTAACAATCGCAACTTCGGTTAAATTCTCAGTTTTTGTTTCAGAATCAGCTCGCTTTCTTTTCTTGTTAACTTTTACAACATTACCATTTGAATTTTCAACTGGCTCAACTTGTTTGTTGGCGTTCAGCCCACCATTCACATTTTCGGAGTTCAATGTCTTCTTTGATTTCTTTTTGGACTTCTTCACTTTTCCTTCAGTTTCTTGCGGAACAACAACTTCCTGAATTACTTCTGATGGAACAGCAGGAGCTGGAGGCTTTCCCGCTTTTTCTATGGCATCCCAAGCTTTCTCAACCAAATCCTTGTTACCAACCCTCATGGAGTTTCTAATGAAATTCAAAAACTTAACCTTTTTACGGGGCACATTATCATTCTCTGCAATCCTGACTAAAAGCCCCTTCAACTGTGAATTGTTCTTACACGACTCAGCTGCGTCTCTTACTGAAACCATCCACGAGTCCTGTTTTTTTGCTCCCTTATCTTCTTTTCCCTCGTATAGGTTCCCCTGATATCTCTCTGCTTCAGTAACACACTTAGTGTGCTTCTTGTACTCATTGCCCGTGAAGTTAACATTGCAGTCAATGCAGGAGTAAGAACCGTGACAGGAGTGATGTTCTACTTTTTGCTTCTTGAGCGTGTCTCCGCAGCTGTTGCAACAAAAGAAGACCATCCTGCATTGAATAATATAAAGTTATGTCAAGACATTAATCAAATTATCGTATTTGTGTAATTCTTGTATGTGTCTTTTGATTGTGTCTTGTGAATTAGATGATATTAAAAAGAATAAAACTGTTTTTACTACATCAGCTGAGCATTGAAATTCAAAGTTTATTTAAATCAGACAAAAATGTACAAATTTAATACATATTACATAAAATCAACCAATCAACCACATAAACCGAGCAAAAACCAGGTAATTTCTTAATTTGGCAAAAAGAATTAGACTGGCTTTCAAAGTCATGTACAAATTCCCTAAACGGTTCCATCCAAGGTGTGGATTAAACTAATTTGATTATATTGCACGCTATAACGCGCGTCAGGACTGTCAAAATGTAACTGTCAAGCACAATGGCGAATCAATTCATTTAGTATCGCATAAGAACTTTCACTCTTTTAATACTGTATAAGAACTTTCACTCTTTTAATACTGTATAAGAACTTCCACTCTTTTAATACTGTATAAGAACTTTCACTCTTTTAATGCTGTTTAAGAGCTGTAACTGTACTGACCAAGGCGAAGCTTGCTAAATCTAAACTGCTTTCAAACCTGAATTGAAATGTATGCACCCATCAAGGAATGTGAGCTTGTCACCAGCTTTCCAGATTTGTTTTCTTAAGAAGCTTTTCATTTTCGTTAATAATCTGATTTGATGTCATGGGCGAGAATCTCACCAAAATGATCATAGATTTTTATTAGAACTGGAGAAAGTTTTGAAAACATAATATAATTACGACAGTTTGTTTGATCCAGAAACTTCCAAATAACATAACGCCTTCAGCTGTCAAGAATGATGAAGTGGTAGGGTACAGTTAAATATGAGAGGTTGCTGTCTGAAGAATTTTTATTTCCGTAGTAAACCATTCATCAAATCTCGCTAAATTGATATTCCCTCAGGGAATCCGTTTAAAGTCGAGACATTTCTCAATTCTCATAATATAAAATATACTAATAAATTACCACGATGTAATTGGCTAATAGTACATATATATTTTGGGCAGGTAAACGAACATGCTCGTCCAGGTATGTCAACTGTTGCAATGCTTAAACCTCTATTTCCATCCTACGTCTCACTATCCTAGTCTTCTGAATCGTTTTTAAAGTTAAGAGCCTCCACTAAATCGTTTAAAGAGTAGGGACGCGTTTGTGCCTCCAAAACCAAACGAGTTGGTCATCACGTGGTCAACCTCAGCGTCTTTTATCGGTGTGGTCACGTGATTCAGCTCACAGCACGGCTCCTGATAATATTGAATTATTGACATGACTGGTAATATTGAATTATTGACATGACTGGTAATATTGAATTATTGATATTCGTTAATGCTTTCAATTCGTGAGAATCTGGTGTCGTTAAATTTGTAGTGAGGCTACTGAGATTATATATTTCATATTCTACCGTAACGACTGTCAATTAATCAACTATAAATATTCAGACGGCCGATTTTGATTAAATTTTCTGCGTCAAAAATCGATTATTAAAGTTTACGTCAAGCGCAAGACATAACATATATTTAATATTTGGCGAAAAACTTGATATTAAGGTATTCGGCATGATTCTGGTGGACTTTACCGGCAGGTTAAAAGTTTAATATCATGCACGCTATCAGTTTAAATATTAAGAATATTATAACCTAGGCCATTCTTTTAGATGTCTGAAGACTCGATATTCCAGTCTATTGCCAATTTCCTCCATTAAGATCAAAATATGCTATTATGAATTTCATGTAAAGGCTTTTTTAAATTCTAGGCAAGAAAAAAGTATCCTTACATCTTATATTTTAAATTAAATTTATATTTTAAATTAAATTTATATTTTAAATTAAATTTATATTTTAAATTAAATTTATATTTTAAATTAAATTTATATCACCATCTTCAACCGACGGGGAATTGTTATATCGACCAAAATAGTTATAAATTAACCAATTTGATATTTTATTGTTTATAACGAATACCACAATTCATCAAGTGGAAGAAGAATGAACCTCTCAGTTGGTCCCCGGATGCCGGGATTCCTAATAACATTTTGCAATATCAGTCAAATGTTAATCAAAAATGTTCGGCTAGTTTCTTCTAGGAATTGAAGGTATTGACGATATTTTCAAGCACCGTTGCATGCAGATATTATTATGTTGTGCTCAGGACAATCCAATTAGGAGCATGGTGTTCTTTCTAATACGCAGATCCGCCATGTCTTATCTGTTAGCACGTGTGGAACTGGTGCTTGTTTTTCGAAAACATCAGGGTTAATTTCTTAATTTGATTGCTGAGGTATATGTTGTTCTAGAGGGTGAGCAAGTATGCGATAAAACTCGTTTCATTTCGTCGAGGCATAATTTCGTAGCCCTTTTTTTACGGTAGCAATCAATATGAAAAGATCGCGAGTCTCAAGTCATTTGTTTTATTGGATAAAGGTAAAATGAGTCCCCGAAAAGATATCAAAAACATTTCTCATATATTATGATATCACATGGTACGGGCAGAAACGCTACAGCAAACAAATTTCATTTCGTTCGGTTTGATTTTTATTTCGTCTTTAACGGGTTCACAAACTGTACAACTGACAATTTGCAGGATGCACATTGCATAAGCCCACTTCCAGAAAGTTGTACATTTCTTCAAAGCAAAGATGTCTTCATCCAATTTATTCTTAGGTAACCCCTAAATCTTTTCTGTAACCCCCTGGCCCTGGTATTGTACCCCCAAATTATAATTTCCTCTACAGATTATTTCCAGCTTTTATTTCCAGCTTTTATTTCCTTCCAGTCTGTTAGATTAAAGTTGAAGCATTCATCAAAAATGCTAAATTGGACAACTTAGTTGGACAACCGCCGTCTGACTCTGACCGTCGCGTTGGTTTCAATTGCTCCTAGTTAAGGACTCGTTCAACAAGCTCCAAATAATGAGATCACCAAGCAGTAAAATACTTTATATATTGCATTTTTAATTTAATCTTAGATCTTGCTGTTTCAGGTTCGAAGGTAGTTTAGAAGTTGGTTAAGGTTGGGGTTTGGAAAGATGTTTGAACAGTTAAAAAGTTAATAGGACAGACTTATGTCTAGAGTTACAGTTAAAAAGCTGAAAGAACAGGGATATCGGGCGTCCTGGAACTGGACGAAAAATTAACTGCATTAGAATTAAAAGGAAATTGGTAACAAAAGATAAGATAAGAACAATACATACCACTAAATTGAGTGTGTGGGGGACTGTTTGATGTACTATACTAAAAGATAAGATAAGAACAGTACATACCACTAAATTGAGTGTGTGGGGGACTGTTTGATGTACTATACTCTGAACACAAACCAGAGCCTCCACTGACCCTGCCCCTCCTAGCAGGTGACCTAGACTACCCTTACTGGAACTAACGTACGGCCCTGGCCCTGAAATCAGGGAGTCAGTCAGAGGAAAAATAAGAGTTAGAAATTAAGTCAATAGTACAGGGAAGGAATAAACTAGAACCATAAAATGTTGAGCGAACAGTTAATTATATGAGCATCGCTTTTTCGCTTATCAGTGTTACATTAATTAAACTAATTATTTTTTAATAAATTTCCAACCATTAAAAGATGTTGTTTTAAACAGTAGTAAAACTTAGCTAAAATTGCGCTATTATTCTAGCGTTAAGGTTATTCACAGGAAATGAGGCACATAAAAATTCTAAAATGACTATATTAGCTGAATATTCTTTTTCTGCAACCTTGCTAAAAATCGTTAGTTTTTAACTCCATTTGCGACCTGTAACTGTTTTATGCGAAGGGTCAATTTTGTCAATTTTAAGCCGTTCCGGAGTTTTCGTCAAGTTTGAAATATAGTATAGATAATTATTTAGTTATATATTATAAAATATCTTTGTTGCATAGTAAGTAGCGGGGCGGGGTAGTAAATACTGCGTTTCGTTTCGTACTAACTTAATTTAAATATTTTATTACTATCACTTTATAAATATATTTTATTACTATCACTTTATAAAAAGCTTGATAAAGGTAGCTTTTATTACAAATTATAACGTCACAGACTAGCGTGATGCTTTAAGGTAATGCTGGAGACGCCGCGACAGCTACAATGTTCGTCACATGTTTAATATAAAATCAACTAGTCTGAGTATCGGTTGTGCTTGTCCATCTTTACCAAACGTTGGATTCCAATATCTTTTAAAGCCACCACTCACAACGCATCAATTACATAACCATTTAAATGTTTACTGTCCGAGGAAACATCAAAGAGACCAGATTTCTGAGATAAATAGTATTTTCATTAAAAAGTTGCTGTTGTGTGGTAATCAGGTTCATTTATTTGAGACTGTGCCTAAGTATGGTTTTTACTTTATCTAACGGCCTGGTCATGTCTGTTTTTAGCAAAGAGGTTTTTAAGAGGTTATTTTGCTTAACGAACTTGTGCGGCCTTTTTTGTGCCAGTCTTTTAAAGGCATTTTCATTTTTTTAAATATCTATCTTTTTTTTGGTTTTTTTGGAGACACAGAGTTGGTTCAGGAAAAAGGGTGTGGCCTTGTACGGGTTCGAGAAATTTGCACAGTCTTTTAACACATTTTATTTGCCAACTCTATACTATACAGTTTATCAACTGATGTCATTATTTTTTATTTTCCATTAACACTATATTTTATGTTTTTGATTGCTATTAGAAGACCACGTATTTTATTTCATACATAGTTCTATATTACATATACGTCAGATTTCTATCGATACCATTGTACCCATTTCTCACGAAAGCTATTTATATGGAATATCGATGCAATAAATCCATTTTATTTCAGTTTAATATCTTAGTGATATAGCTCACAGTTTTAAGATTTAATGTTCTCGAAATTTTCGGCTACGATTTTTTACCCAGTCTCACTAATAATAATTAAATAACAATAATTAAATAAAAATAATTAAATAACAATAATTAAATAATAATAATAAAAATATCGTGAAATTCTTGACATTCGGTTGTTAGCAAAATTAACGAACTTGTGATCTAATTTCGCATTATTCTGACGGCTTGAATGTTGACATTTCACTTAAGACAGACCAATAATTTAAAACGTAAAACGGGTTTACCTTCATGGTCGAGGTTGAATATTTTACGAATTGCCGTACCCTCCGCTAAATCCCCCAGAGGAGTGGACGTTGCGTGAGCGTTGATGTAGGAGACTCTTGACAGTTTCACGTCTTGCAATGCCCCTTGAAAGGAAGGATTCTCATTTGACGTACTAACCATGCAATATATAGGTATATAGACTAGTAGTATGTTAATATGCTGTCAGAGATTAATACTGCAGGAACTTCTGGTAAATGTTTCCGGTTATTTAGTATATCATGTTTAAGATTAAGGGCAGGGCCAGGGGGGTTTTCATGAAAATTCGCTTTTTAGTTGTAACTAGACTAGAAGGAAGTAATATCTTTCAGCTGCTTTTTATCCCATCAAAAAATATTGCTCCTAGCCGAATTTATCACTGGTCAAAGGTCAGCGCTTATAAGTAATTGTATTGCTCAAGCAATACAATCAGACAATTTCGAGAAAGTTTCTGTGAAGATCCCCTTGCCCCCTTAAAGCGCTGAGTGGCTTTTAAATGATCCATTACGTAACGGCCTAACGGGTAACAAAATTTCACCATTTTAAACATTCTTTTCGTTAAGTAAGCATTTATTTTGCAAATGACGTTAGAAATTACTTTACGTTAAGGTTGCCTAGAATATTATAGATTCTCGTTAGTATTTAATTTCCTTTGAAAAGCAGTTTAGTAAAAGTTGAGCTCACCTCTCATAGCATTGAGAGCTCCCCTGCCCTCAGGATGCGGCGCAGTGATGTGGTGAGCATCAGCGCTGAGACCATACCCAGCTACTTCTGCCAGTATCTGCGCTCCTCGGTTAACAGCATGCTCCATCTCCTCCAGAACAAGCACTGCCGCTCCCTCGCTCATCACAAAACCCGACCTGGACTCGTCAAATGGGCGAGATGATTGTAGAGGCTTCTCGTTACTGTCCGTACAGAGAGCTTTAGCCTGCATTCAATTTAAATTCGGTATATTTTTAAAAGCGATCATCTTGTAAATTTCAAAACAGATGCTTTCTTTTAGGTAAACAGTGATGCATTAAGGTCAAAGCTACATAGAGGGCAACGTTTAAGTGCTTGTTTGTGGTGTTCAAAAACATTTCATACTGATTATACAAATTTAAGGCCTTATGTTCAACTAACAATGCCACTATGGCATCACCAAGCTGCCACCACAAGTCCACCATGGAACAAGATCTGAACTTAATCAAACCGGTATCGTCACTCTAGGTCTGACTCCCGATATCGCATGATTATCTCAAGACGTTTGGACTTTGGTATTGGAAGTTGTAAAACACAGGATTACGAAATCCATCGAACATTGAGACAATATCATTACATAATCTGTTAGAAAGAATACGACATTTATTCGCCGGGCACATATAATTAGCTGGTTAGTGATTGTGGTTTAACTGACAGAAATGATTTTGAGATCATTGTTTAACTGATAGCAATTATTTTGTTGTTTCGGAAATAGTCATTCCGAACATTATTGAATTTAAAGAGTATAAATGAACAAATACTACATAGAGTTAAATGGTAACGGCTGGTACGAAACAATAGAGTAAATCTTTTCAGTCATCCATTTCTTATTGTAATTAATGCGGGTATTACCCGATTTTATTAAATTTTAAATTTTTTAGTTTTGAAAAACATTTACCTAGAGGCCTTCTATATCAGATTCAGTCTCAGCTGGCACTTGTTCCGGCACTTGTGGTGGCATATCATGGAGGTATCATGGTGGCGTAAGTAGTCTATACCTAAGACCATGGTTACTATAGTATAACTTGTTAATAACCTGGCTAAACCCAGACATCGCGAGAGGATGGAGGCAAGCCTCAGCACTACCGGCCAGCATCACATCAGCCATCCCTAGTCTAATGAGGTTGTAACCATCACCCACCGAATGGGCACCTGAAATGAGATAACATGTAATAATATGCTTGTATCCGGGCACCCATGTGATAACCACTCTTAAAAGCTAGTACTGCCTTCAAACAGTTAGTCATTGTTGTAATGGTTGAGATATATAATACTACCGACACGTACAATGTACGTGTCGCTAGCTGTATTCATCCCAAATCTCTCAAACTTTTTATATTTTGAAAGCTCCAAATGGGTTACACTACCAAACCAATCAGGTAGCTTCAAACAGAGGGATATATTCCTTTGCTGCACTCATACCGCGAGTTGTGGGGACTAAAACTCTTTGAGTAACTAAACTGCTAGTAAAACTATATCATACTATAGAGAAGGCGTCTAACGCGTTATACCTGTCGTACAAGCTGTACCGCAGCTGTGGTTAGGTCCCAGGAGACCCAGTCTCATAGCTATCGCTCCTGCTGCCATGTTATCCAGTATTCTGGGAGGGAAGATGCCATTAGAGAGAGGATATTGCAAGCGTGACTGGTACCATTAGTGCAGGTGATATCTAAATTTATTTGTTGTGCTAGAGAGGTGAGATGTTGTTTCTTTCGCTGAAATTGTAGGGGCAGTTCACAGTATGTCACACAACCGTGTCTACCAGACGTGACGTATTGATGGTAATATCATATCATGTTTTGAGGTTATCATAATATTACAATTATGATGATCACATGTAAATATTGTGGAACAGTGTGGTAGTACGTGGTATGAGCAGTACTCTTTTGTGTTCGATACTTTCAGCAATTTTTGTGTTATTATTTTTGTATTACTATTTTTGTAATTTTTTAATCTTACTATATATAATAATGCGAGACGATATATAAAGATGGATGGATCCGTGCCATTTTAACGCCACGGCATTAACTTTAACGCGACTTTCCGCAAAAACCGTAAAAGAAATACAATTGAAACTTTTTTGACTGAGTCAAATGCCTTAATGGCCTTCAAATCAGCATGAACAAATAAAATATTGGCCAAGGAATAAGAATTTTAGTACCCAAAATTCGGACCCCAAAGTGGTGTCAAAAACGCGAATTAAATAGGTAATAATTATTTTAGTCTCTTGAGACACCACTTTAGGGTTAGACGGGTTCCTGCCATGCTAGTTACTAATACGTCGTTACTTTCATTGTTATATATTATTATGCAGTAATTATCGATATGACGTCTGTTCGAGAAGTTTATGACATCAAATCTTCGCTAGGGCTCGTTCAAATATTAAACTATTAAGTAAGCCAGCATAAGTGCAGGGGTTTGGAAAAGTAATGTTACACATTACACTATAGCGAAGTCTATAGTGGTTTACACAAGGTCCAGCTACTACCTATTTTGTGACATCCTGCCAATATCCGTATAATTGTATGAGTCAACGTGCAACATTGCGAACTGTTGTTAAATCCCTTCAATCTCCAAATTTCGTGCTACTGCTATTTGATTCAAAACGATTTAAACAGACCATTTTGCTTTACATACGATTTGATTAGATTGTCGCAGTCGCTTTGATTTACAATCTAATATTGCCACGCCCCGAAATAGGTCAACTATTTCGGGGCTAAACGAGATGTGCGCCATGCTTGTATTATGCTTCAATGTTACTTTCGTTCATTATTTGATGAAAGTTTCAAATCAAAGCACATGCCGAGGATGCTTTAGTTTAATTTTCAGACATCAGCAGTGATTGCACATCTCCTTTCTCACATTTCCACAATCCTGAGAGAAAGTCAATTTCCCAAAACGCTCTAGCCCCTAAACGCATAATCGTGCCTGAGAAACTGGACGAGACCGGAGTGGCATAGAGCCTACAGCCTACTCTCATGTTGTCTTAACTCATTATCTCTGGTCATCGTCCATTTTGGCACTAGAGCGTGTACTCATTCCCTCTCATTTCACTTGCCACTTCATCACCATCATCTCCACATAGATAATTTCGGCAACCTCCCCCAGCTCAGGGTTGCCATTCCCCAGAGACAGGCAGATCCTCATGCTATTCTTTCGTGTGCCATCTAGGTCCAGCCTCTCTTGATATGCATAGATTTTCTTACGTTTTCGCTGAAAATGTTCAGAACCCCCGACAAAATGCCAAGTCATGACATAATCAATCAACCTGTAACCTGAATAGATCCCTTACTGAGGACCATATCATAAGCCTCTGTATAATTCCTTCCAATTCATTGCCTACTGAATCAACAAACATGACAACACCCGTGATAACTAATTAGATATATTAATTTTTCCTAGAAATAGGGTCTTTACCCTGTGGCTAGACATTGCAACCAGGAGAAGCTCTCCGACGGACGAGTGATTTTCTCCAATCATAGTTAACTAATCAAGTTCGGTAATTCTAGGAATTACCAATCATGTGAAGTGAGATGCTTTAAACTATATAATATTGCTGATGACCCAGACACAGTACATGGTTGAGACCTTGTGGTTGGACGTACTTTGTGCTTCGTTATTCTTTGACTTAGTCTGATCAAAAGTTTAGCTAAAAGTTTGTCAAAATTTAATATCTTTAGCATTTAATTATCCTATTTCGGTAACGACATTTTCATCTGTGGTACAACTCTTAGTATTCAATTTGTACAGTATGATTTGGTGATGCTCTATTCTTGTGATATATAAATACTTAACTTGAGTATGTTTAAGTCCAGTTTTCAGAGATAAAATTGGTAATTTTTTACTATAATTGAAAATTAGTTTCACTTAAGGGGGCCGGGGGGGCCGGGGTCTTCATCAAAATTCTCTCGAAATCGAGTTTATAGTTGTTTCTGATAGAGGGGAGTGATATCTATCAGCTGCTTTTGGTCCCATGGAAAAATATTGTTCCTAGCCGAAATTATCGCCGGCCAAAGGTCAGCGCTTATGTGTAATTGTATTGCGTGAGCGATTTTCAACCGCGCGTTCTGAAAATCGAGTCTAAAAATCTATCTTCTCCTACATTTTTTAAGCAATCACCCTCAAACTTTCAGGATATGTTCTTAGGATCAGTTAGAAGAGAACTCTAGAGCCAAAATTTGGAGATAGGCCTTTAAAGATTTTTAATTCGATTTTGAAAATCTTGGACCTCTAAAAATCAAGGTCCAAGATTTTCAAAATCGAATTAAAAATCTTTAAAGGCCTATCTCAAAATTCTGGCTCTAGAGTTCTCTTCTACCCGATCCTAAAAACATATCCTGAAAGTTTTAGGGTGATTGCTCAAAAAATGTAGGAGAAGATAGATTTTTAGACTCGATTTTCAGAACGCGCGATTGAAAATCGCTCACGCAATACAATTACACATAAGCGCTGACCTTTGGCCGGCGATAATTTCGGCTAGGAACAATATTTTTCCATGGGACCAAAAGCAGCTGATAGATATCACTCCCCTCTATCAGAAACAACTATAAACTCGATTTCGAGAGAATTTTGATGAAGACCCCCCCCCCCCCCCCCCGGCCCCCTTAACAAAATTAGTGTTGTAAAAACCATGCCATTTATTATTATAATATTATGTAAAACAAACCTTGGGACAAAAAACGGGCTGACTCTTCTGTATCCACGTTTTTGTGTTTCGTTCACACTCCGTGCAGTTAAAATCTGTTATAAGGCTCATTTAGAAAGTGGTAGTTAGAGCTTGCAAAAATCCTGCGATAATTCCCAAAAATCGAGAATGATAGATAACTTACATGCAGATCTGAATCAAGTGAAGTCATAAAAGCATGACTGATTTAACAACTTTTTTGCATAATAAAGTAAATTATCTTTAACATGAATTACATCACTGATAACCTAGGATAGAGACCTTCACAACGTTTTTAACCAGATAACATATTACAGGATGTTCGACTGCAGCAAACACTTCCAACAAATATTCTTCGGAATTATTTCCTTGCTATGCTTTGCTGTTGGAGTACCAATGGGCGTAATTGCTCTGATCACCACCAACAAGCCACAGCGCACCACAGTCAGCCGACTAATGTACAAGATGATTCTGCTCACAGATCTGACCATCTCCATCCTGATGCTGCCCACCTGTGTCTCCAACTTCAACCACTGGTCCCCCATGCTCTTCTCCATGCCCTTCATCTGCGAGCTGTGGAGCTACCTCTGGGGATGTGTCAGCAGGATCTCTATATTCCTCATCATGCTCCTCAGCATCATCAGAACCAACTCTCTCATGTCACCCCTCCAGCCCTCCAGACAGAAGCACATTGTAGGTCCCATAGCATTCTATATTATATGCATCCTGATCCAAGGATCTGTGCCCCTGTGGTATAAGATCGAGATTCGCTACTTTGATAAATTTCAAAGCTGTGTCTGGTTCCTTGATGATCTACTGGATAAGCTGTCACCTGCCGAAAGGAAGATATACTACACCATTACCTACCTCGTGGAATTTGTTGTGCCCATACTTCCTGTCACAATAAGTGGACTAATATCCGTGTACAAGCTGAAAACCTCTCATGTGGAAGGTAGTTCCAATGATGTAAAGGTTCACAAAAGGCAAGCAACTTGGATGATCTTGGCTTTGACAGGAGTCTACATCCTCTTCAATATCCCATACTGCATTGTACTTACACTTGACTCAATACAAGTTTTCTCAGAGGGGGCATTTGCTTGGACTGAAGGAATTACTCCAAAACAATCCATATTTTTGTACAACTTCATATACATTCACACAATTGCACTGAACTCTCTTGTGAATACGTTGATTTATGTATTCAAAATGAAAAGTATTCTCAAGTTACGGATGTGGTTCATGAGGAAGTCATCATACATTCAAAGGAAGACACACCATACCATGACAAATCCTCCAAGCCCAGGGCCTCACTGCATCAAATCTGAAGATGGACAGGCCGAAAATGCAGTTTGATGATAAGAAATGTCCTAACAAGCTTTAGGTACCGCTTGATCATGCAGACTTGATTAATCAAAATGTTCAGTCAAATATGTCTATAAATGTTATAAATAAATTGAATCTTATTTCGAGAAATCTTTGGTGTAAGAGTTATGAGAATCAATACTTTTATGTGTTGCACATCATAACTTTGCCCTTTCAAAAAAGCTGCGAAATCTATTTATTTTTTTCATTTACAAAATAGATAAACTGTTATATAATAATATTTATGTCATGGTTGTTGTATTTTTTCGTGTTACACTGTATTCTGCTGTTATTGTTGCAATGGTGATCACCAATTCTTTTATTTTAACAAGCTCCTAAGAGTCCTAACCAATGTAAACAATAGAAAGTAGGACAAACAAACCGTAAAGTAGTAAAATATACGTAGTAGAATCCACACATCTTGTTGAATAAAAATGTAGATTTTAATTAGTTAAATAAATGACAAGATTCTGTCCCTTGCGTGTAATATGTGACTTACTGTTTCCATAAACCCTGCTAAGGAACTCCCAAAACACACTCCAGCCCTGTCACAGTCTATATCAGTAAAGTCTAAAGAAGCCTGGTTGGTGGCTTCAATTGCTGCAGACATAGCAAACCCAGTGGTTCGATTGGCACTTCTGCGTTCATTGGCATTCAGAACTTTGCTTTCATCAAATTCTTTAACAGATCCACCTATCTGACAAGGGAGATGCTCAATACCTGTAAAATTATCTGTTCTGTGTTAAGGGGGCAGGGGGGTCTTTATGAAATTTCTCTCGTAATTGATTTTATAGTTGTTTCTGATAGAGGGGAGGGATATCTATCTGCTGCTTTTGGTCCCATGGAAAAATATTGTTCCTAGCCGAATTTATTGCTGGTCAAAGGTCAGCGTTCATGTGTAATCGTATTGCGCGAGCGATTTTCAATCGCGCGCCCTGAAAATCGAGTCTAAAATTCTATCTTCTCCTAAGGCCTATCTTAAAATTCTGATCGAATGGAATCTTCTGAATGGTCCTTAGAACATATCCTGAAAGTTTCAAGGTGATTGCTCAACAAATGTAGGAGAAGATAGAATTTTAGACTCGATTTTCAGGGCGCGCGATTGAAAATCGCTCACGCAATACAATTACACATGAACGCTGACCTTTGATTGGCAATAAATTCGGCTAGGAACAATATTTTTCCATGAGACTAAAAGCAGCAGATAGATATCACTCCCCTCTATCAGAAACAACTATAAAATCAATTTCGAGAGAAATTTCATAAAGACCCCCCCTGCCCCCTTAATAGAAGATACAAGTCATTTTGCAAGTTTTCTAACGGATCAACAATATCATAGTTATATATTATCATCCAATGGGTGGGATCAGGGTAATATTATGAAGCTCAACTGATAACCTTCCAAATTGAAAACTAATCATATTACAATTGAATTGATCCAAACATTACCCTCTGATTCAAGGCGAGAAATTCCGCATGCTCCAGCAATGAGATTTTCCCAAGTAGAAGGTGCTGAAATACCAAGTGGCGTGACACAGCCCAAGCCAGTGACAACAACCCTTTTTAGCATCACATAATTCTACATGAAATCAAGCTTATATAGTTTGAGATAGTAATAATTATTTAGGTCTTTATAAATTTCTTTATTTACTTGTTATGACACAATGGTTTTCAAAATTCCATTATGACAATTTTAGTAGAATTGAGATCCAAAATTAATTTTCATCAATTTATAAAATTATTGTTTGTAGCAACATTCGAATTGTATCACGTTCAAACCAGACAAACACCCAAGTCAAGTTAGTTTTAGACGTTTTTATATCTTATCAGACCTTTATAAAAATGTATAAGAAATTAAAGTTGTCTGGCCAACAAAATAAGTTCGTTCATTATAATTAATTTCAAAGGAAGGCACTTCAAAATAAAGCCAATACCTTTTTGGAAATAAAAACTTCATAAATTAGCTTAAAATTGAATTATGTTCAGAAAAAAATCTTTAAAAACGGGGCTTAAGATAGTACACCACTGCAATGTACTGGGATCATTACTCCTTGGTTAGGTCCAAGTATGCTTTAAAAGCTTGCTCCTTATATTCTTTAGCTGTTTCAGCTGGCTCAGAAGATTGGTAAATTCCTCTTCCCACTATAATCACATCAGCACCTTTCTCTATTGCTTCAGAGGGAGAAACCCATTGCTGTCCTAAACCATCACCAGTTGATGAAATATTTACACCTGGCACAAAATTGAGAAAACTTTGGTCATCCGAGACTGACTTTGTACAAATGAAGCCACAGACAAATGTTCTATCATTTTCAGCCATTTTCACAGCCTCTTGGGTATATGTTTCATTGCATAAATTGCCAGCTGCACTCATCTGCGCGATTAGAATTAAGCCTTGATCTTGAGCAACACTTTTTAAACCTTTGATAATCCCAGGTCCAACAACAACATGTGCATTTATGAAATCAGACCACGAACTTATTCTATAAACACCCTCGCTGAATTGTTTCTGCACTGTGCTGCCAAGGTCAGCAAACTTTCTGTCTTCAAAGATGAGAAAATCATATTCTTTTGATAGCTTTTTGAGTTTTTCAATAAGATCAGGAGTAAAATCTGATACAATATCTATGTGAGTTTTCAACAAACAAATATGGGGTCCAACCTTTTCAACAAGGTCTAAAAGCTGCTGGGATGATGTAACATCGGCAGACAAGCAGAGGTTAGTACTCTTCCGAAGAATGACTTTTATGAGTTCTTGGGCTTTTGGGTGTGTTACATATTTCAGCCTATCACTGAATGGCTGGACCATTGCGAACTTTTTGTATACCTTGTGTAGAATAGGTATCAGGTCACGTCATAGGGATATCGAAAAAATGTATTAAATGAATAAATAACATAAGGCCAAGGGCCCCGGCCTGGTTGTAACACCAAAAAAAGCAACCATGTGACTTGTGTCGATAACTTGGCTCAAATCTAACTTTGCGACTTGAATTGAAACTTTGCAAGTCATTTGATGCTCCAGAATCTGTCACATAAAAATTCAAGACAAAACTGCTCCAGAACTCTGTTTATTTAATTGTCTCAAAAATATCTGGATTTCTTAAAGAGCTGCTATTGAGCACTTGTCCATTTCAATTTAGCGCACCGTATTCATAATCTGAATCAGAATCGACCCCTAAAATTTCAAGGCTCTTATTCAATTAGGAGCTCTGTGACAATGATGGGATCAATCCTGTCAACATTTGCAGGATCCAGTGGGTGTACCAATCACGATGTTGGAATATGAACAGATATAACTATTGAACTACATAGCAGGATATGTCTAACCACCAAATGATGCCAGTTCAAACTGTCAAATAGACAATTATCAAATTTGTTAAATGACCAGAGATCAGATTTCCATCACAGGGATCAATATGTTAAACCGTCTCCAAATGGATTTAAACATAATAACAATAGTTCTAGATACAGCTGCATATTTGAAACAACAACCCCTTATTGCGGGCAGAATATGTGTCTACCTTACTCGGGATTATTACGACGGGTTTATTAACGTCCGGTTAAAATATGGTTCGGGAAAAATATGGCGAAATTGCTCAAAACCCACCACATTTTCCCAGTCGCCATTTTACCGATGACCAACCTTTCAATTTTAGATTCAAAAATTTTGTCTCAGACGTAAATTTCCCTATTACGGGTATATGGCCCCCAGAATATAGGTCGTTTTTTGAGCACTTAGAAACAGGTGTTAAAACTACTTCTAAGCATGTTTAGGGCTGTAAATATGTACATAATAACCCTTTAAATGTTTCTTGGGTAGTTGAAAATAATTATTAGGTTTTTAAGTGTACTTTTTTTTCACCTGTAAAAATACCATTTTTTAACAGGGCCCCCAGAATATAGGTCCAAACATCTGTTCCTAAGTTGTTCTAAAATTGTCACAGACAGTTATATGCAGTCAGAATATGTTGCTGAGACTGTATTGATGATGCCAATGGCTCCAGATACTAAATTGAAATGGTTTAGAGTATACTTAATAGCAAAAATCAAAAACTACGGCCCCCAGAATATAGGTATGCAAAAATCGTCCTCAAATACTCCACCTTCATACATTTTGATGATGCCATCTCTTCAGCATATGTTCTTTAACTGTTTCTCATCACTACCCCACATTCCTTAATGCTCAGGGTGACAGAGAAAATGCAGAATCTTGGTCGCTATTTTTTTTTAAAACCTATATTCTGGGGGCCATATACCCGTAATGAGTAAAATCTTTAATTTTACTAGTTAAAAAGCTTTCATGCACTCATTTAGTAGGGATCTTAACTAAATACTTAAATAAGATTGAAGGAGTGTCCCTAGATATGATTGAGGGGGGCTGTTTTTATCTGTATCAATACAATGTGCACCTCAATGACTGTAAATCAGACATTTTTGGCCGCCAAATTTTTTTAAAGGCCTAACTCAAAATTCTGTCCCAAAACTTAAGGTCATGAGACAATTCTACGTTGATTCTGAAAATTTCATGTGAAAATATTGAAACCCTATTGAGTTCTATTGTTTTGAGCGAAGTCAGTTTGAGATATGGGCGATTTTGTTCATTTTTTGCGATTATTTGAACACAGAATCCACAGTTAGGTAGATATTGAGCTGATAATCATAGAGAATGTGTAATATATGCTTACCTTCCATATAAAGTTGGTTTCATTCAAAAATATTGATATTTGACCAATTTATGGACCAAAATCGATCAAATTTGGTGCGTATGCCCAAATATGGGCATATGGTTTTTGTTTTTATCCCATAACTCGGCCAATTTTTATCCAATTTTGATAAAACTTGATATGTGGGTTCAGGAGACTAGTAGCTACAAGTAGGGCATCCCAAAGCATGGTTTTGGGCATGTTCAGGGTTTTTGACCAACCTATATTCTGGGGGTCGTATAGACCTATATTCTGGGGGCCCGTAAAATTGTGGTGGCCATAACTTTTTTCCAAATTGTCAGTTTGCAGATGTCTCGATGAAAAGATAGCTTAAAATAATACTTATACTCATACCAGTAGTCTTAATGGCATGTGTTGGACAGATTTTTGTCATGACAATTTTTCGCCATATTTACCCCTCTAGAAAATGACAACATCGTTTAAATCTTTCGCTGTCATGACCAAATATACCAAAATACCTCATGTAGGTCCAAAATTTTTATCCAGAAACATTAGTTACATGTTTTACTCCAACATAGCAGTAACAGATCCCATTAGTATCGCTTATCTTGGTTAGAACTGTATCCACTAACATGACCTATATTTTGGGGGCCACCTATATTCTGGGGGCCATATACCCGTAGAGAAGCAAGTTTAGAAATTTTCGCATTGCTAAAACTTGTGTATCAAATAACCATTATGACTCCATTTGTAGAAAATCTTCGAAAGAATGCATCGTTCACATTGTTTAGAATTATGAATAAATGACTGATGAAACTGATTCATGTTATCGATGTAGTTTTAATTAATTCAAGTTTTAATTTAACTGTTACTTTTACTTTGAGTCCTATTTCATTATGTAGAGATAGTCAATACCTAAGAAATTAAAAATTGGCCTATTTAAATCAACTTTGACAATAAGGATATATATGACAAGAATTGGGCAACAAGGTGAATTTTTTGCAATTTTAGCCAAATGAAGTCGAAAAACCTACAACAAGTGTCCCAATAGTCTTCTTTAGTGAATATAAGACAACGATTAAAATATGAGCACCCATACCCCTCGGGAACCCTAAAAGCTGAGACGGCGGGTTTATTAACGACCGGTGAAAATGTAGTTCCGGAAAAATATGGCGAAATTACCCTAAACCTGCCACTTTATCCCGGTCATAATAATCCCGAGTAAGGTATGTTGAAGTGTCCTGGTATAAAACTTGGATAAACAGCGTTGGACTATGAACAGATTTAACTATCAAACTACAGAGCAAGACATATCTAACCCCCCAATTCGCCAAATGATGCTAGTTTAAACTGTCAAACAGGGAATTTAATTTCATTCCATGTCGCGAATCAAAGCACTGTTGACATTATTCGTGATAGTAGACCTACACATAGCTTGGAAATTCTAGGCAGCAGTTGATATTTGTTTTTGGGCATACGTGGACATAATATTGGGATTCCAGATACTATTGGTAGCAATGGACCATTTCCGATATTGGTCTATTGTGCTCTGCCAATTGCATTACTTGATTTGATTGAATATATATATATTGTTGCTGATATTTCGGACATTGATAGGCACCCGAATATCCACTAAAAACGTTTCCTGAGTAGTTTCCAGAAATATTGGAATGGTAAAAGTAATAATATATTATACATCACTTATCTGTACTATATTAAACATTGTTGGACTCAGTTAAGCTTAAGTCAAACTACTCTGAAGAAGACAAGACCGTAAGAAACAGATACCGTATAAGCCCTTCATCAGCCGCAATGAATAGGAGTAAGGTCATTAGAAAAATTATAAGTTAGCGCTCGATTTTCAGTGCATGGTACCCCAAAAAAATGTCAATTGATCTAAAAATGCTTACCAATAATTTAAAACTGTAGAGTAGTATTATTGATAAATATTTTAATAGTTTTGTTGTAGGTTTACAACCTACCAGGACGCGCGCCGAGTTGGACTCGTCGACGGTCCTGTATATACAATACATATCCTGTCTCTCCAGCTCAATGGCCATAAAAATCCCCAAAAGAAAAGGCCCTCGCCTCATCCTGCTCAAAACCAGAACCGTGAAAGCTCAAATAGCACAACTCAGAACCCCCATAGAAAAACCAGAAAACAGAGAAAAGTGCTCCTCCTTCATGACTCTCAGATGAACGGATTTATAGCCGAGTCTTTCTCTTCTGGGTTCAAGGTTGAAAAAAAGAAAGTAGGTTCCTTTACTGACCTGAACGGTAAACACATGAGAGATGTGATCAAAGAACCAGAAGTTGACTGCTACATTCTTCAGCTCGGAGTTAATGATTACAGATATAATGACCGTCATGTTAATAAAGCAGTCAAGGATGCAAAAGAAGCCATCGACACACTCCTCTCAAGTTCCAGTGCTAAAATTGTTGTCTCCCTGCCCACTCCAACTCCTGGCCCAATAAGTGATCTAACAAATCAATTTGTTTCGGAGATCACCCAATTTGTCTCCACTAAAAGAGAGCTTAGTGACTTATACCGGCGCCTCTTCACTGTAAACAACACTGGAAACTTCTCCCGAGCCATCTCTGCTGCTGAGTCATCTGAAGACTCTCCTAACCCTCTGAAGGAAGACCAACTTCATGTCTCAGAGTATGGTCTAAAAAAACTCTGTATGAATATCAAACTTGGCCTATACCGTGCCTTTGGTATGAGATCCTATAGAAAGCAGCCCCCCACAGAGCGTTAGAATAACCATGAAATTCAATAAAAAACAAGCCTCACGAGATCAACTCGCTGTAATGTCCTGGAACATTCAGGACAGCACAGGAGATGGGTCTAACAAATTTGAAAATAAAGAATTTCTTTCAATCCTCAATCAAGCTAACATTCTGTGTCTCCAAGAAACAAAGAAACAAGTTAAGATAGAAGGATACCTTTCTTTTAATAGCAACCGCAAAAATTCTCGCTCAGGAGGGGTCTGCATTCTTGCTGAAAATGATTTAAGAAAAGGTGTTTCTTGTGTGCCTTGTAGCGAATCTGACGATATTATTGTTGTCAAACTTGACAAAAACTTTTTTAAGCTTGATTTTGACCTATTTTTAGTATGTTACTATATTAGCCCTGCATATTCGTCCTATGTCAAAAAAAATCCAGACTATACTGCTAA